ATGGACGGCAGTGTAGAATTGTTTGTGCTCGTAGCCGTTAACCTGAATGACGTTGATGGCGCTGCCCCCGGTTCCTGTGCTAGTGGCGGCGCGAGCCAATTCCGCAAAAGACAACAAGAGTGCTTAACAGAGCGGCGCACACCTGTCCGAAATAAACTCACCATTAGTGCATGCTAGGTATATCACAATTCACGTCAGCCGAAGCTTAAATGGAAGCAGCAAATACAGAGATTGATCAGCTGCATGGCGCCACTGGCACTTCCTCATTAACAGGTATACACAAAAATTTCAAATCAATGACATTCTAATGTGACCGTTAAACTTGATCGACACCCGACTTGCACCTGCATGGCACTTTCCCTCGTGATCACCACGCCCGCCACAGTAAAGCACCCGGGTTCGCAGCGCCTGCCACGGTGATACATGGTTTTCCATTCATCGTTCTTCCACTCCTTTTCGCCAATGCGCAGGCAAATCTCGCCAATCTTGACCAGTTTCTGACCCTGTACACAATAAACTGCTAACAATCTTTAAGACAAAATTTAATGCTAATGAGAACCGGGACGGACAAGTAAACTAAGAAGCAGTACCTGTTCGCATGAATACGCGCAGGCGACGATCAGCATAGTAAACGATCAGATGCAATTGATCAATGCTACTACAGCGGTTGCCGCAGGCGGCCGACCAGCAGCATTCCTGCTGCACGTGAAGGTGAAGATAATGGTGCCGGCTAAAGCCCCGTAGCACTGCAGGCCCACGATCAGCGACAAATATGCATCCAAATGACGGACACTCGTCATCACCTGCATCGGCTGGGAGTACTCAGCCACACTCACCACTCCCTTCTTTATCAATCGAACATCTAGGTCGAGTGCAGTAGCACGCATACCTTCGCTGGTCAGCAACATGACGGTCAAAATGAAACCCACAAGGAAGTCACATCCCATGTAGAATATTCTGCCTAAAGTGCAGTAAATGCGATACACCCATTCCGCAGTTTCTGGCGATTGAATAAAAGGATAGCGCTGCTGAAAATTCACGATGCCCCGGGCGATGGAGCGGTCAAACTGTTTGGCATACGTTCGATAACCATCATTACTACGATCAGTAAAAATACCGCCAGACCAAGAGCAATGGCACGAAGCCGTTTTTTGCATATACATACGGCAAAACTTTCGTCAAGTGCATGTATCAGTTGTGCAATGCGTCGACTAGACCAGCAGAGGAGGATCATCGCCAGCACAACACCCCAGATCTGCGTCACGTCCAGTAGTTTCATGATCTGGGATGTGAACCAGTTCGACAGATCATCGTAACCCGACCGGATAGCATCAACCAGAGTTAGTGCCTTAGCGGCCAATAGGAATGCAAAGTAGATGCTAGATAAGCCTTGTAGAAACTGCGTCCATCTGCACGGCTTTTAAGTGAGAGCGAAAACGTAGCCGCAAACGCGCAGGAGCATCATCCAGACCATGGTCGCCTTCCAGACTGCACCGCGGATGGGGCACGAGGTTTCGAGCCTCACCGCTTGTTTCATTGTCAGAGCCATAATTGTCATTCTTTTTCGAGCATTAAATGTCTTCTGCAAGGAAATGAAGGAATACGGTCTCGTACGATCGAGGCAGAGAAGCTAGTGTGTTAAATATTGACAGTACCTGTCTGGCTGTGTTCACGGAAATGATCGATTCGGTACCTCAAATGATCCAGCGTTGTCGTCATCAAATATAACTTGAAAACGCGATCATCGCAACCTGGGTAACGATTGCGTGGATGCATTTCACTTTTGCAGTTTGCGGATTATTTAGCCAGTACTATTGCTCCAGCTGAAATACCACACGACTTATTTACACACGCCAAATGGCCATAGCAGTAGTATGTTTTCAGGTTTGATTAGTCTATACAGCTGCTTGCACATGTTTTCTTATGTTTTATTGTGTCACTGTAAAGGTTTTGTTTTCATGTTTTACTCTTAAGTTTTCTTTCTTATATTTTATTCAAATGTTTTATTATGTTTTCTGGTGATGCTTATGTCTTTTTGTGTTACCGAAAATGTTTTTCGAACATTAGAAAACAAAAGAAAAAACAGAAGAAAACAAACGATTTACAGAAGCATTAGCCTAAGAAAGAATTTAAAAAAGTTTATTTAAGATTTTTCATAATAAATAACTTCAGCAAACATTTAAACAAAAAAAAAACATAAGCAAAATTAATCGGATAAAGTAATCCAAATTAGCTACTAAGTTAAGTAATCCATGTTAGGTAATCCAAGTCTGTTATTCAATCTAAGTTAGGTAAGTGAGATAGTTAAGTGATCCAAGTTCAAGTTAAACGAATTCAGTTCCCAGTTTCAGCAATCCAATTTCGAGTCCGAATCCAAGTTTCAGCGGGGGCCCGTAAAGAGTTGTGCAGATAGCTGACTTGCCTTGTCGTGATGTAGCACCGGAAGTAGGCGTGCCGCTCTTAGGCCTTCAGTGTAGTACTGCCATGGCTCTGCACAAGCATTCTTTAGTTTCTTTAATTCGACCAAAGTTTTTTTCAGTAAAGATTTTCTTGCCAACCCTTTAAGAAGATGTGGTTCTGCTGTCGCCTAATTCACGTATAACAGCAACTCTTCGCAAACCGCTGTTCCTGGTTTTGGGGGATGGGCATCATGGCGTCCGATAACATTACCACAGCTTTCTTGAGTGGTGCCCTTCATTCCACACTCTTAGCGTAAATTGGACCGTTCCGACATTTATCTTATCAACACGTTGGTCGCCAAAATTATTGTCTTTATTGAAGAGTGGTCGGCCAAAACCATCGCCACCCGCTGGAATGCTTGACCGGCTCCCGCAATCCCTACATTCTTGCACTCTCTGCCTTCAGTAGATGCACCTGTGGCACATCATTCCCACAAAATACATCATTCGCAAAAGATGGCGATGTGCAATTGTACATCTGTGTGGGAGTCTGGTTACTCGCTGGCTGTCATCGTGATGCAAGTTTTTCCACAATTTGTACGCGATTCGTTATTATTATGTACTCGTATTTCCGCATGCCAATGGTCTGCGGTCGTTACATAGTGAGTGCAAATCGACACCACGGTGTACGTTGCTGCTAATTTATGAGGCTCCCAAAATTATCGTCCATATCATCTTCCGTTGACTTGATGCTGGCTGCGGCAAGCGTACCAACAAAATCGCACAGTCAAGAACATCCGAACCCGTGACCACCGCCGAAATGGAAATGATGAAGTGGGAATGAGCAGACAGCGATAAATCTAAGAGCTGAATGATACGACAATGCAAATTCGGCTGAATTTTAATCGCCAGTATAATCATTTGTTCGCCGAGCTATGTTATGTGATGGCGGCGTTTGTGGATTCGCACCGAAAGCCAGAGACATACTCGTATTTTGCGGTGTTTAAGTCTCTGTCATGGATAGAAACCATCACCGATTCCATATTTTTTAGCCTGGTATTCAGCAATGTTTTCTTATGCAAATTGTGTACTAAGTCTACTGGCATAATATCTAGTACTAATCAGCCCATAAAATAATTATTCATTTTTGTGGGGTTGCGTTAACTGCGATTGTAAAATGTAAGCATGTCCGTATTGCATGCGTTTCTGCAATCTGTGTTGTATATCATATCATGCGCACGGCTCTTCGTCATGCATGCATAGCATGTGTTTGTTTAAATAAATCGATGCTTTCGACGTTCTAGAAATGTAACCATCAATTTTGGTTTGATCGCCAAATTAACTAATGCTACATTTTTTACATCAAACTCCTTGGAATATGCTACTTTTTTTGCAGCTAAGATTTGCTCGTTTTGAACTTCGACGAACCTAAAATAAAAGATTACCTATATAGGTACATAGCTCACGACATAGTACTTATAAGACATCTTGTTGTTGCTCGGCTTGCCTTTGTTGTGACATACAGACTGTACAAATCCGGAGTAAGGTGTGTCTGTTTATTCCCTTATAATTATTCTATCGTCTTTATTAATAAACTTTTACTACGGAGCAGGTAATGCGCTTGCCGAGCAGTGAACTGAAGTCTTATTTACGGTTAGACACCACTGCAAATTACGCCAAGGCCTTGCTTAATGGGCTGTATTGTGTTAAGCGTACATACAAAAAGATAGCTTACTGCATTACACATTATAAAAGGATGGCGATGTACAGTCTGCGCGGGAGTCTGGCTGATCGTTGTCATCGTAGTGTCCTTTTTTATGGCACTTTGTTGTAAGTGATACCATAAAGCCGCCTGAGTTTGCGTAAGCGGAGTTAGACTTTGCGTACGCATACTGTAGAGCCAACACAAACTAACCGCACTAGCTTGGTTTTTTACATGTTTGCGACGAATTATTGTCTCAGTTTCACACTTCACAATTCACACTATGGCTTTGGCAGTACTGTGCTTAAATCGCCCAGCCTTTTCTTATTGTGAGAAACAGGTATGGCTGCATCGTGTACAATCTATCGTATTACCCTTTTTGTAGCACAATCGCACAACCCGTGTAAACAATATATGACCAAGACGCACAAAGTGCGACAAAAACAAATTGGCAGCGTGGGTTAACACGCAAAATAAGGGGTGCTTCGCAGACATATTCCAGACGAGCACATATTCCATTTGAGTAATTGTTTACCAGCTGTATACGTCACGGAGGGATGATGAACGCAGCTTATACGTATAAGGTTAAATCAGCCAAACACATTTCTGACTTTGATTGCTAACACAACTTGCAGTTAATATTATCAAATAATCTGCTAGAACGCGTAGTTAACTTTTGTATTTCTTAATTTCTCACCGCCTCCATCATGGTTGGTGCGATATACTGGACTGTGCATGCTTAAGAGATATTACGTGTAACAGCAATTGCTGTTTGCTGCCCATTGATGTTATACTACGGCACTTGACACATTTTCTGCTCTTGAAGCGAATACACAGAAGTTTGTGAGCAAATTTGAGAATGCACAAGCGCAAAATTTGGCCATAATCATGCACTCAAAATGGTGAACAACAGCTCCTTATTAATCGCTTCCGATACCTTCCCATCGCAGTGGGGAATCATCGAAATCTTTAACACGTTAACCGCAATAACCGGTGGTCTACTGAATACTGCAGTGCTCATCACGCTTGTCACCAATCGCGCGTCTTTCACGCCGTTCACTATTTACTTAATCAATCTGCTGATCGCTAATTTTATCGAAACCGCTTGCGCCAAATTATTGAACGCTCTGCTGGCCGTCAGTCCGCAATGTCGCACTCATTCCGTTTGCGACTTTTATTTGTTCACCAGCTACCTCGCCATGGCTGGGATGATCAACAGCCACCTGATAATTTCCTTTAATCGCCTGTGGGCCGTCATCTTCCCGCACCACTACAAAATTCACCACTCGAAGGTCATGGCTGTCGCTATCTGTGGCGTAATGTGGATATACATCTTTGCCACGGTGATGCCTCAGTTAATTCGTGACTCCCTATATTTCCGCGAAGCCTACACCGTCCACGGCCGTTGTAAACTGAACAACGACGCGCAACCGGTTCTGTATTTAGCGACGTTGCTGATCGTGTATATTATCCCGGAAGTTGTCATTTTACTGACGTTCCCAGTTATTTGGCATAAACGTCAGCGTCATCGCAAGGTCTTACATATGACACTGTCCACGCAGCCGACGACCGTTGCGAGTGAGGTCACCGGGGGACGTACAACTGGTAATAATCGCGCGGAATCGTCCCGTGCACAGAAAAAAAGTATGCAGGTGCTGGTTATTCTGATGGTCAGTATGGTGATTTGTTGGACGCCGGTAATGGGTGCCACGCTGGTGGCGTGTTTCATGGACTTCAAGAACCGGAACTACTTTAACGTGGCCACATGTTTGTTTGCCGTGGAGGCGGTAACCGATCCCATTCTTTTTGGATTGGTGTTTAATCGGCATGCTCTCATGAAACTTAAACTTTGCTGGAAAACCTGAAAGTGAAAAAAACTAGCAGGTGGCGATAAAAGTATCAACTTGCTGTTGCTTTATGAGCTATTTTGACGTCGTCGCTAATTGTGCATCTTAAAATGTCCCATTGTTTGGCGGGTATACATCACATGGACTTTAAAATGGCCTCACCTGTTAGTGCCATGCTTCATCTGCAAGTGGATGATGTGCACACATTACACAAATTAACGTTTAATGGGGTTGCCTTTCTCGTATTTTTTACTAATCAGAAAAAAAATCAGTAAATGTGAAGAAAGCAACTGATAGACTGGGCTTGACTAGGCCAGTAGCTTCAAGAAGAATTACTACCGAATGTTGGAGGAAAAAGAGCACTGACAATGCATTATTTAAACTGGGATACAGACCTGAGATTACTAAACAATTCAATCAGCATTTTTTGTTAATCATAGCTAGCGTTAATTTAGATAGCTGTCAACGTCACAACGAGGGTTTGAGAACGCTAATTTGGAAAAGAGCGTTATTGCCATAACTACATATTTATTCACTTTTTTACCCTTGATTACATAATTAAAACCAGTATTGTGCATCGGAAAGTCTGCCCAGCGAATACACAGCTTGGGCAAGCCGTAAGGTGGGACAATAAGTGACAACCATATTTTATAGACAATTCCAAGGCCACTCCTATAGTCTAATCTAATTCCAAGGCCACTCCTATAGTCATTTATTGTCATGTGTAATGAGTAACTGCAATATACAAATGAAACACGAGTTAAAGAAAATGATGGCGCGACGCATGCTAAATCTTTTATAATTTTTCGAACAAAAAACAGGCAACTAAACCCGGGGCAAGAAAATACATTTCGTATCTTCACGCTTTTGTTGCCGCCAGTCCACGGATTCGTCGCTGTTCATCCGGCGTCGGAGCCGATTCGGGGCATTCCGGTTTATCTTTGTCATACTCGCACTTCGGAATCTGTTGTGCGTTTAGGCAGAACGGGGCAAAGAGCCAGTTGATTATCCCGTCTATCTCGGCTTGCTTGGCGGTTGTCATCTCGTCCGGACGCTGTTTGACTCGCACGTCCACATGCGGTGTATCACAATAACCGGTTGCCAGGTTCGGCTTGGCGCAGCGGTACAGGATCCACACGCCTTGATCCAGGTTCAGGTAGACGGTGCAGTATGTAAAGGTCACTACAGAAAAATGAAACATGATGTCACCGGACGTAGGTAACGGTAGTTCAATTACTTCAGTAAGCTTTTCAGTACAGCTGCCATTTCAACCACTTACGAATTGGCTTCGTGTCGACGTAGCCGTCAACCACCTGCAGTCCGGTGAAGGCGGTGAATCCCAGGAAATCCATATTGCTACATGTCGTGGCGTTCTCTGATTCGTAGAAGGACACCGCAGTGCGCTGGGCGGCAGCGGGGATATTGGTCTGTCCCGGAAAGGACGTCTTGCCGAGAGACTTCACGCGGTAGACGCGGTTGATGCCGTTCGGGCCCGTCAGGAGATGCCGGTATATGTACCACGTCCCTTGTAACTGAAAATAATTTTTCAAGTGCACCCAATTTGCAATTCTATTTTATGTATTTATTTTTTATATTACTTTGTTTATTCTGTTTACGGCGCTTACCTTGTTTACACACAATTTCTATTGTATTTTTTTAATTCTGTAATTTTCTATATTTTTTAATTTAATTGCTGTTCATCGTAACGGCGTAATTAAGACAAGTTCATGAAAATTGCGCTCGTACCACATCGGGATCGTAATTGCTGGGATACGGTCCACATGTCATGATCGGACGCGGACAGCTCTGATATCCCGGTGGCGGGCCAGGATAACTTTGATAATTCGGTGGATTACCGTACTGCAGGGGATTTCCTAAGATCCCAACTAAAAGAAAAGGAGCCGATGAAATGCCAATCGCTTTGCACGCAGCACGATGCTGCACGAAAACAGCTGGCAGCAGCGCAGCTAAATAATCCCGGTACTTGCGGCTAGCTGGCTACCGGGTGGAGTACAACTTTGAGAATGGGCATGCTGCTTATGCAGTGCACTGGGTTTGCTTATATTGCGAGCTGTAATGCCGAACTACGTCGGGTGACGGCAAAAAATAACAAAATTAATTAGCTAATAAAAAATTTATTGCTAGCGCTTTTCTAGTTAAATTTACTGTAACTGCGCTTATAAAAAGATTATATTTACCGAGAAGCAACGCTTGAGCGCCGACCAAGGCAATAAGCATGGTATCGCGCATTTTTTTTAAAAAATCGCTAGAAACGACAGCAAAAATTAATGTAAAGATTTGGTTATTGGACTTTAATTTAGCAAATTGCTGATAATGTCATCGGCCATCGACCACTGTTGACTCGTTACCGTCGCCAGAAAGCGATGTACCCATGTTCCAACGGTATAATATATACGAATGTTTATTAAATCGCGCGTTGCGGTTTTGAATATTCACTGTTAGCAGAGGAGCCAACCCGCGTTCGATCAGGCGTAGATTAAAATTAAAAAAAACCGTGTGCATACATGTATGTTGCTCGTATTGCTTGTAGGAAGGCTGCTGTTGCATAATCTGTAACAGTTTATCTCCCATCTTTGGAGTCAACAATTACGCTTGTTGACCGTGAGAGTTCCTCGCAAAAAAATGGAACTGAATGTAACGTAAAAATGTGCCGCTTTGGTACAAGGAGCTGTTATACGTGTCCATTATTCGGGAAGGGGAAAACATAGACTGCTTGCACTGCTTTCCTGTACTACTCCAGTCATCCGTTTCAAGGTTTCAAGATAACTCAGTAAAGAATTTTGAACCGAACGCAATTAAGGTCATATAAGAAATTAATCGTGAAGTGGTAATCACGTGATGCAAATTAATAAATGAAGTGGTTATTTTACCGCAGTCTTTGCGGCAAAACATCAAAAGTTATTTATTAATAAATGCGGTAGCATTGCCTAAGACGAATAAGTACATACCAATTAAACATCGCCACATTCACAGTGATACCGCGCGTAAATTGTATATTGCTGTACAAAACCCACGTTTCACCTACAAAATTTAATGCAACAAATTCGGCCAGACGACTAAAAGACTACCAGGAACCCGTGAAAATCTCAGGCGTTTTCCTTCTATACGATCAGCACAGTGCTGTCTTCTGTTTTCAGATGTTTAATCAATATCTAGTATCTACTGAATCAACAAATATCAGTACAATGCTTGTGCTTGGCAGAGCTTAATACGTATGAAAAAACGTACTTATCGCACTTGAGCAGCATAGCTAGTTTTGCAAAAAATACTGAACAAAAGTTTTTACAGTAATATTGCCATCGGAAAAAGCTAATTCATTTGGAAAATAATATTTACAGCCACACATCCAGCAAATCAGGACATTTTGATAAAATGCTATACTTTCAGCCAGTACGAGTACCATGGTTTTCGAATTTGTACCCATTACGTATTTCTCATTACAAAGGGTTTATGACTTCATTTTCGTTACGTTAGCGTTTCGAAAATATGGAAAACCAAGACTGAATCCCAAAATACAATGTTTTCCCACAGTACGGTTTAAGCGTTGGCATTTAATAAGCCGGTAATAAGCTTTATGCAGCATAAACTGCGCAGTTACTATTGTCATTTTTTGTAGCCGGCATGTCGCTGATGTCATGTCGCATTTGTTTGTATATGTAAATTAGTGGCTGCATGTACAAACTGGAAAATTTTGGACAATTCTCACGGGACTAAATTCCTGTAAATAGGGCTTTTACAATCATTGTCATACTGTTCATAGTATACTCTGGATATGCGATACTAGAACACAGTCTATTATCCATCCAACTGCGTACAGACTACATACAGTATGTTTGATCAAGTGCGCATATTAAAATACACCAATCTCTAATTAAATTAATTTTTCTGAATCGTTAGAAAAGAACCACTCATAGAAAAAATCTTTGATTTATTGAAATATTCTGAGGATTTATTTCTTCGGTAATTACTCAAAAATCGACTTGCGGTTTGTTTTAAATTGGAAGAAAAGCGCATGTTTTTTTTTAAATAGGCGGTAAAAAGCGCATGTTGTTTGATTATTTTGGCGATTACAGACGTCTATATAGGGGGCAAAACTAAACGTGTTCCACGGTTCCCCTGTATTGCTGCCGTCACCCGGCTGGAGTTTTACGTTGTGGCTAAACATGGCGCTTATGTACCGCGCCAGATTTAACCATATGTATTGCCGTAACGTCACACTCCAGGCGGGTGACGGCAGCAATACAGGGGAACCGTGGAACACGCTTAGTTTTGCCCCCTATAGAAAGCCAACACAAATTATATGAACTGCTAAGGTAGCACTGACTTATTTTAAAACGACTGTCCCAAATCCTTGTGTAGTTTTCAGCGTAAGTATGGTGCTTTATTCGGTTTTCTTGTTTTCTTTTCAATGCAAGCACCAAATATGTATTTATCACAGGTCACATGCCTTTTGGTGGTTCCACATGATTACGAATTCAAAAGATTGATGCGGCTCCTAAACTTGTAACTCTGTCTGTCCTTTGAGGAAGATCGTCTAATTGAAAAATCAAATGACGTCACTGGCTAAATGTAGAAATTGACATAATCTGTTGTAAAAGGTAGCTAATCTGATATTCAGGTACTGCAGAGCGCCGTAACCTATCTTGAAGGCATGCGCAAGAGCTCAAATGATTAAATAACATTGTATAAAACGCGTCAACTAAGCGCACATCATCGTTGTAGCATTTAGTTCAACGACAGTTACAACGAAAAGCGAGGAGCAACGAGTCAACAATTCACTAAGAGATTGCCTCATCCTGCGAAAGACCGCGACGTGGGAGTAAAAAACTCGCTAGAGTGCCAACGTCATTTAAAACGAGATACATGTTGTTAAGCATTTTAATGTAGCCGAATCAAGCACACTCGCCTTATATAATTTCTATTATTGATTACCAATATCCAACGGTAAATATAATCCTTCTGTTTTCTTTAATAAATGGAAAGTTCCACAGAGCATGGCACCGCAGGTTTAATGCTAATAAATCTCATGTTTACCAACCAGTCTGAGAAAGGTTCGCTCGTATTTACATTGGAAAGACATGCTCGGGTAATACTGTAAGGTTTTGGGTAATGTTTTCTATTTAATGCATCCTGTCTCGGGAAGTATACGAGTAAATTATCTACATATACGAGCAAATTACTACTTCCGGTAAATTATCTGATATATCCAATTACAGATAGACGTTTTCTTATTATCTTTTCCTGTGTATTTCTTCCAACAACGGCGCGGAAATAAATGCAACATGCTGCGTCAACTGTTTCTTCAATATAATTCTTTTTAATTCGATGATCTGATTATCCAGGGCTTCTTGGGCTGATTTCATGCGCACGAAAAATGGCCAACAACAGCTCTTTATCCACTTCGCAGGGCGATGCTCCTCCTAACTGGGGAATCGTGGAGATGTGCAATGTCGTGACTGCCGTCATTGGCGGCCTGTTGAACACATCTGTCTTCATTTCTTTAGCAGTGAGCCGCGTTATCTCTGTCCCTTTCACCATTTACCTGCTTAACCTTCTCATTGCCAACTTCCTGGAGACGGCCTGCGCCAAACTGGTCAACGCCCTTTTAGTGGTCTGCCTTCCGTGTCGCACGCATGCATTGTGCGACCTTTATCTTTTCAGTAATTATTTAGCTATGGCCGGTATGATCAACACCCATTTACTCATATCTTTCAATCGCTTATGGGCCGTGACCTTTCCGCATTCCTACAGGATCCACCATTCCAGGAAAATTGCCATCTGTATCTGCGTGGCTATGTGGTTTTATATTCTCTCTACTGTACTGCCGCAACTGATTCGTGATTCGATTTATTTTCGCATTCCCTTTTCTCGGCATGGCCGATGCATGCTGAACAATGACGCTCAACCGATTCTCTATTTTGTAACTTTAATGGTTGTCTACATCATCCCGGAAGTTGTGATTCTGCTAACGTTCCCAGTTATCTGGAGGAAGCGGAAGCGGTATAAAAAGGTGGTGCAGCTCAATCTTTCGGCTCAGCAAGTCAATACCAAAGAGATCGAAAATACGGGTACTCGGATCACCGCGCTGAGTCGATCGCCGGAGTCGTCAAAATCGCAACGGAAAAGCATGCAGGTATTAGTGATCCTGATGGTCAGCATGATAATCTGCTGGACGCCGGTAATGGGTGCCACTGTTGCCACTTGTTTTGTGGACTTCAAAAACCGGATTTATTTTGGCGTTACAACATTCTTGTTTGCCTTGGAAGCCATCACGGATCCCATCTTGTTTGGTGTGATATTCAGCCGCGAAGCGTTTAGGGATATGTGGCATCGTTGGATGAAAGTCTGTCAATAATTAACTGAATGCTATAGTTTGGAACCTGCTGGGCTTGGTACGGTTATGGACTTTAGAAACATTAATTTTTCTGGTTATTATGCTATGTTGAACGTACAAGCTTTGTACAGCTTCTGTACAAACTCTAATGCGACTTTAATGCAGTATTCCTGAATTACTTAAACTCGTGCGTGTACAGAATTTGGTACGCTTATCGCGCTTCTGATGCAGTATACAAAGGTTTCCTTTTTCATTGCCATAAAACAGTGCAGATTTTACATGCCGTTTCCTTCCTTGTATGCCGGCTCAAAAACTGATAAGTAAATGTAACAAAATTTATATTGTACGAAAATGGCTGAGCGTCGGTTTGATGCAGGGGTCAAATAACATAATAATACACAGTAAGTTCCCGCTAGAAATCTAGGAACTTCATTGTCTATAAATGCTCGTTACGAGCTTTTGAATTGAAATGCTCGTACAGTCGTACCTGTACGTATGGAAGGGTCTGCCTTGCGCTTGTATTGCGCGTACCGTACCAGCTCACTGGACTGATTTTTCTACGTTTATCTTTTCTTTGTTGTGTTATCTTGCTTTCGTGCGAGTAGACTGATATGTCAGTTCGTATTATCTTAACACGTTTAATAAAATTAATGATATTCTCGCTTTACTTTAGGCTTCTGTATGTACCGTTTGCGTTAATATGATGCGATAGACGTAGTGTTAGCTAGGATACGGCAACATAGGCGGCATCACTCTAGACCTGCAAGTTTTAACCATAAACAGTTCCTGGCTAGTTTGGTATAGAAACCTTGTAGTTGAGTTACAGCAGCAACACATAGTAGCAGCAGCAACATAGTGGAAACCGTACCTGTTGTATAGGTAGTTAGGATGGACAGCGGAAGTACCGAGCCCTATGGCAACCGGAACGCCGCTGCAGCCGCCCATCTGCAATATGGAATCACACTGGTGCACCCTTGTTTAAAACAATTTGCTGTTAAAACCATTGAAAGCCAGAGCTCCACCTTAACTGCCGCCACGGTAGCCTATTTTAAAACAAACTTCCATGATTTTAGTCAAACAATTTATTTTATCTTGGACAACTGGAAAAATGGTGGATTTGATCAGGGATGCAAGAAGATGCTGAAAACGTATTTAAGACGCTGTAGAAATATTCGTAATGACGTCTCCCATCAGACTTACCGGAATACAGACAGTCATGACAGGAGAATTGAGGATTTGTGTCATGTGATGAGGGAAATCGGTCATCCCCTCGAGGCGGAGAATCTTCAAAACTTTATGAAACCACAACCGTTGGTAAACACCTCCTGGGAAAAGTTGAAACAACTGGGGAATCAACATTATAAAGAAGGTCGCTACACAGAGGCTATGATAAGCTATACGGAGGCATTGAAAGAAAAACCGGACGAACCAGCGCTTTATTCTAATCGTGCGCTGTGTGAAATGCAACTGGAACGCTTCGAAGATGCACGCAATGATGGGGAAGATGCCCTGAATTTAGACGCTAACAATGTTAAATTTTATCGAATCTTATCCTAAGCACTCGTGAAACTCGGAAATCTGGAGGAGGCGTTGGCAGCCTGTGAGCGCGGACTGGAGATTGATCCGCGGGATGGTGTGCTCCTGGTTCGGCAACGTGACTTCCAGGCGATGATGGTCATGAAAACAACCAATCAACACCCGAGAAGAGATACCAAAGAATTCATGGAAAAAAGCAACGAAATGATATTCGACCCTAATGATTCGGATTTGTTTCAGCGCTTTTTCGCTCAGAACCCTGATCCAAAGGATATCCGGGTACTGGATGATGCCCAGTACAACCAATACGCCAAATTCTTGGCTCTCTTACGAGAGGCCCACAGTTATCTGAACGGCGCAAGACAACAATCCAAAGATCCTAAAATGGCATTCAAGATTTTCAAAGAAGCAGCTGAATTAGGTTGTGCAGAGGGTCAGTACAATTTGGGACACTTGTACGCAAATGGACTGGGAACCAATGCAGACTATGCGCTAATGTTACGTTACTACCGGCTTGCTGCGGAACATAAGCCTTTTGTAAAGTGGGGAGCAAGGATCATGTCTGAACTTGGTGAGTCAAGCAGCCTAACTCTGGAAAGTAAATGTGAAAATGAACAGGCACTGGCGATAACCAATTGCTCAGCAATAAAGAAATGATTTGAAAGTTTGCTGGAAAAAAGTTCTAATTCGCTCGTCTTGTTAAAAGGTACAACCAAGAATTTCGCGAATTCGACAGAAAAAGTTTTTAAACTAGAGATAAAAACATTTTACTAGGAGGTGACTTCAATCGGCCAATAGTTGCGTTCCGTGAACCGAGTCACAAAAAGTGACTCAGCAGAACCTGTATTCGCTCAAGTTTTCTTCCGAATCTTAATCGCATTCCATGCTTAGCGCATCCGATTACAAATATTCAAAATTTTGAAGACTTTTATTCGAAATCGAATTTAACAGAGGAAGCTTGATTAGAGAAAATATCCTTTCAGGATATCAATTATTTTGCAGATTTCAAAAGAATAGCTGGATTTACGGTTAGGCAAGATTTGGTGTTTAAACAATATTTTTTGTCGTTGTGTTGTCAGTAGAGTCCTGTGCGTAGTAATATACGCACCCGGTTTCCTCGCGCATATTAACTAACAAAATTTAGGCTTAATGGTACTGAGAGCTGTAACAGTCGCCTTTTGTAAGTGGTAACTCGTACTCTACAAGTACAGAGTAGTTGACTGAAAATGGCTTTGTGGTTGCTTTCGTAACAGGCGTGGCGGAGGCTGAGAACGCCTTAGGTAATGTTTACCGCGACGGTCGAGGTGTCGACGTAGATTACGCTAAAGCCTTTCGACATTATACACGAGCAGCTAGCTGGGGACAGCCTGAAGCGCAAAATAATATGGGGTGCTTCCTGTCTAACGGGCTCGGCGTTGCAAAAAACTACCAATTCGCCCGCAGCTGGTTCGAACGTGCGGCTAAGCACGGCCTGGCCGAAGCGCAGATGAACTATGCCGAAATGCTGGAAGATGGGCGAGGGGGGCCAGTGGACGAAGAAGGGGCATTGGAATACTTTCAAAAGGCCGCGAAGCAGGGAATGCCGGGCGCTATTGAGGCGCTTCACCGCATGGCAGTGAACGGGTCAGCAAGCCAGCCTCACAAAGCCGCTTTCGAGGATCTACTCAAAAGCTCCACAGCTAATAAGGACATCAACGCTTTGTTTTTTAAGGTAAGGACAATTAGCACGAAAGCTCAGCTGAAAATTGATGAGTTCGGTTTTTTCGGGGATGCACAGCCAAATAAAATTTTGGTGACCACTCCGTACACAACCTTTCACTACCTTTTACTCAGTACACAACCTTTTGCTCTACTTTTCATTTCGTGCACAACCTTTTTGCGCTACCTGTTTTTCGGTACACTATCTCTTTGAGCGCCATCTTTGACTCTTGTACACAGCCATTCCGCACTACCATTTTCTGCGTACACTACCTTTTATTTTTTAAATATTTTCACAGCAAAGTTAGTTTTGGAACTCTTGTTTTTTCGTTATCAGCTGTTATAGCTGCATACCTAATTTAAAGCATCATCGGCAGTTATAAAATCGAATTCCCGTGAGTAAATAATTTTAGGCGCCCGTGTGCCGGTTTTTCTTTGCAGGGTTTGGAGAGTGCCGTTTTTGAACGAATTTTCGACCCCTGTGTCAGAAGTATTTTAAGTATAAGAGTATATACTCGTAATAGTATGGTAGTGCACCGAAGGAAAGGTAGCGTGGACTGCTAGTGTGCCAAGTGAATGGTAAGGTCAGATGTAGTACCGAAAGAAAGGTAGTGCCCGAGAAAAATGTGCACGGAATGAAAGGCTGTTCAAAAGGTTGTGTACGGAGTAAAAGCTAGCGAAAGGGAGTGTACGGAGTAGTCACCTAAAATTTTAATAGATGAGTCAAATCAATTATCGTAATTTTATCAAGCATAAGCCTACCGTCATACATCGCAACGCAACGCTGTACGGACAACACTGCAAGCACTGAAGCACAGCATGAGGTATCTTGGGACCATTCATTGGAAGTTTGGAACAAACCTCACTGTCCACATACGACCAAACCATATCAAAGAACCATTCTACTGTATAACCTTTATTTTGAAGATAACCGATTTTTGTGCTGGGTAGAGACTACTGCGCTAAATCTAATAATTATTTTTTGTGTTTACTTGTTTTTATGCAAATCATACAAATAACAGTATCTTGTGTTTCGGTCTAATTTTCATATTTAAGCACATCCAAAGCAGAGCTTGTTCGACAAAAAATTGTATAGATAATACTACTTACACCATATTATGAAATTTGTGAATACGCACTCGCACTTCTTAGCTTCCAGATACAGCGCCGATGACTTCTCTAAAGGTGACCTTTAATGCTTAACTGGCATGTACAAAACCGTTTGCTAATTGCAGGGCAACATGGAAAACGAAATGCGTAATTACGATGAAGCAGTTATTTGTTGGAAAGCAGCTGCCGATCTGGGACACCTGGAATCGAAAATTGTACTGTGGAATCTACTACTACACCGCAAACGACAAAATGAAAGTGCTTTTCTGTACTGCTTGGAGGCGAGTCAAGCTGGCGATGTGGAATCTCAGCTGCGTCTCACTGTTCTTTACGCGACGGGTACAGGGTGTGCTCGCGACGCTGCTGCTGCTAAGAAATGGTTTCAACGTGCAGTTTCCCGCATTCCCGGAGAATCAAGCCAATACATGTCCCAAAAAGAATTTGACGAGTTGCTGGTGACAGCAGAAAGGGTTTGCAGTTTTGAGACACGAATGTCTTTATCCAGCAAAGGTTTAAAATGGGAACAGAGGCTGCTTCGATACATGGAAGCTCGGGATGTGTCCGAAGATGACCGCAGGATGATCGAAAATTATCGGCATATTCAAAGACTGAGCGAGCTTCCTGATCCGTTGCCCGTTAGCACTAACATACCATCCATAATAAGAAAACCCGACATGCAGGCAGTGATATTAGCTGCCGAACGCGGTTCCACCGTTGCTGCTGATGTTGCTAAGGCTTGGATGATGAATGCTGAGGCTCTGCAGGCGTGGGATCTTGGTAACCATAACATGGCATTCTCGCTCTTTCGAGAAGCGCAAAAATATCATGATGTTGTTGAAATTCACAACTTCGATATGGTGGCATTTATCGAAGAGCAGTCTTTAAACACGACGGACGCAATGTTTGTAAAAGCTTGCCATTTCGGCAATAACATTCAAGGTACGGCATGCATATCTGAAAACGCTGAATATTTCTACAAACGTTAACTTCAAATATTTTGGTACAGGTTCAATTTACTATGTCCTACGCTGCATTCGTAAGCATCCTATGGAAGCTGATTTTCACAACCTACTTGCCAATCTGTATGGATTTGCCGGCCGCTTCGATGATTCGCTAAGTAGCGCTCAACGAGCATATGAAATTGAAGCGCGACCAAATTTTTTGTACACAATTGCCACGGCTATGCGCATGCGGTTGCCCGCGCCGGATGAGCGAAGGAAAAAGATTAAACAGAAACTGTACGACAAAGCACGGCTGAAAGTCATAGAGGCGTATTTAAAATTTTTGGACCACAACCCCCGTGATCACCGTAAAGTCCCGACTGTGCTCTTTTGCTTGGCATCGTTGCATTTAACTTCGGATATGAGCGAAATGGGAAAGTGCGCAAGTATTACGAAGAAGCGCGTACTGCGGAAGAGCGACGTCTCCCATGTTTTGAAGCCGTAGCAGATAGTTTCCCGCCCAAAGATACGGTCAAAAGAATTTTAAAATTACAAGGTTTTGCTGGTCGAGAAAAAGATACTTGAACAGAAACAGCAGAAAATGCGCCGCACTGGCAGAGATACAGCGGTTTTCCTCTTCCTCAAAGCATATCTGTCTAACCAACGCTAACCAGAACCAGGAAGTTTTTACTGGGAAATAAATCTTATCTGCATAATTTTAACGTTGTCCAAAAGTAGTTTTTGGTTTCCAAGAACATAAAAAATAACGCAGTATCGGCTGATTGTACTTGCTTTGGCATGCCGGTCTAATGAAAAAATGTTTGCGTTTAAAATAGTGGATCGTGAGTGTTGATTTTCGTCTTTTAATTGTTCATGGAGTAATACCGGTAAAGTAGCTTTCTGATGAAAGAAACGGAAGAACTTCGCTATAGCGCCCTTGTTGTTACTGAAGCGGAAGTATGTACTGGATGCGTATACGGATATATTTCATTGTACACTCGGGCTTGTAGCAAACTCAAGCGTACTGCATAATTTTTAATAAAAGTCACCATTGCTTAATAGTCCATGTAATTCTGTTTTTCTTAAAAGGAAAAATCAAAAATCCAGTATTTAGCTGAAACTTAGTTTACAGCTAGGCGTGATCGTGTTATTACATATATAATCGACCGAAGCGTAGCGAAGGTCATCTATGTTCAGCGTTCATGAAAAATGTGGTGTCTGTCGGTCACCGCCATCTAATGCACATATGCCCATATGCGCGGTCTGCTCCTTCCATTGCCAGGGAGTAGTAGGGACACCAAATCGGATACGGAGTGAATCGAAGCCAAAAAGGCGGGAAGTGCTAATTCCTCCGACCGACGAATGCTGATATTTAAGAGATCTATTTCTCTGATAATTTAGAGTTAGAATTTTGCATTTCTATCTTTACACCATACGTAAGCGACAAATATCTGTGTGTACGAAGCCAGGAAGTGGGGAAACAGTCACAGCAGCTCGGTTTGGCAAGCGCCATACCGGCATGCATGGACAAGCTGGTTTCTGGTCTGACAGTAGGTAACGAATTTTGTAAGGATAGAGTAATCAACCGTAAAAGTATTTGTAGAACCGTATTAAACAATCAGCTCATACGAAAACATTTCGGTGTTTCGCCGGGAAAGTTACCGCCATCTACTCGAACGGTGAGGCTGGATTATTTTACTCAGTCACCATTGGTGACTGAGTAAAACAAAACAGACTTCGCGTTACCCGATTCGTCAGCGATGAAATTTGAAACAATATTACATATATATTGTCTAGAAACACATCTAGAGCCGGTGAAACCATGCATCCGCCGGCTCAGAAGTTTCGCCGGCCCAGAAGGACGTCCACCGTAACTGTGACCTTAAATGTTTCTTTTCAAGTAGGTTTTGCAGAATAATTTTCGATATGGCTGGCAATTTTTGCCATGTTCCGAGAACAGCGGAATGTTTATCTGTCTAGGAGACCTCACTGGTTGCATAATTTTACTCTTTACACTTCATAATCATAACATTCATACTACAAATTTTTGCTACTATTTAAAAATGTATTTACTTCTACGCTTCGGTCATGCAGTGCCCGCCAGAAGCGAGTGCACTTTCCTAGTTATTCGTGTTTTCGTTCCAAGCATTCAAACGTTTTTGTATTCCTGCATGTCTGTAATTTGGGTAACGGTTGCGCTTCGACGTCAAAGCGGAACGACTACCGAGCGGACAGATAAGCTGATAATATATCCCAGAATTTTGGCAAATCAACCAAACTGCTTATCTGCTTACGCACCGGAGGTCCGGAACGCCATGTTTTTTACTCCGCTACTGCCGGTTGAGCGTCGCGTAACGATTACGCAGAGCTACTGATCTCTTCCAATTCAGTTTGGTGCATTATTAGGTACGAAAACCTATGTCCAAGGCTTGAGACAATCTGTTGCAACTTGCAGTTGATATTTTTATTTATTCTCAGACATATATAGCCGTCTGTGGGGTCGCGGTTCGTAAAGGGTATCCGCAAAAGTAGCTTTTACGTTTTGCGTAAAACATTGACGACAAACTTGATCACACGACAAATTTTGGTTATTGTAAGCAATGACCACGGAATTAAGACTAAATTCATAAAAAGAGAATACCGTTAATTGAATTTTAATATCGATTTTACTGAGTAGCCATCGCGGTTCGAAAATAAAAATTAAGAACAGTATCTTAATGCTGATTGCAGTCGGACGGTTAAAAACTGATAAAATTTGTACGCAGCACAATATCATTGCTTCTATTTTTCCTATCTCAGAAAGCTCATATGAGTTCATAGCCTCGGCCCTCGGCTAATATAATGTTTCTTGGTGCCTAGTGGAAATTCCTGTTGATCCTTACGAAGAGCCACACGTTCGCTTGTGCAGACGCCAGTGTTTTACTTGACATTCTTTACTACAGTACGTGGCTTTGCGGCATTTGGTGCACCTGTAAGCAGGATTGTCTTTTCCGCAGTTGGTACATTTATCGACGGCTTTTTCCTGAACGCTGGTTTCAGCGCCCGGTTTTACTGAGTCAGCGAGGTCTCGCATTTGTAGAAACATTTTTACCGTTGATTTGCGCGATGAGCCGTCTTTTACAGCCTCGAAACATGGCAGACGTTGCTTGTCCGCCGCACATGCTTTGTCGTAATATTGGCGTACTTTATCCAGATCGTTTTTGCTTTTAATCAGGTACAGATATGCCACGCCAAACAGTGCAGACGGAACGTAGCGCGCATCGCTTGGGTTTTCGCTCAGGTATTTGAAATACGCATCAAGCACCGTTGGTGATGTTTTTTCGTACAAGTCGCCCGTTACAGTGTTGCGCCTCAGACTAGGCTCCAGCAACGATTCCAGCATAGCGGTTGCAATGGTATACAACCAATTCGGTCGCGCCTCGAGCTTATACGCTAGTTGAGCACTTGCTAATGCTTCACTGGATCGTTCGGCCGCAAGGTATAAATTAGCCAGAAGATTATGAAAGTCAGCTTCCTTGGGATGCAAGCGGATGCAGCGTTGCACATAATGAATTGCGCCTAAAACGAAAAATATTGAATACTCTGTAATTTACGAGTTTACGCATTGCAGACATTTGCGTAATCACACTTATAGGTCTTCGCACTGTAGATACAAAATGGATAATATTACCCGATTCCGAATGTAGCCTCACAATGGAAAGTGATTTCTTATTACCCAGCTTAAATTGCTCATAAAATTTGCTTTTGCAATCAAAAGTTAGAAACAAACTAAATAGAGCTTTAAAAACTAAATACCCTACGCACCTTGGGTGTCGTTGACAAAATGGCAAGCCTTAACGAACATCGCATCCGGTGTGTTGACCGAATGCTTTTCGATATATGCCACCATATCGGGATTGCGAATTTCCACAATATCGTGAAACTTCTGTGACTTTCGTAAAAGCGCAAATGCCCTGTCATGGTTGCCCAATGCCCACGACTGCAGAGCTTCGGCATTCATCATCCGAGCTTTGACGATATTTTGTGCCGTCACCGAACCGTTCTCAGCGGCCATCATTACGGCGAACATATCGTCTTTTCTAAGCTGCTTTGGAATATTCGTACCGAAGGGAAGTTGATCAGAGCGCTCATTCAGTCGGTTGACATTTTGAAACTTTTCACTGATTTTGCGGTCAATTTTGGAAGCATCTTGAGTGTCCAGGTAGCGAAGCAGTCGCTCCTCCCATTTCAGCCCTTCGGTAACTAATGACGATTGTTCCTCATAACTGCAAACTACCTCTGCTGTTCTTAAGGTTTCATCGAATTCTTCTTGGGAAATATGATGGCAGGACTCTTGAGGGATGCGATGAAGGGCGCGCCGGAACCATTTCTGGGCAGCTTCAGGGTCACGAGTACATCCGGTGCCGGTTGCGTAGAACTTCGCTAAAGATTGCTGTGAGATAGCGTCCCCGGTCTGACTCGCTTCAGAACAGTGCAAAAATGCATCGGCATTCTGCCGTTTTTGGTGCAAAAGCAGCTTCCATAATTCAATTTTCGACTCCAGGTGTCCCAAATCAGCCGCTTCTTTGTAGTAAATTATCGCTTCGTCGTAATTGCGCAGTTCATTTTCTTTATTTCCCTGAAAAAAATTTGTTACTTATCAAACTGAAACGTTATAAGCAAAAGTCTGGCAAACTTCAATTTAATATCACACCCGTATCAGAAAACGTAATTTTAATTTAAGACAGCGCGGTAACAATTGCAACCAAGTTTATGCATCACTCACGAGTATCAGTAAGCTGGCTTACCTTGAAGAACAACGCGTTGACGTCTTTTTTTGCAGTAGATTTCTCCAAGGTATTTTCAAAAGCGTTTCTTTGATGTTTATTGGCTGATCCGCGCAACGACATACGGTGCAGCGCATCAATAGCGCCCTGCATTCCTTGTTGCGCAGCTTTTTGAAAATATTCAAACGCCCCTTGTTCGTCTACTGGCCCGCCCCAGCCGCGTTCCAGCAGTTCAGCATAGTTCATTTCCGCTTCCGCAATGCCCGCCTTTGCAGCGCGTTCGTACCAGCTACGGGCTGACTCCATATTCCTAGTGACACCCAGTCCGTTAACAAAGCAGAAGCCCATATTGTTTTCCGCTTCCGGCTGCCCCCAGTTTGCTGCTTTCTGATAATGAGAAAAAGCTTTCTTCAGGTCTACATCCACGCCTCGACCATCGCGGTATGCATTACCCAGGGCATTTTCTGCTTCTGCAACGCCTATTGCAAAAGCTGTTAATAATGTGCGATTACAACGTTTGTGTTCTTTTACTCGTCTGACTGAGTTGGGACTAACTGACCATGTTATTAATGGCAGCAGATACCCTACTACTCTAGCCGATCGTCCATTGCAGGCTTCTAAGCACCCGGGCTTACCTATTTCAGGCATGACTTGCCCTCTCCATTTTTTAAACGGCTTCTGATTTGCAGCCAACTGGTAGTAACGAAACATCAGCGCATAATCGGTATTTGTTCCCTGTCCATTAGCGTACAACACGCCCAAATTATACTGGCCCTCTGCACATCCCAAGTCAGCCACCTCCTTGAATGTCCGAAAGGCTTTCTTCAAATCTTTAGGCCGTTCGCGGGCTCCGTAAACATAACTGTGCCCTTCTCGCAGGAGTGCCACGAATTTCGCATGCTCGTTAAACTGAGCATCGGTCAATACTAGAATGTCTTTTGGATCGGGATCTATGCCGAAGAATCTTTGCAGCAAATTAGATGGAACATCGGCCAGTCCGTGTGTGTTCTCCATGAACCCTTTGGCATCCGTTCTAGGATGCTGATTGGTTATTTTCATTACCAACATCGCTTGAATGTCTCGTTGGCGAACTAAAATTGCGCCGTCACGCGGATCAATTTCCAGTCCGCGCTCACAGGCTGACAACGCCTCTTCCAGGTTTCCGAGCTTCATCAGTGCTTCAGATAAAATGCGATAATATTTAGCCGTGTTACCATCTAAGTTCAGCGCATCCTCTGCATCATTTCGCGCATCCTCATACCGTTCCAAATTGATCTCACACAAAGCACGGTTGGAATACAGCGTCGGTTCGTCTGGTTTTTCTTTCAGTGCCTCTGTATAGCTGATCATGGCTTCTGTATAGCGACCTTCTTTAAAATGCTCATTCGCTAATTGTTTCAGCTGTTCCCATGATGTTTTCACCAACGGTTGCGGCCTCATAAAGTTTCGAATACTGTCCGCCTCCCGGGGAAAGCCAATCTCCTTGACTACGGGACACAGATCCTCAATCTTTCTGTCATGATTATCGGTGTACTGGTTGGCTTGATGCGACACGTCATTGCGGACATTTTTGCAGCGTAATAAATAAGACTTCAAAATCTTCTTGCATCCCTGCTCAAATCCTCCTTTTTTCCAGTTATTCAGAATAAAATGGACAGTTTGGTTAAAATCGTGGAAGCTCGTTTTGAATTTCGTTACTTTGTCGGCAGTAATGGTTGATCCCTTATCTTCGATGGATTTGACAGCGAACTGTTGTAAGCAAGAATGTGCCAATGTGATCCCATACTGTAGATGAGCGGCGGCAGCGGCGTCGCGATTAACGTAGTGTTCGGCCATGAAGACCGTAACAGATGCGCTTCCAGTACGTGAGCTACTTCCCAATGTGATTAAGGTTGTAATACTTTTATCAGTGCTAAACTACCGAGTAATTTTTTGGTGAAATCGAAATTCAAATAGGACAGCGATGCTAGTCATACTGTATTGTCGTCAGCTCTGCTGATGGTACGAAGTTTCAAGCATTGCGTTAGCAGGTATCTCAAAAATACTTAATTTGCGAGCGATATAATATCAGTAACTTATTATACCATATCTTTATCCACCATGGACTACAGCTGAAATATCAGTTTGTTATCACACTATTGGACACTAATGGTAAGCGTTGCGTTAGCAGGTATCTCAAAAATACTTATTTTGCTAGCGATATAATATCAGTAACTTATTATACCATAATATTATCTTTATCCACCATGGACTACAGCTGAAATATCAGTTTGTTATCACACTAATGGTAAGATAATACGAGCTATCGAAACTGTTATGTCGCGCGACAAAGAACGATAACGTGTTAGGCAAGGAAAGCATATGCCGTAAAAGGATTTTGTTGTAATATTAGTTCCGTCATGGCACTTTACATTAATTTTATACTTACTTTATCTCCGAGATTAAAATGTCATAGCGTACTGCTTTTTCATTCCCTTCATGCAAAGCTGTACTGCACACGTACTCGGATACAATTTTACAAGCGTAATACGTATAGTACATAAACCGGTTGCTCTAACAATGCCGCATCATGAAGGAAACCTATCATCAACGTATAGGGTCAACCTATGAATAAGAAGCTTATGATAACCGTTGTTTTGTGAATGCAAGAAATGTACCAGGAATTAGTCAAGATACTCGTAAAAATAATAATTAATGTGCATGCATTGCACACAAATACACCAGCTCGTGATACTAATTAAAAACTTGGTTCATTTAAGCGATTCTAGGCTTCGGCCTTATTACGCAATCGAATCGGCATTACTGTTCCTAGCACAGCTAGTATATTGAAACCTCGTTCAAAACTTTATGTCAGCAATCAATATTTTGGAAATGGTTATTTAAGATAATGCCATTGTTATATTTACGAATACCTAAAGCAGTCTGACTGCGGCATATGTTTTTGAGTATCAGTTATTTTAATTTTATGAACAGCATAGATTGCCTTGAGATCAGGCAAAAACGTAATAATGGTAAACATTTATGTATCGAGTAATGACACGAATAGCCATAGTGGATAATAATAAGCTTAAAAGCACAAGAATCAAAAATATCTTCTTTTAATTGTACTCGTACTTGGTCTGGTATGCATGTGAGACCAATGCGCTGTGGCTAAAACCTAACGCACGGCACTTTGCATTTGAGTATAACTACAGTACTCGTATAAAGTATGCACCACAAAGCCCTTGTTTCGGTTCTGGATTCCCAGTTGGTGATTTCACAAGCTGCTCATCGGTAATGCTAAGGTAAGTTTACATTTACCTCTACCATACGGCTTGTTATCGCAAAAGCATGTTAGCTCGTCTAACCCATCTGATAACAGGCGCGATATTCCGCCAACTTGCAGACTGCAGAGCAACCGGCATGCTGATGGCTACTAAGCACAAACTACACAATTTTTGTTTATAGTATTACAGTAAAATCCTTTTCACGTTCGTGCGAAGTTCCGGACAATCATCGTTACACGGGATTTTGCATTAAGCAGTGCACATTTTGACAATTTTATATTAAAAGCTTTATTTTGAGTCATATCTGTGAAGGCACTTTATGGCTTCCGGTAGTGGGGATGTCGAGCCGTATGTTAATCAATCTGCTGCAGTGGCAGCTCACTTGTACTACGGCATCACGCTTGCACATTCTTGCCTCCAACAGTTCGCTGTAAAAATCATCGAGGGCAGCGGATCGAGCCTTTCCACCAACAAAATTACCAAATTTAAAACTGTTCCCCATGATTTCAACCAAACGGTTAATTTTATCCTAGGAAACTGGAGAAAAGGCGGATTTCTGCAAAGCTGCAGCAAGATTCTGCATGCGCATTTGCAACGGTGTAAAGACATCCGCAATGATGTGTCGCACCAAAATTTGACCGGAAATGACAGTGATCGAGCGGTTGAGACATTGTGTCACGTAGTAAAGGATATAGGATTTCCTCGGGAAGCAGAAAGCATTCGCAATTTTAATAAGCCACAAAGTATAGAAAAAACACCATGGGAACAGATCAAACAACTGGGCAACGAGCACTACAAAGAAGGTCGCTACACCGAAGCAATGATAGCGTACACGGAAGCGTTAAAAGAGAAGCCCGACGAACCGACATTGTATTCCAATTGAGCTCTATGCGAGCTGCAGCTCGAAAGATTTGAAGATGCACGGAACGATGCAGAAGACGCGCTAAATCTTGACGGGAAGAATTTAAAAAACTACCGCATCCTGTCAGATGCTCTGACGAAACTCGAGCTCCTGGAAGAAGCGTTGGGAGTGTGCCAGCGCGGCTTAGAAGTTGATCCGCGAAATGGAGAACTCCTGATTCGGCAGCGCGATATACAGGCGCTATTTGTTGCTCGTAAAAATGATCGACACCCGCGACGAAATCCGAAGGAAGTGATGGAGAAAGGAAATGAAATGGTTTTCGACGCAGACTGGAAGGATTTCATGAAAAAAGAAGCTGAACTGAATCCGGATCCTAGAGATGTTCGTGTGTTAAGCGACGGAGAATTCAACCAATATGGGAAGCTTGTATCCTTTCTACGCGACGCACACAGCTATTACCATGGAGCACGTGGACGTCCAAGGGACCATAAGCGGGCGTTCCAGCTTTACAAGGAAGCTGCTGACTTGGGAAGCGCTGAAGGCCAGTATAATTTGGGGCTTATGTACGCCAACGGAGAAGGAACAAATACGGATTACGCCCTTATGCTACGATACTTCAAGCTCGCTGCAGACCAGAAGCCTTTTGTGAAATGGAAAGGATATTACACGCATGACTTGGGTGAGCCGGGTATTACAAAATTTAATGCAATTGTCACTAGAGTGTAATTTCTGAACAATTATTACAGTGTCGATAAAATTTTTTTTGGCTGCAGGCGTGGCGGAAGCAGAAAATGCTTTGGGCAACGCCTACCGGGATGGAAGAGGTGTTGACATAGACATGTCTGCAGCGTTTGCGCACTACACAAAAGCGGCCAGTTGGGACCAACCGGAAGCACAAAATAACATGGGGTTCTGTCTGCGGAACGGACTCGGTGTCGCGCAAAATCCTGAGTTCGCCCGGAACTGGTTCCAGCGCGCAGCCAAACACGGCATTGCGGAAGCACAGATGAACTACGCAGAAATGCTGGAAAACGGTGCGGGTGGGCCACGCGACGAAAGCACCGCGTTCGAGTATTTTGAGAAGGCCGCAAAGCAAGGAATGCCTGGCGCACTTGAAGCCTTGCACCAGATGTCCATGAATGGGTCAGCCAACCAAACCCAGAAAGCTGCCGTCAGCGACTTAATACAAAGCTCGACAGATAAAAAGGATGTTAACGCACTGTACTTTAAAGTAAAAATATTATTCTCTTAACTATTCATGCGCACTTCAGCAAACAGGCTTAAAAGTATTAGCTATATTCCAGGGAAGCAGGAAAAATGAACTGCGTGAATATGACGAAGCGGTCGCCATCTGGAGAGAAGCTGCCGACCTGGGGCATTTGAAGTCGCAAATCGCGTTATGGAAAATACTTTTAAACAAGTTGTACAGAAACACCGATGCGTTTTTCTACTGCACCAAAGCGAGCGAAGCTGGTGACGTTGAATCACAGATTACTCTTGCTACACTTTATGCAAAAGGCATTGGTTGCGCCCACGATGCTAATGCAGCTAGAAGATGGCTTCAACGCGTAATGCACCGGATTCCAAAGGGCTCGACCAACGCCATTTCTAAGGAAGAATTCGAGAAAAATGTTGAAATAGGTGCAAAAGTGTGCGCATACGAGGCAAAGAATGCCTTGATTAGTGAACGCATACGGTGGGAGGACAGGTTCCACCGCTATCTTCTGGGCGAGCATAGTTCAAAGCTAGACCCGAAACAAAAGAACCAGGCAGCTCAATACTTTCAGAGTATGCGGAAACTACGCGAACGACCGGATCCGCTGCCCTTTGCCATGGGCGCCCGCTTCCATGAGGACGATATGTATGCCGTTATAATTGCCGCTGAATCCGGCTCAACCGTTGCGCAGAATGTAGTCAAAGCCAGGATGATCACTGTGGAGGCTCTGCAGGCGTGGGAAATTGGGAATTACGAACGAGCCTTCTCGCTACTACGAAATTCGCAGCGCTATCACGACATTGTGGAATTTCATGATCCTGAAATGGTGGCGTACATTGAGGACAATGCTATTAATACCGCGGATGCCATGTTCGTCCGAGCCTGTCACTTTGGTAACGATATTCAAGGTACGCAGTACGCACTATGACTTTCGCCAAAAGGATTATCGTATAGCGCGCAGATACTCCTTTGCTCAAAATTAAAACTCGCACAGAACTGTACAGATAATGATATGCAGCCGGCATGAAGCTGCTACATGGCCGATGACTAACCCTGTCAGATGGCATCGACCTCCTTGCCGGGTCTTGCGGGTGCTCTAAAGGAGGCATCAATGTACATATTGAGCTCATTGCAAGTTCGCAACCCCATCAGCCTTTGCTCTCGTCAGGATGTTCACGAGTTACCTGTTATAATATTACCACACAAATTCATACTCTTAAGGGTGACTGCGAGAAAGTTTTACTTACAATTAGCAGGGTATGCCTTTGTTCCATTAGGAATACTTAATGTGACCAAACGTCCAGGCCAATAACAATAGGGATAACAGCCTAATGTGCCTGTACAACCAAAACGCAACTAACCAGGGCATATTTTTCGGGTATAAATTAAAAAAAATCTTTTGTAAAAAGATAAGTATACTACCGTAGTATGTTCAAAAAAAATTTCATGTACCATGGTCGAGAGGGCGTGGCCAAACAAAAATTAGGTGAGTGCCATACATACCATAGTACTGCATACTATAATACCTTAAATCATCTTGACCTTCCAGGCGCTCTGTCTTATGTAACGCGCTGCATCCGTCTGCATCCCATGGAAGCCGATTTTCATCAACTTCTATCGCACCTATATGGCTTTGCTGGCCGTTACGACGACTCACTGAGAAGTGCACAACGCAGTTACGAATTGGAAAAGCGACCCAACTGGCTCTACACGATTGCTACGGCGATGCGGATGAGTTTGAAACCCTCGAGTAAAGCATCAAAAGCTGCGATATCGACGAAAGAAAGGGAAAACGTGATCAAGGCTTATCAGCAATACTTGGATGAGAATGCTAGTGAAGACCGTAAGGTTCCTGCAGCTTTATTCTCTATGGCTGCCTTGCATTTAAGAATTAACGAGTCCAACAATGTGGCGACAGTGAAAGAATACTACAAAAGAGCGTGCGATGCGGACGCACGTCGTTTGCCATGTTTTGCAGCTGTCGATGAGGGCTTTCCCTGTCGGCATATTGTCAAGATGTTTCTTGACTTATTCGATAGTGAGGATCAGAAAAAGCGTTCCCTTGACACCAAAGCCGGAGACAAGCTGTTACTGATGGTCTGTCGTACCTGCGGCGACGCAAGTCCTCGCTACAAATGCGTCCGATGTCACAAGGCGGCGTACTGCAGCAAAGCGTGCCAGGTTAAAAATTGGCGCGAACATAAACAAACGTGTGCCTCTTCGCAAATTTAAAATGAACGTTGGAAGAAAGATAAACATTTCATCATATCTCTGTATCTGTACACGCATGCGGTTAGTTGAAAGGGCGGAACATCGGGCGTTTATTTGCGAAAAATTTCGTAAAGTACTACAAACCATCGAGCAAGCCCGTAAATGTCATATGACGTACTAAATAAAGTTATAAGTTGCTACTGGAGGTACAATGACAGGAAGTTTTAAATAAACGAGATATCGAAATCGGTTTAAAACGTCAGACAGATAACACGGTTATACAATGATGAGCTGATTAACATTACGGTGCGTATATTGTTCAACGCTGTTCGATTCTCTGTAAACGACCTCCAGAAATCCACGATCACATCTTTCTCATCCAACGAGCTATAAATCGTACACGATATAAAAAGATCCCAAATAATACCTCCATTCTATTTCTTTGAAAGTAGTAGACCGCTAATCGCACATGCGAGATTTTTCGTCATCGTACTTTTGTGCATCGAAACTGCTTTATTTTCCGTAAATGTCGACTAGAAATTTTAACCTGGATGCTGATGTCGTTATGCTTCACCTAGACGAGTGCATGGAGATAGTGCGCCGTGTGCAGTGTACCTGCATGAACAAAACTGTCACCGGGTATGTGCAGAGTTAGGTAACATTGCCTGCCTTTTAGAGCACGAACAAAGTTTAGATTCACCGAGAAGTTACAGTTACGTAATTATTGAAAGCAATCCTGAAATTGAAAATTTTTTCAGGACAACCGTTTGAAGTGATGACTACTGAACATGGGTGACTGGGTTTGATTAGCCGCATTTTGGAATTGTATATTTTCTATGCAGAATTGCGCACCCAGTTTATTTCTCAAGTATGCCGGGCCCAGATGCCAGTAGAGCGACGATCCGGGCGAGTGAATACATGGACGCGCATGTATCGCTGGACCGTACCTTGAAGCGTTTACATATGGGCAAGCCAGCAGTGCGTAGTGTCGTTGGCATCAAGAAAGATCGAGCGCTTGTGCATCGGAACCAAGCAGAACATGGTCTGTCGTACAAGGAAAGGCATGGTTGTTGTTAAAGCAGCAAATTCGTTCGGAGATTTCGAAGTTAGCATCTTCGGTCTGCGCAGGTAAAGGGGAGCTCACCGCGGTTTTTCATCCAGATGCGCCCCCACGTTGTATCACGAGGTTATATATAAAAGCTCGCTCGCTTCTTTGGCTCAGTTCGTTACTATTTTGTGCAGTTACCCGGGTGCCAAAAGTATACCGGGCCACTGCCTAGTGCCTATAGTGCCTTGGTAGCCGTACTAAATACTGACCAGTGACCACAGCATCTTCAATACTCCCGATTTCGTGAACATGTACTGTACTCTAACACTGCACTTGACGGAAATTTGTACAGTGCAGCCTCACGCACATGTACGAGCGCATTCACCATTCACATACAGATACACGGCTTGCAGTTACTGCACGTTAATAGAACGTGAACTGGCTGAACGTTTATCCGGCTATACTGGACTGGAGTACTGGACCGTGTAGCTGATAGCGTCCAAATTTCCTTCAAGTGCAGTGTTAGAGTACAGTATGTGAATATGCCGGTAACGTTTTTGCAAAAGCATCGGTGCCTATGGGCAGATTACAATGGCTGGATGCCTTTGAAACTGCGGGTGGACTTCAGCAAGGAGAGAGCGGTATAACCGTTGGACATGAATTAGTACGGTGGCGCATCCGTTTCTTTGATGTGAACGAAGATGCTGTCGCCGCGGGTGTCGCTGGCAGACGCTTAGTTTCTTTTAATCCAAGGCCTCTGTGGAAAAATCCCTAAAATTAAATCAAAATACAGTCTTTAACTTCCTAATACAAATATGCAGTACGGTAATTAATATCCAGGTTAGTGGTGCGGCGCAGTGGGGACGATCGTTAAAATGCAAAAAGGCGGGCTGTGCCGGCTGATCTTGCTCGGGACGGACCGGAAGCCCATGGGACCGTGCCCGTTGGGCCACGAGAAGATTAGTTCCCGGGATGCCGGCTTAAAGCATCCCGGTCGCTTTTCAATAGGAATCGCTCACCATCATTATACGTGTCACAGTCAGTACTTGCAGTTTATCAGACTGCGGTAGTAATCAATATTAAATAACTTAACTTCTGCTCATTGGACATTGTCACACTGATAACACTGACAATATATATCAGTGCATTGAATCGAATATGAGTATAAGTACAGTACGTCTAGTAGTAATTTCAAGTTTTTTCTTCATAAAACAGCGGCAGTTTACGATGTTTTGATCACCCATGTAAGGGCGGGACGCCCCGCCCTCCTGAGTAGCTATTCGCTGTTTCTGGGGATTTCCACCCCGCACATTGCTGCGCTGTTTTGACGGACCTGCAGCACAGTTGCACTGGCTGCAGGATCCTTCCTCATTAGTTTTGGTGTTGCTGCGCCACGGTGCGCATTAGATTCGGCAATAAAGCCTCATCCGGGTTCACCGCTGTTCGCTGTCGAGGATACGCGTGGCGCCCATACGGCCCCGCGTTATATGGTAGCAGATCTGGCTATCGTTTCCAGCTGCGCGCGCTCGTCGCGCCCGCAGCACCTCTGAGTTATGAACCCCATTTAACCCCGGGGTGTGGAGCTACATTCCCACCCCCCACGCGGAACGTGATGGATCCTCTCCCAACTGACGGAGATGGACGCCTCCCCGCGACGGATGCCTCCCAAACTGGACGGAGATGCCGCGGAGCGAGAAACGCCTCCTGCGATGCCGTGGAGCGAGAATTGCCTCCTGCGATGCCGACGGCGAACGCGACCCGGACCAGCGGGAAACCAGAACGGATACACCGCCAACAGCAGCACCAACTCCGATCCCAACGGCACGGATCGAACACCAGCACCACGCCGAAGAATTCCCCACCAAAACACTGCCCGAACTTCCTGGGACGGCGACCTCCCCCCGGACGGAGCAGTGGATTTCACCGCGGATTTGCGTGCTTTGTTTTTTGCAGGGTCACGGGCCACATAAGCCCCAAACCCCTGCCCAAATTTCCCCAGAACGTGACCTTTCCCTTGCTGAAGAAACCACGGAATTCACCCGTTTCCGGGTTGGACCCTGGATCTGGCGCGACAGTGCGTTGACCCAGACGGTTGACTCGGACCGAACCAGAGCCGACCTGACCCGGAACCCAACCTGAGCCGAACCGGATTTGAGCCGACCAAACTGGAACCGAGCCGACCGGATTAACCGCCCGAACCGGACCGAACTGACCCGGAACCCAACATGAGCCGAACCGGCGGGGGGGTGCGGATCCTCCGAATCCTGGGAGATTTCGCTCCGAGGACGTAGCGATGCCTGCAAAAGGGGTGTAAGGGCGGGACGCCCCGCCCTCCTGAGTAGCTATTCGCTGTTTCTGGGGATTTCCACCCCGCACATTGCTGCGCTGTTTTGACGGACCTGCAGCACAGTTGCACTGGCTGCAGGATCCTTCCTCATTAGTTTTGGTGTTGCTGCGCCACGGTGCGCATTAGATTCGGCAATAAAGCCTCATCCGGGTTCACCGCTGTTCGCTGTCGAGGATACGCGTGGCGCCCATACGGCCCCGCGTTATACCCAGTACCGAATAATGATACCAAGCGGGCATCGATCTGACATAAATTAATTTGGAGCTAACGTTCTAATAAAGTAAAAGTCATTTTATAATACAATTCTGAACCATGGCCGCTTTAATGATAATGTCCGTTTTAACTGAAACTTTTCACTTTTGCACAATGCAGAATTAATAAATGATCAATTAGTACGAGTAATCATGTTCGCAAGTTGTTTACATGCGTTACAGTACAACAGTTGCAGCCCGAAAAAGGCACGGACTTGCTTTACGACTATTAGTTGAAATGCACTTGAGTAACCTAACGAGTGGCATGCCCTTCATAGACAATTAATACAGCGTGCCAGACAGATAACCGCCACGGCTAATAAACTGATACAGATGACCAGCAACACTGTTATCTAGCTTCCCGATTGTTCGTCAGACACTGAAATTCACGGCCACTTTTGCCTCATCCATAATTAGATGGGAACCGCAGACGATATATAAAACGTGTCGCACTCTAGTCTTTTCAAGTCAGTATTGAGAGTGCCGGCTGCTCGTATCGGGGACAGCTAATCATCCTCCAGTGAAACTGCAAACCCCCCATGAAATGGCGGCAAGTGATTCTGTACTAGACGCGAGTATCGTAGTGGTGGAGAACGACTGTTCAACGTGTCCTGGATGCCTGCACAAAAAAATGTTCCCAGGTTCGAATATTGACGGTCTTGCATTTCTTAAAACTGTGCTAAATTTAATGCTCCTAATTACGAAACAGAAATCGTTTACGGATACTAAATTTTAGGAGTGCCATTTGAAATAATAAGCTCGGAGCACGGCTCAATGGTGGTGTCTAAGGTACAAATCATCGAAGAGGAGAAAGAAATCGACGAAGCCGCACAACAGCTAACACCCTTCCATTCTGCCATTTTAAAGGAAAGTGTCCGCAGTAAAAAGCCTCCTTCAAGGATCCTCGACTGATGTTAATGCTCAAGTTGCCGGCTTGACACCGCTGATGCTGGCCGCAGGTGGTGCGGAGTCCGGAAATTGTCCAACTTTTACTGGACACCCCCGGCATCGAGGTCAACGCCGTGTCCGCACGGTTTAACGGGATGACGGCGCTGATGACGGCGGCCTTCGCTGGAGGTTGCGCCGAGGACGATCAACGCGTGGAGATCATCGATGCCATTTTGGCTCATCCGGAATGCGATTTTCTAGTGAAAAATGAGCAAGGTGTGACTGCGCTGGGCATCGCAGCGTTAAGTGAGAATGAGGAAGCAGTGGAGAGCCTGATCGAGCCGGAGCGGATGGAACAATATGCTATGGAAGATGTTCTGGCTGCGATGTTTCTGGCAATGGTTGTTAAGAATTCCGATGTAGCCAATACTATTGGAGATGCATCTCGTGATGAATGGGAAGAAATGATTTGCGACAGACTCGCTGGTGCTACAGGTTGTTCAGTTCCTCAACCCTGCGAAATAGTTTTCTACGGCAATTTATACCTTTTTCTTCAGATTTTTCGGGTCCGGACGCTAACCGAGCGATTGTCCGAGGCAGCGAACACTTTGATGCGAAATTTTCGCTTACGCGTACACCGAAGCGTTTGCGTATGGGAAAGCCAGCTCTGGGTAGTCTTGTTGTCATCAAAACGGACAAAGCGCTGGTGCAACAAAAGCAAGCTGAACATAACTTGCCATACGAGTCGATCCACGGTGCTATGGGAATTATCAAAGCCGAAACGTCCGCTGGAGATTTCGAAGTGTCCATGTTCGTCCAACCTGGAGCCGAGCTCAACCTACTGTATCATCCGGACGCCCGCGACGTTATATCAAGAGGTAACAGAGATGATCTTTCGGGTCGCGGTATAGCAGAAATACAGAAATAATAACAGTCGGGAAAATTTGTAGATGGTTACGAAGGTATCGATGCCGATGGACAAGTCATTATGGCCGGTGAAGACGTGCAAGTACTTGACGATTCCGAAACTGTGAAGGAGCTCCAGCAAGGGCATGGAGGTTTACGCGAGGAACAGGAGTCGTTGCTTGGGCAGCCTTGGCGTATCCTTTTCTACGATGTGGATGGAGAGGCTAGCACCCTTGGTATCATCGGCAACGGCGTGGTTTGATTTAATCCTAGGGCTTTAAGAAAAATTAAAAATGCCAAAGATAAATAGTGAATTTTGTTATTTCCGGCTGCTTTAATGGCCGACTTTACTTCTTTCACTGCTTACCCTTCTGGTAGTAATTTGACCGGGTTTTGCTTTACTAAATCTAATGAGCTACCTAATGATTACCCAATATATTGCTTTGTATTGTGCTCGAGAGCCGAGAACTGTACGAAACTGTGCAGAAAAAGTCCACATTGCACAGCAGCTGCTATGTCAACTGGATAACAAATAAGAGACATCCGCGAGAGACTGTCCCAGGACAAAAAGCCTTCATTTGAAACAGAGGAAATAAACCTACACCATCAATAAAGATGACAGTCGGCGTACAAAGCGTCCGCCGACCGTTTAGGACGGCTACATAAGCATAAGTATTTGTATCTGCACCATTATGTACACTTATATGTACTACCGCTAGCGATACAGCGCCATTCATATGTGTGGAAATTAAAATTCTCAGCAATTAAATTTCTTCGAGCCAGTTAAAACAATGCAAATCCTTACAACGAGCCAGAGCTCATATTGGACATTTGTGGGTGCTTCGTAAGTAATTCGGAATTTGGTGGTACAATGAGGTAGTTAGTGTTACTGTCAGTACCTAATAGATCGAAATTTGCAAAACGTAAAATTGGTGCGCTGAAAAGCACATATGGGTTTTGGGCAATTGGCAGCATTAAACAAATTTTTCAGGCCTTAATTTGCAGTGTGCGGCACGCCGAAACCCAAATAGTTAGATCGCTTATTTGCTAGTGGTAGGTGAAATGTTTAACTGAGACGAAGTATTTGGCGTAACCCTGACTGCAGTGCCCGCAGATTAGAATGGTAAACCAACGGGTTAAGAATGCAAACCGAAAACTGCAGGCATGTCAGCACATGACCAGTCGTAGGATAATAAAATCCTTCCATCCAGCTTGACCGCAGTAAATACAAAGATAAGGGCATGTAGCACACCAGCACGATCACCGCGAGCAGTCCAAACATTCGCAAATGCTTGATATCGTCTCCGTTGGACGTGGTTTGGAGAATTACTTTGGCTTTGGCACTTGTGTTTGGAATATTTTCTGTAACGTAAAAAGTTGGTCGACTTTTAGAACCCTTAAAAACAAGCTTATCGTTCCAGCTGTACGCGTATGTATGTCATCTTGAACAGGTCATGCCGATATACTTACTCAATACGTAATACCGTACGTATAATCGCTCTTGAAATTGAATACTGTACGTTTACAAAAAGGACAAAAGTGACAGTTCTTATGAATTCATACGAGTGATTCGGCACATTCATCATTCTGTAGTTTACGTCCCAAAACCAATGCTGGAGATGGTGACGAGGCACGACTGACGATTGCAAAATAATGGTTATACCTGTTTTGAAAGCTGTACTCAGTACCAGTCGCTGTACTGCTTGTTTGGAGTTCCTCCTTTTCCTGCGAAGCAATTGGATGAAAACGTACGTATAGATCGCTAAAGATAATAAAATCGGAATGTCAAATCCAGCAAATTCAATAAAAGCCGCGAATCCACGCACACTACGCTGGACTGTGTAGGTGAAGTCTGCATAACAAGGTGCGTACTCTCTCCTGGGCATTAACCCCTCCTCAAAGAAACGATAAGCGAACACAACAATCCCCAAATTATCCAACCACTGGCACAAATGAACAACGCGAGCCGGGTAGTAGATATGTTCTTGAAGGAAATCGGTAGTGTCAGCGACCATAGTCTGTTCAAGCTAAGCAGGAGCATTCCTTGACATTGAACGACCAAGGCAAAGTCACTACAATATTGTACAGTGGAACATAGTAACGAAACCATCGGAACGTCCAGAACGCGTAGAATGTAGCATGGCATCGCCGTCAGAGCGACTAATAATTCAATGACAGATAAGTTTAGAATGTAACAGTTAAAAGGCGTGATGAGTTTGCGAAGGGTGATAAAGGCGACAATTATTGTGCCGTTGTAGACACCTGTACCGACAGCAATGAGGCCGATGATAGTTAATAATATTATTAAATTGACTGAAATAATAGCTTGCTTGGCAGGAGTAGAACTGGGAATCCCGGAACTGTTATTTGCGAAGATCATAATTTTAGCATCTTTAACGGAATGCACTGATTCGATCGATTTGTTGGCAAGGAAAGTGGTACATAACGGCGCAGATACTCACGAAGCAATGTCGACAGCATGCAAGATATGATTACTGGAAGTAAATTTGCGAGTGCATATTTAAAACATGAGCCTCAAAGCCTAGTGTTTAAAACATGAGTCTCAATGACTACCCTAGTATCTTGTTTAACCATTACCTTGAAATCACCTTCCTGAAAGGCGGATCAATTGTCATTGCACTATTTGTTCAGGGCGACAAAGCGGTGTAAAATTTCAAAAAGAACTGTTAATATAAGGACTTTAGGTGTAAGCGCAGTATGGAATGCCCTTCCCATGCAAGCCGAAAGCGGCAAAAATTTCACCTGTTCGTTTGCTTTCCAGAACAACTGAATTTTGAGATCGACAAAAGGTTACATAGAAAAACAGAGCAAGAACTTTAGCAAGTGAAAAAGTTATTCTGTTATCGTGTACCGATATATTAGTGTACACATAAAGCGATGAATATCATTAAATTTTATGCAAGATACACATTAAAATAAAAAATACAGTGGACATATTTGCGCTACTTATTTCCGTTTAATGTACTGTAAAGGAGGTAAAGGAGCTAAGAAGTAAGATTAATACCGGTTCTAGTCGTACGATGAGCGTCGTAAAGAAGATAAATAATAGCAGGCGCACGAATTAATGGCAGGTTTGTAAAAAAGATTGCTAACACGCAGTCATATATAACACTGATCATTTCAGGAGCATTTTATTATCGTCTTGCCAATCTATTATCGGCGGCCATCTCATTTCTGAAGGGGAAAAGGAATCGTAGACTACGAGCAGCAGTCAGCAGTCTGTTGCACGGTACATAACTTAAACGTTCTTTCCATTCTTGTCGTTTACTAACAAAATACCGTGCAATCGCATTTCCATAGTTTTGTTTTCTTTTATGTGTTCGAAGTAATTGTACATATTCGAAGCTTTCCCTGGAGGAAATTGTAAAGGGTCATATTAATATTGTCGTACGATAGCACAAAAAAGACAGCCAGCATTGTGAGCTTTAAATCTTTATTAGTTTCCTGTTGGCACGAAGGAATAACAATGATGACCACCCTTCTAACCGGAATAATCTGTCACTTTCTAATCCTGATAGTGGCAGACCATGACAGCACACGTAAGTTACAAAAACATCCAGAAACCGCTAAAAATGCAGCGAAACCGAAAAAATTGCTAGTTTAATTGTTTTCAGTCATTTTGTGCGACTTTAATATTTTTTAAGCGTTTGCAGTTTTTGTCGTAAGGCTTAGACATATTAAAATTTGGTCAACTACCGGCGCAGTCTATTTTTTCAAAAATCAAACCATCCAGGCGTTTCGTTTTAGTAACCGTACCAGCAAATTAAGGAACAGTTTGACTAAAAACGAAAAGTGATCAACCTAAATTGTTTAATAATTTCAATGATGAACGGCTAAAGCCGCACTTTTAAAAAGATTTTTCTGCTCTGAATAATGTTTTGGTACCGTTTAGTTGGCCGTCAACGAACTGATGTCTTGGACGATGATAGTGTCGATAGCAGTGACCTGTTTGAGGGCGACATTATTGACTACAATAGTAGAGACATGATTTCCGATGTAAGTCCGTGAAGGCGATTCGAAATGTACAAATCCGAGCCTGTTATACTCGTATTATCAGGGTAGTTTGCTTGCTTTCAACAAACGCTGCTCCCACTGCTTATTATAATTGTTGATCAGGAACTGAACGCAACATACGCAAATTTCATGGACTCTGCCAGAAGCCGTTGGCCTCAAGGCATCGTGCCATACGACATCTCTTACGGCATTGGTAAGCATGCGATGTCTATTTCCAACGAGAATCTTCCATTGTGGTTTCCAAAGGGAAAGTGTACATACGTACTGACTGTTGTGGGCATTTGCGTGTGTGTGTTTGTACTGGTGTTCAGCGCCGGTTTCGAGAAAGATTTAGAAATCTTGCATGACCCACTACCACCAACGTCAGCTTAAATAATGCTAGTGAAGGCTTCTTCAGGTGAAATGGAACTTACTCCGGCTATTCATAGTGCTATGGATACGATTTCCCGAAAAACAGCCAACTGCATTCGCTTCAGACCTCGAACTAACGAAACAGCGTTTCTGCTTTTCGTATCGTCTCGGTCAATGTAAGTGCACTGAAAAAAAATTTTCTTTTAAGCGTTATAAATCTGGTCAGTAGGTACAGCAGCAAGTACCGCTTATGTCAACAATCAAAATGGAACTTATTCAGATAACTAATTTACTAGTGCGGGAGTTGCCCTTTGAGCGGCTCTTGCCTGTTCTGACACAAAAGAATTTAACTTTGATCTCTTTCAATACTCGTAGTATGACAACGGCCCCGGGTTAAACACCATCGTTTCACTTGCAAGCTGAATAAAATATCTGCGATTTAGTGCTGGATTATTAGTTTTCTTTTCCGGTCGGCAAAGCTAGAGGCTTGTCCAGTGTCAGCGCCCACAGACTTCTGGTTGCCACCGCAGCTTCTCTCAGTATAATGCGTCACTTGGGCATTCTGTGATTTCAATTTTAGCGGTCGGACTAGCTAGTTACCAGTATTACTAAAGTGTAATTTTTGACATATTTTTCTTGTCGCAGTAGACATCCTTACGACTTTACGTACTTTAATTTTGTGCAGCTGCAAAGCCACTCTGGGATACGCCCGTTACGGCAAAAACACTATCGGTTTGTCGCGGCAGTGTGCAGTCCACGATATCGTTCATGAGCTCCTACACGTACTGGGATATCATCACGAACACACACGACCCGATCGGGACAATTACATTACGGTACATCTTGAGAACATTCGAGGTTGGTTCTCTTTAGAATCAGTCTACCATTACTTACAATATATACTACCACTTCAGGAATTTACTGACTATCTTTCTTACAAGTAAGTACGTTTCTAGGTCGATGGCGGAACAATTATGTTAAGAGAAATGATGTCGATTTGATGGGATTCCCCTATGACTACCATTCTATCATGCACTATCCGTCAGAAGTCGGAAGCGTGGCGGAGAACCCGCAAAAACCGGTAATGACCACCAAGAACGGCGTAGTCATTAAACATAATACCGAATTGAGCGATTTGGATGTTCAGAAAATTTTGGCGGCCTACAAGTGCCAAGCAAGTAAGAGCGCTCATTCTCGTTGACTTCAGAACGAACAGAATACCCAATGTAACACTGCCTTCTTTCCTACATGGCACTGCCAGCAATAGCTTCTTTAATCGCACATGTCACTATTTGGCACAGAGAACTCATTGTGCAACACATCTGCTGGATATTGTCATGTATATATTCGAGGACTGGAAACCACGGAAAATGAATATTGGCTAAAAACCTATGTGGCGATGACCAACTGCCATCATCCGAGCGTTAAAAGGATATCGGTCTACTGCACAACAAACGCCACGGCCGACGATGTCCAAAACATCGCAAACCAGTTGACAAGTTTTGCCCACGTTGACAGTTATGCCATTTACATTGCCGATGCCAGTGTTTCAAGACCACGCGTTCTCAGTCCTGTTAAGACCAGAATAACGCAACTCGGGATACATACCTGCACACAGCCATCAACAACACTAAAACTACGAGAAAACACCCTGGTCGATCTGCTCGATTTTCGCTTGTTTTACTGTTCCAACCAGGAAATTCGAAAAGCCGATTTCCAGTTCAACAGCAAACTGAAGAGACTGGTGTTTCACGCTACAACGATTGCATCGATCGAACGTAACGCTTTTGACGCACTGGCGGAACTGGAGATTTTTCAATTAGAAGAATGGTGGAAACCGCGCGAACAGATAGTTAAAGCCAAAAGAGAAGCGGAAGTTCGAAGGCACTTACAACTTTTGCACTGCGATTGTCAGTATCAATGGTTACGGAACTGGTTAAACGCAAAAAGCCTGTTGGCCAATACCAAGTCTTTAGTAAACACTTTTCCAGAGGACCGCGAGTCGGTGACGGTGGGAGAAATGTATATACCTATCAACTGTCGCAGCATTGACAGCTCTTTTATCGCATTTCGCAATCGTGATAATACCCGATTTTTTAATCACGTCGCTCCGCAGCCCTTCTCTAGGAACGTTTCGCCTGGCTGTTAATTTTATCCGGCTTCTTTTTATGTGTGTTTTGAAATACGAAGTGTATCACTTATTCTTGGAGATCTATATATGCAATCTGATCCAATACAGTTTTGATGTGTTTACGGTACGATAACGAAAAAGATTGCAGATTTTCTCCTTTATTACCGAAATAAAACAGAATGCATAACTTGCAACATAACTTTACAGAGGTAGACTGTACGCTTTTTGGTTTGATTGTTCAGCCATCAGGTTATTTTGCATCCGCATGCTCGCACCGGCTCGGGTGTCCCGAATTATTTGCTTGTCAGCACTTGCAAAAATATTCATACTGTTAGATCACTTTGACTCACACTATTGTTCAGTGCTTCGAAAGAGTTTTTAATTGTACAGGTTGAAAAAAGAAGCAGTTTTAAGAACACTGTTATGCTTCCAGTTACCAAAACCGAGAAAACACGGGATCAAAGGATGAGTTAAATATATGTTTAGCACGTCCCACACGTGAAGGACGAAAGAACGAAAACTATACCAGACTGCAAAACGCCGGATCAGTTTGCGGTAAATCTACGGTCACGATGAGCTAATGTCAACGTCAGGAGGTCAGAACAGACTCTTCAGAGCGGACAGATATGATATGGTAAACCGATGAGACAACATTACTTTCACCCTAACGCCAGAACAAATTTGCATCACCCAGCTGTTTATTGCAAAATTGATTACTTTCCAAGAATTGTTCAAAACGCTCAGTTTTGCTTGTTGTCAGCACGCTCGAATCAAAAACTTTACTGCTCGATATGGCGGCATATTATTGTGAGCAGCATTCTTCCCGGCCAATCCTGTAGGATACGCTGCATCAAGAAATTCAGCATTGGTCGTTGTGGTTTTAATTCGTAACCTCTTATTTATAGCAATCTGCCTACCAACAGGACTATCCGTCATTTTATGGGAATGGGTTGGCATTTCGTTCACCGTCAGTCGGTGCATTTCTTCGCCGCCTTCGCTGGCCAGCGGATAACGCTCGTTCGCACCTATTAAGAACTGCCCACCGAGATTTGGCGTATTTGCCTCACCGAGAACACCGGCTAATACGGGGTACAGTTCAGGGTCGAAAAGATCGCCGGTGCACTCCAACCAACACGCTGGTACCGTATCGTTTCCCGTATAAGCGATAACAGAGCCCACCGGAAGCAGTCCCGAAGTACGGTTCTCCGTGGCAGTGGATGTATTACAATCGTTCAGTACTACGCCAATATTATTTGAAGAATTCGCTGATTTTTCTAACGCTTCGAGCCGCTGGTCAAGTTGTGCTGCAGACTCCGAGAATAAAATAATGTTTTCTCTTTGCTCAGTTAGATTCTGCACAACAGCTTTGTAAGCGCTTTGGCATATATCCAGTGTCTGGTTTACTAGATGTTCCAGAGCATATAAGCGGTTGGACACATTCTCAATAATAAGTGTAATATTATCACCGAGTCCCGGTTCCGCTGTGTTGTCTGTCCCATTTATCGGGAATGCAAAACTCCTGCTCTCGAAAACCGAAAGCCGTTGCTGGATGATCTGAATTTCGGTACTCAAATTATTAATCTTTTCTTGGTAGTTGTCACTAATGCTTCCAAAATGGCCGTCTTCCGGGTAATCGATATCGGAAATTTTGGGCCGTACCAAAGAGATGCTGTAGTCAGCGGCGGTTTTACTGGTTAGCACGTAGATATCTCCGAATACCACAAACTCGGTGTTTTGTAGTTTGTCCATATTTAGGCAATACATTTTCATTGACGTTAAAGTGGCATATTCCCCATTCCACGGTACACCAGCATCTTCGATAGTCGCTGTTAACTGGGAGCTGATAAGGCCCAAATCGGCTGTTTCACTGGAGACCGCATTTCCCAATAAATGTCGAGCTCTCCGATCCGGCCTCTGGTCGGTGTTACGCCAGTACGTGGCGCTCCACATCTCCTCCGTAAAGTCAACCGAACTGGTAACGTTGTGGTAAAATTTCCGCACTAGTTTCTTAATAGAACCATGCAGCTGTTCGTCATCCAGAAACTCGTCGGCATCCAGAACGCTATCTAAACTATTAATCACCGTTTCTCGCACCACAGTGAAAAAATCCTCCTCTTGCACGAAGACATACTGGTTCGCTCCGAATTGTTCGCTGATGGCCGTAAAAATCGCCGATTCCAACAGATGCCGCTTTTCCACTGTTACTATGACCTTTTTTGGCTCCGGTGTTTTATAGGCAAACATCAGCTGCCAATCGGTTGCAAAGTTTGCATCTACAATTTCTTTCATACGCTGACATTGGCCCGCTGTTTGGCAAGGAATTTTCAGTGAAACCGTTTGCGGAAGATGGGCAATGGGTAGCCATGGACTGCGAATGTGCTTCCATAAGGCGTGTTCCGTTGTGTACTTGACATGCATCCATTTGAAGGGGACTGGAAGTGTGAGATGTTCTGCGTAAACCGGCCTCTGAGAGACATGATTCCGGATGTGCTGTGTGTAGCTTGCGTCCCACAGTTGTATCTCTACCGCCAGTCGAACGGTACCGGTATGGTTGTTGAATACGACCTCTGTGGAGTTGGGAAGAAGCATTCCCGTTGGGACGTAGTACAAGCCATTAGTGACGGATGCATTGGATGGCTTAAACGCCTGGATGTGATATCCGTTTGAGGGGATGCTAAATGTCGGTACCAGCAAATCAGGTGTTTCTAAAATACGCAAGCACGCATTCTAAAATACACAGTCTGCCTTCGAATGCCTTAACGCGCAAACGATTTATAATTCGGTTTTTCCTGCTGTAAAGCTCCCGTGATACAGTGCACAGCAGGAAATCGGTTCTGTACAAGCTTTCGTGAAGCGGCAGAATATCGAATATGCAATCACTGCGCAGATTTAAAAAAAACAACTTATGTGCATACCAAGTCACGTAAGTCCACTGCAGTCCAGAACTAATAACGATTATTCTGAACGCCCGTGAACGTTCTGTATCCAGTTGGTGCTAGAGGAATGATCATTAATTGCAGACTTACTGTACTAATTATTTCAGCCATCTGCAATGACTGGCTACAGCAGACTTGCCTGTTGCCGCGCTCGGGAAATGAACACTAAACACCATCATAAATATAGTAACGCATGCGGCGCGTATAGTTACTTTAGCTTGGTTATGCACAAGCATTTTGGACAGCAAAATTAATTAAAACAATAAGCGTACAAAATTATTTGGAATGTAAAAGACTGCAGCTACTTTTTAACTTCGTAGGCTAATATGACTAATACATGTACAATAAAACGATGAATCGGTTAAATAGAGTTAACTATCAGGATATGAATGTTTGTATGTAAGTACCTCCCAGTCAGACGTGTTTGCAAGTACAGTAGTCAGATGCGCCGTGCCGAGTGATTTGGTTTAAATAACCGGGATATGCGTTGCCAAAGTCGGCAGACTGCTGGTCTTGTTGCTTCTTATGAATAACAACAGCCAGGGTGTTGGTAATGATTATCTGACTAATGAGTAATCAGAATAAAAAGTTTGTGCAGATACAAGAATGATTAAGATCTGGCACACGTCAGATTCCTCGAAAACTATGCGGAAAATTTTATTGCCTGTATGGTAGTTTCCTGTTTGTATGCACCGGGATCATGTGCCCACGGTATTAAAGCTCTCGCTGTACGTAAGATTACATGATTGTAAAAGCCGTTATATCAGATTACTCTGCCTTTAACAGCTTTGCTGCACCCCTGCGCTCAAATTTACTTCCCTTAAAAATGGCGCAACGTTGCGGTCAAACTATTCATAAATGACACATTTAATAATTATAAATCAGTGCTGTTTTATAATTTTTGTTGTTTGACCCTGCCGTTTCGCGCTTGACGATGGTACTGTATCGCAATTTCATTTCGAAAACTTGTTTAAATTTAATCACGTTCTAGTGTTATACTCGCTCAACGGCACTAATAAGCACGGTTAATTCAATTTCCTGCTCCATTTATCTTACCGCACCGGTACAATGCTGCCAGAACAAAAAAATCTTAATAAATAAAGTAACAAAAGTTAAAGTGCGAAATTAATCAGATCTATAACGTGAAAACAGTATCTCCCAACTAGCACGCACGTATAAGAAACCGTACCGCACGATACGGCGGCATATTATTATGCGCCTCGTTCCGCCCTGCCAGTCCACTGGCAAATGTCGCATCGGGAAATTCAATATTCGAGTCCGCTGTTTGAATCCGTGGCCGCTTGTCTACAAAGTTATATCGGCCCACTGCACCATCGGATAATTTATGGCTATGACTGGGCATTTCGTCCAGAGTCAGCTGGTGTATTTCCTCTCCGCCTTCACTTCCCAACGGAAAATGATCGGCCGCACCCAGTACAAACCGTCCACGGAGGTTAGGAGTAATGCTTTCTTGCAGAGCGCCGGCTAATTGTTGATATTTTGCGGCATCGAACGATTCGCCATTGCATTCCAGCCAGCAGTGTGGCAGCGTGCCGTTTCCCGGATAGGCCACAATGGATCCAACCGGCAAAATGGTATTATACATGCTGGCAACGCGATGCTCCATGTCGCTGCTACGGCTCTGCGCACTTTCCAGTCTTGTCACTTGTCCGCGGAGCTTTGTCACGGAGGCAATGGCCGCATTAACCATGCCAGTTTTTCTCACCACGTTGTCGACTTTCGACTCGACTGCATCTATCCGATTTCGTACTGACCACATTCCGGATTCAACACGATCGGCTTTCTTGGAACACTGTGTCGCATTTACTTGTATCTGAGCAACCGTTCCTTCCAGAGTCTGCAGGCGTCCGTGCAACGGAGAAAGCGTAACGTTGAGTTTGCTAAGAATAACGGTAACATTATTCTCGCGGCTGGCGTTATTAGACCGCTCCAAAATTTCGAGTCGTTGATCGAAATCAGTTGTCGAAGCCGATGTTAAATTTTCCGTCTTCGCGATCAGCTCAGTTAGATTCTTCATAACGGAGTCGTACAAAACTTCCAGCGCTTTCAGTCTTTCCATGGCAGTTTGGTTAATTATCATTTCCAGTGCTTCTATTCGTCTGCGTGCAATGTCATCCACAAAGGTTGCGTTTCTGAGATCCGCCAGTTTTGCATTGATTTCGGCTAGATTGGTCCGAACTGAGCCATCATTATCCTCTAAACTTTCCAGGCGCTGGTTAATGTCTTGAATTTCGTTCGTGACATTATGTGTATCCACCTCGTCCTTCTTCTTAAAGCTCTTTAGGCTGTTACCCTCGATAGCATTCATGCGTTTAACTTCCGGTTTCACGAGGAAGCTACTATAGTCGGCCGTTGCTTTAGCGGCAAGGACAGTGATATCGCCAAAAACCATAAGCTCTTTATTCTGTAGTTTATCCATATTTACACAATACATACGCAATGGCTTTACGGTGGCTGTTTTATCGTCAAAATGTAATAGATCATCTGGCGGAAGTGCTGCCACAAGTTCCGTCAACGACTGGTTCGCAGGAGCTAAACGGTTATTAAGATTTTGTGCTCGTCGATCCGGTCGTTGGTCCGCGTTGCGCCAGTACGTACTCTGCCACATTCCATCCGTGAAATTGGCGTAATTAGTAATATTATGGCAAAACTTCGGCAGGAGCTTCCTAATTGCACCGTGCAGCTGTTCATCATCCAGAAATTCATCGGCTTCCCAACCGTGGTCCAGGCTGTTGATAATTGTCTCCCTCACCAACGTAAAGAAATCGTCTTCTGATAGGAAAACATATTGATTCATGATTAAACGCTCACTGATAGCTGTGAACATTGACGAACCAAGCAGATGCCCCTTCTCAACGGTAATGATGACCTTCTTCGGTTCGGGTGGCCGGTTAGCAAACATCAGTTGCCAGTTGGCATTCAAATTGGTGTCCACGCTGTCTTTAATACGCCGGCACTGAGACACAGTTTGACAAGGAATTCGCATCGAGACAGTGCGTGGAAGGTGAGCAATGGGCAGCCAGGCACTGCGGACATACTTCCACGCCGAATACTCCGTTGGGTACTTGAGGTGCATCCATTTAAAAGGCACTGGCAGCAGCCGATATTCGGTTTTGCCGGTCCACTGGGCAACATAGCTCTCAATGGTTTGAGCGAAGTCGTAATCCCACAGCCGGATATCCAATGCTAACTGGACGCTTTCGGAATGATTATTGAATATTACTTCAGTGAAATTGGGGAGGATTATTCCTGTTGGCGCATAATACAACACAGGATTGCCTGTGAGGTCGGATGAGTTGTACACCTGAATGTGGAATCCATTATAAGGAATACTGAATGCCGGCGCCGATAAATCAGGTGTACCTAAATGCATAAAATAATACAAAATACTGGAAAATCAAAGCCCACTTGTAGGTAAATGCAACCGAACATTAATGAGTATATTTGCATACTTAAGCATACCTGATATGCTTGCAGCCAATGCTGACACGATAAGAACGGTAAGTATGACCATTTGTAAATTAACGAGAATGACAGCGCTTGCAAAACATCAAACATGCAATCAGTCAATGCAAAGTTGCTCTAAACACTTCTTTAGCGTGTGCCCCAATAGCGTCCATGCAGATATTATGCAAAACTGTAAATTTATGTGGACAGCACTGAGCAGCAAAGACAAATTAATTTCCTGGTATGTCAGCGGAGATTTTATAGCATTTTTTATCCAAAATCACGCCTGGAATAATTTCGGACTTATCACCGAAAATTTGCGTAATGCCGCTTGTTCAGTTTAGTTAATTGACGTGCTTGGCCAAAGTCCATTAATAAATCTTCAGTGTAAACTGTTGAATACCGAGAACGATTAACCGAGCCTGCGCAAATGTGCACCAGATTAAATCTGTCGTAAGAACTTTAGTCGTCAAAACGGCATATGGTACATGATTAATCCGCGTTTTGAATGCCAGGAAGTTAACCAGGAACTGCAGATCGGCGCTTGCCGTCGACTGGTAAAGTGGTTCTGTACATTGAACAATAGCCTACTCTGTTCACAGTTATTTTCACCGTTACCTCACCAGTCAGTTCCACCGATGCATTCTAAGCAGTGTTGTATGTACAGTACTTTATGAACGAACGGTGTATATAAATTTTGTGGAATTTATTATGATGAATGACAGCAAATAAGCAAGTTTAGCCCCAAATGAAATGCATTTTAAGCAAAGTCTTTTGGTCACTAAATACTTAAACGAAGCCAGTTCCAAGACAAAAGCCAGTTTTGACTTTGCGTGGCGTTGGAGCTTGTAATGACAGCAGATGTTGACGCGTTGCAGTTTGGTTCATTAACCGAGTAATCAGTTTGCGTGTAATAATTAATCCATTCCGTGCTAAGTGGAAACGGATCAGCGCTGCAGTTGATGGGATGATAGAGGTCTTCTCTCGTAAACTCGTCGCTGCTGAAAAACGTCCCAGCACTAGGTCCCTCAAAGGAATACAGCTCCCCAGCTTCCGTACGAAGCCGCAGTCTTTTGTTTTCGCGCCACCAAGATCGATACCAAGCGAATTCGCAGCTGCAGTGAAGGTTCCGCAAATGAGTGCGATATGCCGGTACGAAGTTGTAATATTTTTGACTGTCTGACAGCGCTTCCAAAGAAAGGATCTGCAGGCTTGGCAGGTCCATGAAGGAACCTATCTGGAGGGCATAAATCGTACTGTTTAAGAACAAAATGATTCGCAGTCGCGGAGAAACCCCGAAGTCTGCCTTTTCAATATCCAAGTTATAACAGTTGTAAAGCTCGAAATGCAGGAGGTTGCTGAAATTCAGTTTCTGCAACCTAGAGGTCACTCGGTCTGTGGTGCAGTTCCACAGCTGCAGCTTCAAAACCTGGCGTTGTATGGGCGTAAACGAGGACTTAGATATCAGTTCCTCTTCTGCACTGATCGACACAAGGCGCAAGGGCTTCGCTGTCATAGCCAGCGTCATTCGTTCCAGCACGTCAACCGGTGCTTTTGACTGGCACATGATACGATAATCTCTCCGCTTTGCGCAGTTATAAGGCGTTGTGATGTCGGAATTGCAGTACCTGTTGAACTGCACGCAACACTCGTCGTCGGTCATCGGTTCCAGGGAGAAATTCGGGAACTCATCGCTGATAGCAGCTTCTGCGACCACAGGAATCACAGTCAATGGGCACTTGTAGGCAATCATGATTTTTGCCACATCTGTCGAACTCATGCGAAGGGTTTGGCCCATGCGCACAATCAGTCCTTTCTTAGGTACTATGCAGGGTTGGACTACATCTTGGATGCCATGAAACGTACCATAGTGAAGGATAGAATTGTAGTCGTATTTGGTTCCAAAAGTGTACATTGTTCCACTGATAGCGAAATTTCGTTCGTATTCATCAGAATCAATATTTCCACGGCGTATGTCAACATACTGGTCTCGATCCGGGCGCTCATGTTCGTGGTCAAAACCCAATGCGTGCATAACCTCGTGTTGTATTTTCCCAATGTACATACAGTCCGCGGATGAGAATAAGCTGGGTACCGCTAAATAGATGTACTGATAAGAACCTTTGTGTCCAAGTTCCGACTCACACCTAAGAAAAAGCTCGATAGGATTTTGGCGATTGTGGCAGTGGCGCATTTTTGCTAGACAGCAATTACAAAAACCTCAAGGCCACCTAAGTGTACTGGTGTAATATCACTAATTTGCTACTGTCACCGAGAAAACACATTCGGTAATAATCGGTATCTAGTGTGAAGTCAAATAGAAAAATTTACCCGCCGGAATACATGCGCTTAAAATAAATATAATCCCATTCGTCCGTTCTGGCCGTAAACGAAATACAGCCATTTGTCTTTTTCTCCATAATTCGGAGTGCTTTCGTGATCAGGTCTTGCTGTGGCTTGTCTACAATGAATTATACAGGAAGTCGGAAACTATTCCAAATCGAAGTTTTATTATGTTATGCACTGAAGCATAGGTCAACGTTAAAGAAAATTAGCACAGCAGTGACAACACGATTGCCCCGAGCTTTGAGCTTAATGTCGTGGCGAGTCTGACGACCAGCCAGCGCACGAATGCACGAATGAATCAGCTAGGCGACTAGTGTTGATAACTTTATATTACTGTTTCAGCCTTATGAGTTGTTATCTTACGTACGAGTAACAGAAAACGGAAACGTTGAGCTTTCAAAAGTTTTGCCTCAGAATACGTAATTTATGCACTAGCCTAGCCTAACTTATGTCAGCCGATATATGAATTAAAATAACAATTCTTATGAACGGAAATATATGCGACTTAATTTATTGCTTCCCACCGAATTCGCTGCTGATGTAATAAGGAATCGCTGTGCGATTTGGCCACAGTCTTGGACCAGTTCCCGCTTCAGCACTGGCATCAGAAAAGTTACCCGGTTGATAAAACAGATCTAAAAATCCATTACTTGAAACCAAATTTTCGTCAGGATAATTCAGTAACGATACGTAAACTCGTGCGAATGTGAAGGCCTGATTGATGGTCTCATCTTGCTGTACCTGTGGTAATCTCGACATTACCGCCTTCGTCGGATACTGCAGTGACAATGATTAACTTCAGTATAGCACTGAGGACGGATAGGAGCAAAGAGCTGAACTTTCTCTTTCTATCCATGAAAGAAATTTCCAAATACTCAACAGCAGTTTATTAAATATTCTGCACAACCTAAACAGCGCGTGTGCTTGCCAAACCGAAAAAAGTCTTCGAAAACATTTGCTACACGATAATTGATCAAAAGTTTTTGATTGCAACAGTCTAACATTTTCCTTTTATGGTTGTTCATCGTTTGCTTCGGGCTTACAAACGTAGCGTGTCAAAAATCGCAGTTTTTCTGTGTTCGTTAATCTACGTGCGTTGCTTGATGCAACACCAACAGGCGATTGCAATAACCATAGGCAATGACCACGATTTTTTATACCCGGAAAATGACGACGGTTGTTATCATGGGCCATCAAATGCAGTATTCCTTCCTACCGAAAGATTAGTTATGCCAAACAGAATTTGTTTGAGTTTCCTTCTAATATTCCAGTCCAGTATAAGAGATTTTCAAGCTGCGTTTGTTGCTTTTACTGCCGAGATCTGCATTTTTACTATGTAGCTGGCGTGATTATTACGACTGTAGATTTACCTACTGCTACTCGAGTAGTTATTCTGTAAAGCCATATGAGAGATTTATCAGTTTTTTTAAGGAAATACAACTTCTACGTTCATTACTAGATAGGTCTTATACTTATTATTTTAGCGGTTAATATGGCTCGTATTATCGGCACATCTATCGATCTATGCGAATCGGGAATCATTTTCAAATTATCATCACTGAATTAGTAAATGATAATGGAAGTTAGCGTGGTCACGCTAACTTGGTTTAACGCGGTGAGAGAAACGCCGGCCAGACATAATTTCTCGTTTATTTAGAACAGCGATGAATAGTGGAAATCAGCATCCTTCAATTTGACCTGCTGGACAATCATATCCTCATCGGACTTCGCCGAATTCATTATGCTCGCCAGCGTACTACCTGCCTGCTCCTATCTCGTACCACCAGCCCGCTTGCCACGGATCCGGATAGAGTTGGCCCGATTTTTAGTTTGCATTGAATTTCTTGATGTTACCTTGTCATTTTAGTTTCGTGATGCGCAGCGAATTATACAAGTGGAAATTGTATTGCGACTAGCGTTGCATGTGACCTTTACGAATTTAAGATCTTTTGGAGTTTAATAATAATATTCAGATCAATTTTAATAATAAGGTTTTACTGAGATCAGCTCACTCGCGTGGAAATGACAGGACGCGGGGGCCGGGGAAGGAAGAGACCGTCCGGAGCCCGGGAGCCGCCAGGGAAACGTACGACCCGCGCCGGTGCAAGTTCTCGTCGCAACCCCGCCGCAGCACCAGAGATCGCACCAGTTGCGAGTGGTTGCTCAGCGCAGGCCATCAGCAACATCGACGAGCAGATCGCTCAAGCCCAGCGAAACCTGCAGCTGCTGCAGGCGCAGAAGAAGTCGGCTTCCAGTGGACACGTCGCGGAGCCGGATGTCATCCCCCTCGAAACAGTGCCGCCGCCTATTGTTCAGCCATCGGAGACCAACATGATTCTTCAGCTGATGATGAACCAGATCAACCAGCTCACCCAGCGAATGAACGACAACCAGCCGGCATCATCATCAAACAGTGGATCCCCTAACAGTAAGAAGGCACCGCCGCTACCGGCAGGGTTTCCATTTGTAAATGAAAAATGCTTGGAAGAACTCTACGATCTTACTGTCAACGTAGATTTAGACAAGTTGCTCAGAGCGAACAGCATAATGTCGCCAATCCACGGCGAAGCGAAAATTGAGATTAGAGACGGTAGCTACGTTCTGTCAGATTCTAAACCAAGAAAGGTCACGATTACTTCGTTTACGCAATGGACGGAAGCATTCATGGTGTTCCGACGAGTACGCGGCTACTACCATCCGGCGTTAGAGCATCCGCTGAATAATTATCAGGCCATTATAACCGATTTAGCCGGTATTTACGCGCCAGTCGTATGGTTAGAGTATGACAAAACGTTCCGCGCCAGCCGCACCCGCGACACCAGTCCTGATCAGTGGAGCCTGTTAGATCGCAACCTGCTCGATCGCTGCGTCGCCCGTCTGCCGAATCAAGCTTACCTGCCGCTGTGTCGGGCATGCCAATCTCCGGACCACCCGGAACAAGCATGTCCCAAGAAGTTCCAGTTGTCTGCACATGGTCTCAAGAACGCTACGGCGGAACAGCCCTTTCGACACATCCCGCCAGACCTGTGCAGGAACTGGAATAACGGGAAATGCACGAAAGGATCCAGCTGCCGATTCACGCACCACTGTGGAGCATGCCGATCCCCCAACCACACCATCCACGAGCACGATTCAGTGCAGCACAATTCTCCCAATGGTCACACGTCCAAACCCGGAAGTGGCCACGCCAGTCTCCGTCGATAGGCTTGCGGAACTACTGGTAGAGCACATTGATCGTGATGCTGTTTGCTTTATATTGCAGGGCTTTAGGTTCGGTTTCAGCGTGGGTTACGAGGGCCCTCAATTCCGTCGCTTTACCAGAAACGCGCGTTCAGCACTCAACGACCCTGCGGTCATTACTTCGATGATCGGCAAAGAGATTCTCGCGAAACACACAATGGGTCCTTTCGTTACCGAGCCACATCCGCATTTCGTCACCAATGCTCTTGGTTTGCGCCCAAAGAAGCCGTCAGGACACCGCGTCACCATGGATTTATCGCAACCTTTCGGATGCAGCGTCAACGACGGCATATCAAAAGATAAGTACTCGTTAATCTACGTTGGCGTAGACGACGCGGTTAAGATGGTGATGAAACAAGGTAGAGGGTCACTTATGGCAAAAGTCGATATAGAATCTGCTTTCCGAAATTTGCCAGTTCGGTCCGCAGACTGGCATCTACTGGGATACTACTGGGATGGCGCATTTTACTTCGACGTTGTAGTGTCGTTCGGTTTGAGGTCGGGCCCGTTCTTGTTTGATAAATTCGCCGGCATACTCGAATGGGTCTTTAAAAAATGTACAGGTAAAGACTCTTTACTACATTTTCTAGACGATTACTTCGCATGCGGCGCACCAGATAGCCCAGAATGCGGCAGGGTAGTGAATCAGATGTTGTCTGTCTGCAAATACCTTGGCGTACCCGTTAACGAGCAGAAATTAGTCAGCCCGACAACGGTTATCGAGTTTCTCGGTATAGTTATCGATAGCGTAAACTTCACGTTGTCGGTATCAGCGGAGCGGATGAAAGAACTGACATTACTTTTAAACAGCTTCTCAGGGCGAAAGCAGTGTACGAAGCGAGAGCTACTCAGTCTGGTAGGCAAGCTATCTTTTGTAACCAAATGCATCCCAGCTAGCCGAATATTTCTGAGGCGAATGATTGATATCAGTTGCAAAGTCAGTAGACTTTACTACAACATCACACTGAACGATGGTTTTCGAAGGGACATTGCATGGTGGCAGGAATTCTTGCCGGCATGGAATGGAACTGCTGCCTTTGTGCAGCCAGAATGGCTACCGGCAAGCACGCTGCACCTATTCACAGATGCAGCCGGCTTGATCGGTTACGGCGGGGTGTTTGGTAACGAATGGTTTCAGGGAACGTGGCCAGAGTGGTTAGTCCAGTTAAAGCCACCCATCACATTCCTGGAAATGTACCCAATATATGTAGCGTGCGTCGTATGGGGTGGTAAGCTTCGATGTAAAAGAGTAATGTTTCATAGTGACAATACCGGCACAGTTCAGTCGTGGTCAGCCGGTTGTTGTCGGAACCCAGGCATAATGGAAATGATTCGCCGAATGCATTTTGTCACCGCACAGAGCAATTTTGTCGTGAAAATAGTGCACATTGCAGGAACCGACAATAGCATCGCTGACGCATTGTCCCGTTTTCAGACGCAACGTTTCCAACAACTCCTCCCCTCGGCAAGCAGTGTTGGGATCGAACCACCGGACCTGCTCTCACGGCTGCAGCCGTTCCTGATCGGAAAAGAACCCCCGATTGTATGGTCCGCCCAGACGACCTCTTCGCCGCCGGAGTGGCTCCTGCTACCCGAAGAGCATACGCCAACGGAGAGCGAAGCTTTGAACAGTTTTGCAGAGTCGTAAAAGCTAACCCGTGGCCAGCCAGCCAGCAAATCGTAGAAGAGTACGTCGCCCACCTATTCAACCAGAAGTCATCAGCATCGACCATCAGTGTCTACTTAGCAGCTATAGCAAGACGTCATCTGTCGCAAGCAATGCCGGATCCCACCTTTAATCCTAGACTGAAGCATATCCTTGAGGGCGCTCGACGCTTAAACGTTCCGCAGCCAGATCAACGACTACCTGTAACCGCCGCACTGCTGAGCCGCTTACCGAAGCGGTTGCATTTAGCCACGCCCAACCTTCACGACCAACAAATGTTTTGGGCCGCTTTCACAATATCTCATCATTTTCTCCTGCGTGTTTCAGAGCTGACGTCACCATCTCCCACCTCTTTCGACCCTGCCACGACTCTTTTATTGCAAGATGTCCATTGGAGCACATACACGCTGGAGATAACGCTGAAGCAGTCAAAGACCGATCAGCGCCGAAAGGGCATTAAGCTATCGCTCACGCCGAGTGAGGCGCCGGCAACCTTCGCAGCTTGCCTTGCCTACACAAAGCGTCGCCAGCTTCAGCGACCACCGAATCTGCCGTTCTTTGTCCACGACAGCGGCCGTTACTTGACCAGAAATGACCTGTCCAATGCGCTCAAAATATCTCTTCCACCGGAAGAAGACCGAGATCGCTATTCCTCGCATTGTTTCCGCATCGGTGGCGCAACATCAGCCGCCGCCAGTGGCGCTTCGGCCGAAGCGATATGCGCACGGGGACGATGGAAATCGTCCTCGTTTCTGCGCTACATCCGTCCCTGTCCAACGCGTACCTTTCTGTTTGGGGCACCTCCTCACTCGCGCAGCTCTCTCGCACAATGGTACGCACAGAACCGCACCGGAAGTAGCCGCATACGCATCATCCTGGCCATGAATCAGGATTCAACTCCCTGGCCACGAATCAGGGAGCACACCTGGCCACGCATCAGGTGTTAGCATCGCACAGTCGCTCGCAAAAACGCTCCTTCCGGTGGCCGTGCATGTTCTGACGTTTCCACGAGACTCCGCTGCCGGGCTGAGGCTGGCCAGTTGCCCCAACACCCTGTCGGCGTTTCTCGATCGTTGTCGTTAATGGAAGTTAGCGTGGTCACGCTAACTTGGTTTAACGCGGTGAGAGAAACGCCGGCCAGACATAATTTCTCGTTTATTTAGAACAGCGATGAATAGTGGAAATCAGCATCCTTCAATTTGACCTGCTGGACAATCATATCCTCATCGGACTTCGCCGAATTCATTATGCTCGCCAGCGTACTACCTGCCTGCTCCTATCTCGTACCACCAGCCCGCTTGCCACGGATCCGGATAGAGTTGGCCCGATTTTTAGTTTGCATTGAATTTCTTGATGTTACCTTGTCATTTTAGTTTCGTGATGCGCAGCGAATTATACAAGTGGAAATTGTATTGCGACTAGCGTTGCATGTGACCTTTACGAATTTAAGATCACCCGCCTTCCCACCCCTTTTTTTGCTTCGGCTAATGTTAATGTGCTTAATTTCGGACATAAACTACGTCCTCTTTCTGAGTAATTTGATTAAAGGTCTGTCCTCACTCGCGCAGCTCTCTCGCACAATGGTACGCACTGAACCGCACCGGAAGTAGCCGCATACGCATCATCCTGGCCATGAATCAGGATTCAACTCCCTGGCCACGAATCAGGGAGCACACCTGGCCACGCATCAGGTGTTAGCATCGCACAGTCGCTCGCAAAAACGCTCCTTCCGGTGGCCGTGCATGTTCTGACGTTTCCACGAGACTCCGCTGCCGGGCTGAGGCTGGCCAGTTGCCCCAACACCCTGTCGGCGTTTCTCGATCGTTGTCGTTAATGATAGTCTGCCGTACACTGAAAACTAGCTGACTAATCTTCAAAACAGTCGAACAACCCGGCAATTACAACTGATGCAAACAGACAGCGGTTTACAAATAAGCCTAATAACGTTGCCAGTATTTCTTGTTCATGCTCATGCAATTTTATGCATTTAATTTAAAGAACCCTCCAGAGACAGTTTTCCTATCTTTATCTTCTCCCATAAATTCGGTCATCTCTTTCCAGCCATATTTTGTATAGATCAACCAATTTAGGGTAAGAAGGCGAGTTCCATACGTTCGATTGGTATCACTTGAGGACGCAACGACTTTTTGGGTTTCGAATACAAGGGCTGGCACTGTGGTACAGGGAAACAATGCCTTAGTTACCTTAAACGGGTTAAACTCTCATAGTTTTTTCTCCTAACACCATTCATTAACAACTCTTTAGGAAAACTAATCTGTCACATGCGATCATTCCTAAAACTAAAAGTGTAAGCCGGCAGCAATAACTGATGCAATGTGGCTTACAAAAAATGATAAATGACGATTATGGTGCTGCCAGTGCTTGAGGTTAGATAGGAAGTGACGCAACTTGGTGAATCCTAGGAGTATGGACAAACTCTTACCCGGATCTAATGGAACATTTCTGCGTATACATGCAGCTCTAGCACTGGTGTGACCAATTTTACGCGGGATTCTCGCCCCATGAATTCGATAATTTCATATCGAAATTTGAAAATACCTCCCCGTTGGCGGATAAATTTATTTCAACTATCATAAAATCAGTCGCTTGCTGTATGATCTTGTCCACAGAACATCTTTTAGCGCACATGCATGGCATTTTCTTAAAAGCCTCTTCAAACGGCTAAAGTGTCGGGCATTCGGCTATTCGGACATCCAGAATAAAGTGCGGTTAGCACCCTTTACATGGATCAGTATGAAAATATGGGTTGCAGTATTTAATTTCGTAACAGACAATTAACAATGAAGAGGTTTTTTGAATTATTAAATTTGTGAAGACAGTATTATTCTATAAAAGAAATTTCAAAATTTCCTGCTAACATCTTTTTCGGTCTTTCAGCTTGTTGAACTCTGAAACGGTCATGCTAATTTGAACATTTCTCCGGTGGGCCAGGAGATGTTGGAACTATATCCGCTACAATTGGGCTGGTTAACCGAATAGTCCGCTTGCGTGTAGTAGTTAATCCATTCAGTGCCGAGCGGAAAGGGATCAGCCTGACAGTCCACAGGATGATACAGTTGCTCTTTTACAAACGCATCGCTGTTGAACTGCTGGTTCAAATAAAACGCATCGAACGAATACAGCTCTCCTAAGTCAACTTTAAGCCTCAGCTGCTTGCTACTGCGCCACCATGAACGATACCAGGCGAATTGGCAGTCGCAGTGTAAACTGCGTAGAAATGTCCGAAAAGGTTGCTCGAACTTATCATATCTTTGGCTCTCCGACAGTGCTTCTAGCGAGAGAATGGAGAGATTCGGCAAATCAGCAAAAGTATTTGGTTGCATGGACGCAACAGTGGTGTTGCAGAAGACGACAATGCGGAGATGCTGAGAAGTCGTGAAGTCAGCCTTTGCGATGACTAAGTTGTAGCAGTGATAAAGCTCGAAGTGCAGAAGAAATTTAAAGCCCAGAGAGTTCAGTCTGTTAGTCACGCGGTTGGTAGTGCAGTTGCGTAACTATAGCTTTAAGACTTGCTGTTGCACGGGCAGAAAAGGGTACTTGGCGATGAGTTGCTCTTCCACATCAATGGACACAATTCGCAACGGCGCTTCGGCCATATCCACCGTCATGCGCTGCAGCACAGCAACCGATGAGTTTGACTGGCAGACGATACGGAAGTCGTTCCGATAGGTGCAGTTGACAGTTGTACTGACGTCAGATTTGCAGTATCGATTGAATTGTGCGGCGCACTCATCCTCGGTCATTATTTCCAGAGGGAAACGCGGAAACTCTTCCGTTGTATTCGAGCTTTTATGCCCAGGCCCGGTATTTACTGGACAGTTGTAGGCCAACATGATCTTAGCAACATCGGTCGGACTCAGACGTTGCCGCTGTCCCATGCGCACAATCAGCCCCTTTTTTGATACCATAACCGGACTGGAATCCACAATTGCCCCGCTGAATGGACCGTAATGTGTGATGGAATGATAGTCATACTTGGTTCCCAATGTGTGAACAGAAGCGTTGATTTGGTACTCGTGAGCGAAACCGGATTTGATGTTGTCGCTTCGCACATCGACAAACTGGTCTCGGTCGGCACGTTTCTGCTCATGATCGAAACCCAAAGCATGCAAAACGCGGGTCTGAATTGCTGCTGTGTCCAAACACAGATATGGGTAGTCGATGGTTGCTACCGCCAGGTAAATGTACTGATACCCACCTGTGCGCCCAACATCTGATGAACATCTGAAATGAGGGAAGATATTTTTAGTGTATTGTGGATTGACGCATAACGTCATCGAAAACACAAGCTGACGTTGAGCGACGAGGGTACCTGCCGGAATAGCTTGGAATGAAGTAAATATAATCGAACTCGTACTGTCTAACTTTGAAAGCTATACATCCTTTTGTCATCCTTTCAATCTTCAGGAGAGCTTTCAGTATCACTTCCCGTTGCGATTTTTCTACAACACAAAATAATACTGTAAAATAATTACAAGGACCAACCGGGTAATACACAGTGTAAAGTACTTAATAATTAACAGGCTTGAATATGACTGCACGATTTTGTGCTAAAGTACATATTTTCGCTTTAATACATATACCCGAAACGGCGCAATTCCAGAATATTAACAGGGTGTGTAAACAAATCGACTGTAGCTATTCGCATGAACTTGTAAAAGCTGAAAAGGGACAAATATCTCGAAGACGTTGCACATTGAGAGCTAATGTACAAATGCATATATGTAATCTTCTGATATCTGTACATGTATATGATGATGGGCATGACTCCTGGGAAACTGATGTACTGTGCTGTAGATATGCCCAGTATTACCGCTATCTCTACTGTAACTGCGCCAGCTGTTAAGGCCATCGCTGGTTCGGCTTTAATCCTAAGATGCCATTCTGCAAAAAGAAGCGGCTATACAGATTTTTTCTCTGCAGACTACAGATAGTTAATTTTTTAGCGTGATGTTTTCGATTGAAACTTTAAACTTGTTTAAAGTCGTTCTCGCCAATTTTAATTTGGGAATTTTTCTCAATTTAAACTGGACAAACAGATGTATCGAGAACGAGATGCGATTTCAAAATAGTAATAAAATTGGCGTTCTTCATCTGAATTAACAATAAGCCGAACTAGCCATGGCCTTAACGTGTGTAATAGTGTAAGTTACTAACTAAGTACTCTATACTGTACTACTGTCGATTACTGGGGCGAGTACATTACGGTCATTCCACTGGATATTTCATACCACCTACTCCTACCTGCATTAGTCCACACACGTCTGGTACAATATGATTTGTAGTCGATAGCTTCATACTGCAGCGCACATCTTAAATCGGAATTACAATTTAAGACATAAAAGATATTTTTTAAGAAAGGAGCCACCACTGCACGGACTAAATTGATTGTCGAAAAGCAAAATGTACTACGAGTACAGTACAGCTTCAAAGCCAAAAGGGTTTTTTACTTTACTGTAAACACTAGCACAAATTATGGGATTCGCAGAATCGCAACGAAATACTACCACAAGAGAAAGTGATAATTATTATGTCCTTGCACGAATAAGCAATAAAATTAGTTAAATCAACATACGATACTTTCAGCAGCACTGACCGTGAATGCATTCCTGTGCTTACCGAAATCGCTACTGATGTAATAAGGAATTGCTGTGCGAGATGGCCACAGCCGTGGGCCGGTCTCGGAAGTGTCGCGTTTGCTGGAGCTGTTGACAGGCGCTTCAAATAGATCTGCAAACAAAAGTTATCTGACAGACTTTCTTTTTCACATGTGATCGGCGAAAACGTTACCTCACAAAGTTCAGATACTACTTTTAAACTTGGCTAAGGTATTCGGTAAAACTCTAAAAAATTGAGCATAATTGAGCAATCAAGATTACCTGGTGTAATCGAAATGTCTCCATTTTCATCCGACACTGCTATTGCGATTTGCGTGCAGACACCAGCAACTGCCGCGAATAGAAGAATTTCAGATTTCTTTTTCGTGGTTAAGCTTCTAGAAAGTATCATATTTCCTAAGCAGAAAAGATTTGGTTGTTGTCATCCAAGTGCAATCACAGATAAATCAAAATATGCAGGCACTGATCCCCACAATGTATGTGATTGCTATGCCGACTACATAAAGACATACGCAGTTTTTACAGTTCATATAGGGGAGTACCGGATGCAATGCGCACGATATGTTGCAAACACCCCCGGGTTAAACCAGTAATTTTTGGTGTCTTGGAAGTGGTGACGACATTAGCTGTTGTCGTCGCTGGCATTCATTCAAAACACGCTGGCAGTTATTCATCTCATGATTAGTAATCATGCTACCTACTTCGTTTTTCAACTGTTTGACCTTCGCTACAAGTACTTATTAACTTTACTCTTAGTAAATACTTGCTATTCTGCCTTTGCTGCAAAACTGAAATTTTTTATTTGCTGTCAAGAAAGACTCTGAGAAAAAGCAATGCGCGCAGTATTTTTGTTGCAGTGATTTGCAGTTCGCATTGTGGTGGTGTATATGTATTTTAAGATCCCAATGCGACCATGCTTTCTGAAATCAACGTTTTACAAAACTGCTCTTATGGTCAGCGCTTCTTTGCATGTATGATGCAGTAATATATCATGCAGTAACGGAAATATGTAAACATAAAGTACTTAACAGTACTGAAAAGCGGAAGTCGCTCCATTAACTGAAGCATAATATCATCTTGTTTCCGTTTGCTTTAAACATATCATCTTGTCATCTTGTTTCCGCTTGCTTTAAAAGCGGGTCAGGCAAATCAGACAAGGCAAAACATGAAATTTTTTTGTACAGTTGTCAGCAGCTTTTGATTGCAGCAGCTTTCGCAAAAGATTGCGAAATGTTTATTTGTGTGCAGATCTGAATTCAGGATATTGTTCTGCTCCGAATAAGCAGCCGGTTGCGAGCTGGTTGTAAATGTCAGCACTGTAGGCACCACCCGCTCATTTATCCCGGCAATGGAAACCTTATGTCCCGTTACGGTTGTGATGTCCTTCAGTTTGGCGGTCATGCCCAACACCCGTTGACAATCTTTGCCAACCGGAAGCAATATAAACGGCGACGATGTGGACAAAAACATGGCTCGGTTCACCGGCCCATCATCACGGCAACAGTACTGCAGTGATGTGGAATGAACATTGTTTGTCCCGTCAGGAATGCTTCCCCGAGATTTATGCGTGTAATGCGGAATGTTTCCGCCAACAGTCACCGAGTACGATATGGTCATTTGGCCGACACCTGGGAAACTACTCGGGCATGTTCCACCTTTCCGGAATACACAGTACGAGCCGCGCTGCCAGTACGCCATTCCTCCGTTGATCTCGCGCTCCGTGCGTTTTGTACAAAACCCGGCGCTCCAGATGCTCGGTCCGTATCCTGTGGGCGCGGTTATTGCACTGTACGGCGTTTCGATCAATCCAGCCGGCGCTCGTTGCGGACCATGGTGTGCGGAAATCTGTAGCGTCATATTCCGAGTGCCGCTAGCCCATCCTTCGGGACAGTGTAAGTTGTTTTGTACCAACAGCGAATATTGTCCTTCAGGCCAGTTGGGCTGCATTGTGTGGTTGGCTTCCTCGAGTTCGTCAGGATTGATTTCGGATAATTTTGGATAGGCATCGATGGCTTGTGCCATAGCTTCGCTGACGCGTATGGATTGATTGTGATTTTCGTCCAGAAGACGGCAACTAGGGACAAACTGGGCGGATCGGGTGAGGTAATCTGTACCAAGAAAATAGTCGAGGCCGCGGAGGGAAAACGTGATCGGTGCGGGTCGATCGACGGAGCCGATTACTAAATGGCTGGAGTAAGAGTTGGTGGAGGCGGCCATCATCATGCTGATCTCCCGAGAACTAAAGCTCGTGGACATTCCAACGGATGCGCCAAAGCCGAGAAAACTGGCACCAGCTGAACCTCCGTAAGCGGAACTACCAAAAAATGAAATACACCTTCAAACTCAGTGAAATACACTTTTTATAAAATGTCTATATTTTTTATTGTATATTTTTTATTATTCTTAGCTTTTGTACTTTGTCTGCTGTGAACACAAACTCAGCTATCTTATGTTTAGTGCCGGTACCTTACAGACTGTCCGACATAAGGACTGGTGCACAACTAATAGTTTTGATGATAACGCTTTGTTGCACGCAAATTCACACAGCCGTAGTGTAACTGCAAGCGTATGCATTTGGCAAAAATATGGTGGAACAGAAAAATCACCGTGACTTACGACGAACTGCTCATGATGGTTTTCGCGACTTCCGATTTTCTCATAATTTTTCTGAAGATACTGCGTATTCCCATTTTCGCGCTGGTAACCACATGGGTGCCCCACTCTTTGATGAATGTCATGTATTTCCCCGGCTCATAACGGTTCGGTAACTGGCACACAGCCGCCATAAAATTATTAGATAACCGGCGTTCTTCGTGATAGCGATAGGCAATTTCTCCGTAATTCGTCAGATTGCGCGCGTTGAGTATAATTGTTTCTTTTCTTGCGGAATTCATCGCGTAATTCATTGGCCGCTTTGCTGGCGCTCCCTCTTGCCTTGAAAATCCACGCACGAATCTCGCCTTCAATATTCCATGACGAATCATGAGAAGTTTGATAAGAACGCATATCGACGTCGCTGGAGTACGACTCGTCCGTGAAGGACGTATCAAACTGGACGCAGTTGGCTTCGACAATACAGCCGCCTGGCTGTGTCGTCTGGTGCAACACGGTCTTGGCCACTTTCAGCCCGGGATCCATTCCCCCTGTCGTCAGGCTGGGACCATCGGGGCTGCCATATAAAAGGTCATACCCGGTTCCCACGTACACTGCCACGTCCAATAAGCTTCTAACTGTGAGTATTATTTAATTGGTTTCCTTCGTGTTCACAACAATGATTACATACTACGGTTACAAATTTCTAACTTGTCTGTAGCTGCGCTGTTGTAACTCCGAATCGGGAGTACGCAAGTGGCATTCCACCACTAAAATTCTCTGGCACAGTAACAGTAATAAAATCTGCAAAGCGCATGCCATTGTGTAGCTACTCTAGGAAGTATAAACTCAGTACAGTAAACAAATAGTAAAATAAATGAATATTGCACTGTTGATTCCATACGTTTCACATCTTTATAAAGGCCGGGTAAATGGTGATGATTGATTCCTGGGTCAGGGAACGCCGACGTCACCGGTTATCGCTGTTTGTCCGTTAACTATGTTATTATTATTATTATTATTACGGCACAAGAGCAGACAACCCCAAGGGGACTTTAAGTCTTAGATATGGCACACTTCGAACACAACAATTTTTTATGACCGCACTTCCAGGTCGTAGTCCAGTAGCCACCGTACTAACCTATACACTTCATATTCTGTTTGTCGACTTCCGAAAATCTTAGTAGTCACTCTTAGTCTGGGTAGTAACCTGTAGTTTTTTGTAGTCTCGGTAGTTTGCGTAATTTGCTGTAGTCTTGGTAGTTTGCGTAATTTGCTGTAGTCTCGGTAGTTTACGTAGTCTGCTGTAGTTTCCTGTAGTCCCGGTAGTTTACGTAGTTTTCTGTAGTTTCCTGTAGTCCCGGTAGTTTGCTGTAGTGTCGGTAGTTTTCGTAGTTTGCTGTAGTCTCGGTAGTTTGCGTAGTTCCCGTAGTTTGCTGTGGTCTCGGTAGTTTGCGTAGTTTGCTGTAGTCTCGGTAGTTTTGCGCCTACGTATACTACAAAGACTACCGACACTACTGGGAGCCACAGAAACTACAAAACTACAGGCGACTACGCTGGCTAGACGAACTAGGGTTATTACAGGAAACTGCACAGGCTTCCAAGACTACTGGTGACTACCGAAAACTACGCAAACTACCGCGACTACCGAAAACTACACAAACTACCGCGACTACCGAATACTACACAGACTACCGGGACTACCGAAGACTACGCAAACTACCGAGACTATGAGTTACTACAGGCCACCACACAAAATAATGAAAATGCAGGTAACTACGGGCATGGAGGAAAAATTTTGCCATTGTATAAACATCCTTTGCGAATACATAGGCTACAACGGAAAGGTGCACTACATCGTCTAAGGATGGCCGTAAAAAAATGTCCTGTTCGAAGTGTGCCATAGGTGTCAAGTCTGGTCGAACATCGAACATCGTGCTATCAGGGAGTGATGTCATGAACGAAAAGGATAGAAATTCATACTTTATGACACACTTTCTTATCCGCTACGAGTAGGTCGTTCTGCGTAACCTTGGTCATGTTGCATAAAACTCGGCCAGTCTTATTGACAGAGGACATATTTGTAATATGTACAGATAGTTCATAGGAAATAATATTATTTGAGTAAGGTTTACCCAGTGCTTCATTTGTACTCTATCAAACTACTTTTGAACTGATTTACAGATGCAGCTCCGCTACCACGGTATATACGTATTTACCGCCACAATAGTGGCGTTTGTTCTTCGACACGTTCGAAGCCGCTGATAGTCCAGGTAATATCGGCAAACTATGCCATGCCAACTACGCGAAGTGGAAATGAAATCAGTATCAGAAATTATCCAAAGGCTGGTTACAATGACTTTTTACAAACCATCAAAGTTGCGCTATCCGGGTTGGTTATCTGGTGCTGCGGTGTGGTTCAGAGGAAGCCCGGTAACTCTCTTATGCACACTCTTGTTGGTGGAATAATTATAGCCGCGAACGATTAGCTCTGAACAGTCAGGCTCGTTGATGGAGTATTCAACCTGACTGTAGTAGTTGATCCACCCAGAACCCAGAGGAAAAGGCTCTGCCGAGCAGTCTATCGGATGATAAAGGTCTTGCTTTCCAAAGCTTTCGCTCTCGAAAGCGGTGTTGGGAAACAGGCCGACAGTCGAATAAATTCCTTCAAAGGAGTAAATTTCCCCAACATCGACGCGTAGCCGCATCTGTTTATTGGCACGCCACCAGGATCGATACCATGCATATCCGCAATCGCAGTGAAGGCGTCGCAGGAAATCTCGAAAGGGTTGCTCAAAATTATTATGCTGTTGCCCTTCCGGTATTGCTTCCAACGAAAGCACTTGGAGGTCTGGCAAATCCGTTAAGGAACCCAAATGCATAGTGTCGATGGTACTGTTACGTAAAAGAATTATTCGCAACCGTTTAGACATTATAAAGTCAGCCTTTTCGATAACCAAATGGTGACAGTGGTATAGCTCAAAGTGCAGTAGATTCGGGAGCATAAGGTCATTTAATCTGGAGGTCACGCGGTTCGTGGTGCCGTTTCGCACTCGCAGTTTGACGACTTGGCGTTGCAATGGCTTAAATAAGTACTTAGCGATAAGCGTTTCTTCCACATTGATCGAAACCGGTCGCAGCGGCTCCTCCGCCATATCCATCGCCATTCGTTCAAGCACTCGAACTGATGCGCTTGACACGCACACAATTCGGAAATCCTTGCGACTGGTGCAATTTGTTACTGTCGTTAAGTCAGAATGACAGTAGCGATTGAACTGTGCCGCGCACTCGTCCTGTTGCATTGCATCCATCGAGAAGTTTGGAAAATCTGCATCATGGACTGCGGCTTCTTTTTTTGCGGGGAATATTTCTAGGGGACATCTATAGGCCACCATAATCTTTGCCACATCTATAGGGCTCAGGCGTGCTCGCTGTCCCATACGCGTTATAAGGCCTTTTTTGGGTATCATTGCCGGATGCTCATTGGATAGGGCGGCATGGAATGCTCCGTAGTGCAGAATAGAGTGATAGTCGTACTTGGTTCCACTTGTGTACATCGAAGGGTTAATTCCGTAATGATCATCGTACAACAGGCTTAAGATGCTCTCTTTGTGCACTTCGACATATTGTTCCCGGTCGGGGCGTTTCTGCTCGAAGCCAAAACCAAGAGCACGCATGATCACCATCTGGAGTATACCGATGCTAAAACACAGCGTCGTCCGCAGAGAAATATTTTGCGCGCCCCCTTGTCTTCCCACTGACGCAACGCAACTGGAAAGACCACATCAGAAGCATGAAAATTATTCAAGTCTGTTCACCGTTATATAGCTGAATAATTATATCTTTAATTTTCGCAGAATACCTGGAGAACAATGACTCGGTGGGTTGGAAGTATAGATAATCGGGCTCGTCCGTTCTGTCTTTAAACATTACACATCCCTTCGTTTTTTTCTCCATCTGACGAAAAGCCTTTAAAATTATTTGCTTTTCCGATCTATCTACATCGTAAAATGAAGGGGTAAAGTTTGCAGAATACATTGTAAGTCAAGTTCTGCTGGTCAACTAAAACGGCTACTCCCTGAATTAAGGTATTCTGCTGAATCAGTACAATAATACTTGTTAAATTATAAGACGTAAAAACAAACGTGGTTGCTGATCTATTCAGCGCTTAATTGAGTGTTCTTGTCAGTAACGGTTGGCTAAGACGTTCACAGGTGGTTTCGAACGTACGGCCTTGTCTGACTGCCCAAATCTAATAAAATCCGTCTGCAAGTTTTCCATAGGCCATTAACATCGTCCTTTCGTTTCTTGCTGAGGTTACTCTATGTCCGAAATGGCAAATCAGTTTTCTTAGCTAGGACGCACATTTCGATAAATTTAACCGACACAAAACAGCAAGATATTGGCTGGACGAAATTTACGACGGACGCCTTGTTCGCACTCGGACCTTTTTTCGCAAAGTTCCTGTCCATTGTGAGTGTGATTATTTTGATTCGTTCAACAAAAAGCAAAAATGCCGCCAATATGGTAATAGTACCGTACTTTAATAGTGCTTACCAAAGAAACTGCTTAAGTAGTAAGGAATTGCTGTACGGTTTGGCCAGAGTCTATAGTCATTGTTCGTCCATTTATTGCCAGCATCCGAAAGGTTGAGGGGCAAATGGAAAATGTCTACAACCCAAACTCCTCGTTAGCGTTACACGTATTTGGCAGGTATATTAATATCTAGAATTGTTTGTCAATTTATGAGTTTATCTATTGATGGTATGTATAAACAGGTACATACTCGTATATAGAATACTAAGAATAGATGCGGTAATTGGGTTGTCAGCAAGTGACACCAAATGTCGGTATATTTATCTGTACGTGCATCATTAAATTTCCACAACGAGCCGATTTTGTGAAATACTGAAGCAAGAGTCAAAATTTAGTAGTCAAGTAACAGCACCTTCAGTGATCAGCACATTCCCGCTTTCGTCGGACACTGCTTCTATACCGATTACAACCAGTACAGCAACCAGCACATAAAATATCAGACGAAATAAAGCCATAGGAAGAATTTAAAAGTACCCAAACACTACCAATTGCAAGATTCCTAAAGCGCACGCGATTCGTTGCATACACGCACTACGAAGTGTTCCACAAACAGATAAGGACCGTTTGTTCCACAAAGTTCCAGTTTGTTCCGTTTGTTCCGTTTGTCCCACAAGTATTCCACAAACAGATAAGTATAGTCTTCATCTGCGCCATATGGCGCTGCTTGAACTAAGAAGACAGTGTAAGACGTGTAGTGCCAGGTATAATACCAGGTCCGAGAACATTGTTGCAAATTACCGTAGGCAGTATTTAATTGTTGTTTTTTTTCATCCGGGATGTGACGACAGTTGTAATCGCTGTTTTTAATACATGCTTCTGTTCCCGTCTGCCAGCGGCTTGATATACCGGCATCTGGCGTCAATCGTAGGTGAGAAGTTATTAATGTGAAGACGAATCAACTTTTGCGAGGATTTTGGGAAATTCCGTATACTGCCGTATCAACTTAGCTTACGACAAACTCGGCTAATAATTTTGTTAGAAAAACACATAATATCAGCAGTCTTACAATTAGTACTTTACCTACGTAAACGTACGAAGTAAATTAAAACACCACGAATTTGCGTAATAACCCCAAGCTCTTCTGTAGTTATTTTTCGACAACAGCCGCCGATGCTGGTAACCAGACAGACTTGTATAATTAAAAAAAGTTGTGAAATTATAAAACTACCCACCACGCTGTCACAACATTGAACACAACTACATATACTTCGTGTATTACTGTGACGGTTGCGACAATCGTTTTCTGTAGTAGATTTTGTGGAAATGATCTGCTAGTTATCGTGTATGGCGCGGTAGCTTGTATAACATTCCAATAATGCATGGCCCTGAAATTTTCTAATTACATATTAGACGAACGGCTTCGGATGCACTAGAAGCTATTACGTAAAAATTTTCGCTCAAGCGCTCGCGTTCTACGACAACGGAGGTAGCATGGTGTAGAGGTACATTAACAAAAACAGATTTCCAATGCATAAGGACGCACCTGAGAGAAAAAATAACTGGGCTTTCGGAAGCGAATATGCAGTAGATACGACATATCGTAGACATGACCAAGAGTCAACACTAGCCGGAAAAAAGAGCTGCAGAAAATCACAACTTCAGTAACTCCTGTTCTCAAAAATAAAAACTGGCGAAGCAAACAAGAAAAATCAATTTTACTGTCTGCTTGTATTTTTTCTTTCAAATTCCGCATTTGCGTAGGCAGTTTTCAAAAGTTTGTACAGCAGGCTATACAGTGCAATGCGTGGGGTCATTCGCAGACTGATGTAAACAAATGCATTAACAATAACAATTAGGTATTACAAAACGGCTCGTTAACCGAATAATCAACTTGAGAATAATAGTTAATCCATTCCGTGCTAAGAGGAAATGGATCGGCACTGCAGTTAATCGGATGGTACAGATCTTCCCGCGTGAAATCATCACTGCTGAAATACGTTCCAGACAAAGGCCCTTCGAAGGAATATAATTCTCCATATTCCACTTTGAGCCTTAACTTCTTATTGGCACGCCACCATGACCGATACCATGAAAATTCACAGCCGCAGTGTAGATTTCGCAAGTAATTCCGATATCCCTCTTCGAAAATATAATTTTTCTGACTATAAGACAATGCCTCCAGAGAAAGTATTTGCAATTTGGGCAAGTCCGTAAAAGCACCAGCTTGTAAAGAATTAATCGTACTATTGAAGAACAAAATCATTCGCAGCTGCTGAGAAATCGTGAAGTCTGCCTTTTCGACGACTAAATTGTAGCAGTTAGATATTTCCAAATGTAAAAGGTTGGTAAAACTGAGTTTCTGCACTCTGGACGTCACACGGTCTGTGGTGCAATTCCATAGTTGCAGCTTCAGGACTTGCCGTTGGATGGGCGTAAACAAGTACTTGGCGATAAGTTCTTCTTCTGCACCGATCGAAACCAGTCGCAGTGGTTGCTCTGCCATATCCAGCGCCATCCGTTCCAATACCGATACGGAAGCATTGGACCGGCAAGTTATACGATAGTCCCTGCGATCTGTACAGTTCGTTATGGTGGTCAGGTCGGAGCGGCAATAACGATTAAACTGTGCACCACACTCGTCGGCAGTCATCGGTTCCAGGGAGAAATTCGGGAACTCGTCACTTGCAGCAGTCTGTTCGTTGCCGGGGACAACGGCTAGTGGACATTTGTAGGCGATCAAAATTTTGGCGACATCTGTCGGACTCATGCGCGCTGCTTGGCCCATGCGAACAATCAGTCCTTTCTTAGGTACCATGCTCGGAAGGGTTAGATTCTCGGCAGCCTGGAAGGCATGATAGTGAAGGATTGAATGGTAGTCGTATTTGGTTCCGAAAGTGTACATGGTTTTATTGATAGCGAAATCTCGTTCGTATTCATCCGAATCAATGTTTCCATTGCTTAATTCCACATACTGGTCTCGATCAGGGCGCCTTTGTTCGTGGTTAAAACCCAATGCATGCATAACTTCGTGCTGTATATTTCCAATGTACATACACGAAGCGGACGAGAATAAGCCGGGTACCGCTAAGTAGATGTACTGGGACGAACCTTTATGTCCAACTTCCGCAGCGCAGCTAAGAAAAAAATAATGCAAATAAAAGCTGTAAAGGGTTGAACGGGGTGCTTTGTCGCTTAGGCTATCAGTTTTAAACAACTGGCACCCTTTTTAATCTATGTTCATTTATTCCGCTGCGCATCCAGATATTGCCGCAAAACTGTTCTAAATTTAGAATTCATTGAACAACGCTATCCGTGACTTTCGTTGAACATGTTTATTCATACAACCTGGGACTGAGAACTGGGAATGGAAATTAGTATGGGATTAATTAGGGGAAACCGCAAATTTTTCGGAACTGTACATCATAATGCAAATGACAGCGGAGGACACGCCGCTGTTTTCTAATAATTTGTTGGTAAGGCTTATAATTCACTTGCTGAGATAACTGGGCAGGAAACGTATGTAGTCCGATTCATCCGTTCTGGCTTTAAATGAAATGCAGAAGTTCGTCTTTTTCTCCAGAACGCGAAGGGCTTTCAAAATCAAGGTTTGTTGTGATTTGTCTGCAGGGAGCGACAGCAGATATTAGAAGCACATTTTCCAAGTAATAAAAATTATGAAGATGCAGCGTTTCGTCTCACAGTTTAGCAACTTTCACCCTACTGTTTCAATGCAAGCAAGTTAATTTCGGCCAGCTATCGTGGAAGATGGACATACTGACGTGGTGAGCGGGATATACGTTGTACTGCGGGGAATACTATATGTTTTGCTCGTTCGATTCATTTAGTCTTTAGCTAAAGTGTTCTCCTTTTGTTCGTACCTTGCGTGAAGTACGAGTACACTCGTAAAAGTGCACAAAAAGGAGCATTATTTTAGGTTCTCACCAAAGTCGCTGCTTATGTCATAGGGAACAGCTGTGCGGTCTGGCCACAGTCCGGGACCGGTGATCGCTTCGGCATTTGCGTCTAAATAGATGCCGGGATGGTGGAAAAGATCTAAAAATGCATTGGATGTATTTTTATGTAATAGATACATTTCAGGCAAGAGAGCCTTTCTATTCTGGCGCTGAGGAATACGGCTGAGGAATACGGCAACGGCTAGGGCGGAGAAGAACCGGTAATGTTTGTCATCCATGGGAAAGCTTTAAACTTACATCACAATTTAAAACCACCGAATTGATTAAGTGTTGTACAAACAAAAAATACAAAATATGTACAGCAATGATAAATAATTAAAAAAAACGTACTCTCACTTTTTCTGACAGGGTAGGTTAAATGGTTTTTTGTGATCGCTTCCTTTTTGGTGACAACAAGTAGAGTGTTAAAACAGACATTGTGCATGTCGAATAACACGCATGAAGTGCCTGATGCAACACCTACGTATGGTTGCAAATAACCGGAGGTAGCAAGTTTTTTATATCCGGAAATGACGACAGTTGTAATCATCGGCCATCCACCAAAGTACAGAGGGTTATTCAGCCAAGTGTGGTCAGCGCATTAAAAAAATTCCTATAATTCAGCCGTTGCGCAGAGTCAGATTCTAATAATTGTTTTATTATGGCAAATTAGTTTTGATGCTTTTTGCAAGTTTTTGTGACAATCGGGTTTAAACAGCCCGCAATATTGGCTACTGACCTAAAGACTCCGACTCTAAACCTTTGACCAGGCAAAATTTGGCTTTCGATGATCTGGCCTTAAAAGGATCGTCTGCTTTTCAAATCTGGATGGTTTTAATTGTGAAAAACGACGATCCGAATATTTTTTATAGCAAAACGATTCCATATTCTTGCGCGTTCTTGCGGTAGGACGGCTGGAAAAACGCGAAAACAGGAAGACACTCGCAAGAGCCATGCTCAATGTGCGAATTGTTACTCACGGAGCTATGGCTATCCTTTTCGTTCCTCCACAAACTAAAGTTGTAACGCAGGTCTTCCTTCACAATTTACAATGTTCATTGGTCGAAAAGACGCTCCACGGATTAAGCCTGGCAGAGAGGAAGAAGTCATCCAGAACCAGAGATGTGCTCCGGGAGCACTGCTGAGAAAAACAAGGATGTTGCTTCCTGATCGAAAAAACTGGTAATTCCTTCTGAAAAGGTTTGTTCGAAACCCATGACAGGTTTCCAGTCGATTATGGCGAAAACCCAAATTTTAAATTAATTTTGAGTAAAGGGAATCCATTTCCTATAGCTGAACTGGTCAACTGTTGCCAACATGGTGGGGATAAACTGAATTTTTTCCTGGGCTACAGGATAACGAAATCTTGGCTCGGTTGAATTCAAAATGTGATTGAATGTTGTGGCTATTTGATAAAATTTTTAAAAAAGTAAAATGAGCCTGCAGCGGCTAAGCAGAAATTTTCCAAAAAGTGACCACACTTGGCTGAATAACCCTCTGTATCTTCTGCCTTCCGGAAGAATACTGCTTCCACATCCTACTGTGGCTCAATAGAATTTCGGAAGTAAATGTGGCAAATTCATGTCTGCAAGAGCGTTGGCGTGTCGAGTTTTGTGACCGCACGCCATTGCTAGAGAGTTGTCAAAGTCGGGTTATACCGAAGCGCGCTTTTAGGACACATGCCTCGCATGGGTAATTTATGTGTAACTTGTAAGTGTTACCGAATTAAAATAGTGGCAGCGAATTAAAGATTTGCGATGGTTTCAGTTAAAAAGGCGAGAGACTATCAATCAGGGCCTGATTGATAGTCGAAGGCACAAACGTAAATTTTCCCCCGGGCAAAATATCCGGAGCACTTTTTGGCAAATCTTTACACAAAAATATAGATAAAAGCGAGCAGATTTCGAATCTGTATTCCGGAAAAAAATCGGATGGATAGGTAAAAAGTAATGGCCGTTGCCGGTCTCAAAAAATACCATAATCCGCCCCTGAATCAGGCCATATAAGGACATTTTTTTAAACGAAAGTGCTATGCGCCAGGGAAATTCCTGGCGCATAGTCAATTTGCTATGCGCCAGGAAATTTCTCGCAAAAATTAAAATGTAAGTGTTTTTAAGTTGTTAATATCCCTTTACGAAGTCTAATCATAACCCACACGTCCGATTACGATTTATCAACTTGATGGTTCGATCAGAAAGGCTGTAATTCCAGTTGTTTATACGGCACACCGTTCTTTACATCAAGACGGACTTTATCCAGGACACCCCGAATTTTTTGAAACTGGTTTCGATCCGTTTTCAATAATTTCGTTTAGCCAGTTTCGAAATGTAGACTGTTTGGCATAATTCGCGCTTTTGATGTTCGCATTTTTTGAAAGGGCATGTTTGACGCAAAACGCTGGTGCATATACCCCACAATTACTCTAACCGATCTTTTGTTGCGGGACGGAAGGGCACTTAATGTGCATTTCGTTTCCTTGAGTGCAAAGTAATTATGTATGTATCCAGGTTTACAGCTTAATACAAGTCCATCGGTTTCCGTCTAACTGTGCATAGTACTCGCGATTTTTGGGATTAACCCATTCCAGTACCAACATGCAGGCCCGCGCTGGGGTTTTTTTTGGGGGGGGGCGGCGTTTTGGCTAAAATCTGCCGGGGTGGCGGCCAGAAACTGGTCGGGGCGGAGGGGTGCGGAAGGGGGGCGCCATACTTTAACCCATTGACGGGCATTGGCGTTCAGGAGGCGACAAGGTGTTTGAGATTTTTTCCCCTGCGATCGGCAACAGTTAATCGTTATCCTTTAATGTAGTAAGCAACATGGGACTTTAAAGCAACAGTAAAAACATAATTGAAACTTTTGTCTCAAGGTAATTACGAACGACAGGTCCGCGAAAATCGCTAATTTTGGACTTTCCTAGCTGCCGTAGGTCTTGCTAATTAACTAATTAGTGAATGATTAATTAAACCGGAGATAAATCAACAAAGTACAACTGAGTAAGCTGAATCTAAAAACGGTCAACATGGGTTCTGTAGGTTGAACCATAGATGACCACAGTCCGTCAAAAACGTGTGTCGCCTCCTAAACGCCATTGCCCATGAAGGGTTGTGAATATACGGGCGGGTGCACTTTCGACAGATTCTTTTCATTACGTAAACGGAATAAGTTACTGTCGGTTCGGACGCAAAACATGCGCCATGTGGTTCTGGTTGTTGAAAGCTGACAGAAAATGGGGTTCTAGAATGGCACCCCGGGCGGTCGGCATGGCAGTCTTGATGCGTTAGTTATAATTATAATTATAACGCCAGTGTACGTAGCACTGTGAAATGGCACCACAACCCTGCACTCTGCTGCTCTCTACCTTCGATACCGAATACCGCTTGGGCAAGCAAAGCTATGGAGCAGCGCAGCTTTAAAGAAACTTTCGAATTTTGAATTTTGACCAGTCTCAAGCGATTGCAAACTGTAATGACCAGATTGGTGATGTTGACCTTTGCGACAGCCTTATGTTGGTTACATCCGGCCGATAATGTGTTAGAAAAAGTGCAAGTGACCACTAATATTTGGTTCGGCGCTAATCGCTTTTGCACCTGGATCATCTTTCCCCATACCCACCGCTCCCGCCACACCAGGAAACGTACAAGTCCGAATATGCACGCAGTGTAAGGACGGCTCGGCGTGTTCATCAGGGCAGCAAGTGCATTGTTAAATTGCAGAAAGGCTGCTTCGTGAAATGCCATATGAGAGAGTGATGAAAGTTTGCGAAGGAACATTGTCAGCATCGCTTGTTTTCTGTTTTATATATACAGTAGTGGTCAAAATGCAGGGAAAAGGGTTTTAGTAGTTTTTTATTTTTTGCTGACCAGTGGTCAATTTGTTGACCACTTCTGTACTACCGTTTTGAAGTACTTTTTTGGGGGTATTTAATGAAGTAATTGCTTTTACGTATTTCCTGTTCTCCTAATTATTACAAAATTAAACGTTTGTATGCAGTAGACCGTCCATGGGCATTGTTGTCAGCAGGCGACATAGTCACCACCGCTGACCTATGGTCAGCACAAGCTCACAAAAAATTCTCTTTCTTAATTGAATTTTTTCATCGGGAAATCCCAATTTTCAATAGGAAACTCGCACTCCTTCGGGTACCGCCCGCTGGAGGGTTAAATTCGCCCCCACGGCGGCCAAAAATCGAAAAAGGGGGCTGCGCCCCCTCTCCAACGCGGGCTTGCTAACGTGCCGGTGAGACCGTTGCTTCTTATTCCGTTCGACTGTCGGAAAATCGTGCATGCCCTGCTTTTTTGCTGATTTGTAAATTCGGCAAAACTGTACAGTGGTGTTTTTACTTTTCAACGCGGCCATAACAACACAATGCATTCCCACATGTGCATTTTCTTCGGTGTTCGCCGGCTTCATCCTCTCATTACCGCTTTTATCATGGCAAAAACGCTCTCAGCTCTATTTGCCATGTTCTGCTCGAGCAGTCGCAAATGCTTCCTTAGGTCTAATGCCCATCAAATGCCCATCACAAGTATTGCTGGTACTCCAGTTCTTAGTTTTTCCTAAATATTGAGTTCTTAATAGCGTAGTTTGTGCTTTTTGTAATGAATCTCACGTGTTGTTATGCTTGCTATATAAAAAGCACTTTCACCAAGTGACAGTATTGTGTTATTAATAATTTAAAGCGATAAATTTTAATTTTGGCGGCGAATTTCCGGGCGCATAGCAAAACGACTATGCGCCACGAATTTTTCTGGCGCACAGCAAATTGACTATGCGCCAGGAAATTTCCTGGCGCATAGAAGTGACCTTATTTAAAACCGGCTTGTGCTGCAGTAGAGAGTTCTGTATTGCGGAATTCAAACAAAATAAATAATTTTATTTCGCATCAGAAATTATTAAATACAGAGCTTCTGTACATGCTCGGCTACTTTAATACAGTTTTTACTTATGATTTTATTTAAGTTGTCAGGAACGTAAAATCAAAGCTGAGCAAGCTCCATAAACATTTGTAGAAAAATAGTGAAAGCATCGGATTCAACTGAAAGCGAAGTTTGAATAACCCGGTTCTATTTGAGAAAAAAGCACCCATGTATTCTTCATCCAAAAGATGTCCTTTGGATGGGTGTTTTTTGAGTTTCAAAAAGCCATAATATAGTTCCGTAGACCAGGTATTTTAGACGTGAAAATGTACATAAAAAGGGGCTCCATAAGTATACTGAAACATGCCGTTCTAAAGACGGCGTGTTGTGCTCAGACGATGTCTAAAGCACGTCAAAAAATTGCTTGCCGTAGAACCGGGTAATATTTAAGCAGCATTTGTGTATTCACCAAGGAAAAGTACAATCCCATGGCGATAAAGCCGCCACGGGTTCTTTTATTTTAAGAGCTGATTTCATTAGTAAATGCGACGCCGTAGTCCTCGTTGGCTTTTCTATTCCTAAATGCTCTCCATATTGATTCACCATTGCGCAAGGATGTCCACCAAGCTGCACACCGCCCTTTCGCAATTACCGCCACAGTACCCACACTCACAATCAAAACGCCCAAAAGTACACCAAGCACGATACCCGTGACAGATCCGGCGCTTAATTTATTTTGCGCCAGTGTTAAAGGCCGAATTTTCCACGGTGAAAGCGTTGTGGGAACAACAGCGTCAGTAGTCGCCGAGGCGGTCGTTGTAGTAGAATTTACTATCAGAGTTGTGTATGTACGAGCAGCTGCAGTGGGTGTTGTAGTGGAAGCTGTAGTGGGATTTACTATCAGAGTTGTATATGGAGCTGCAGTGGATGTTACAGTGGGAGTTAGGCGACATTGTGGGTCGTTGATGGAGTATTCAACGTGTGCATAATAGTTGATCCACTCAGTGCTGAGAGGGAACGGTTCAGCATCACAGTTGATGGGATGATACAGGTCTTCTTTGTTAAAGTCATCGTTACTGAAGAGGGAAAAGGTAGGCCCATCGAAAGAATATATTTCTTCCTTCTTCACTCTTAAGCGCAGTTGCTTATTACTTCGCCACCATGATCGATATCCGGCAAATTTACAGCTGCAGTGCAGACGGCGCAAGTAATCACGATAGGTCGGCTCGAAATTGTAGTTTTTCTGGCTGTCCGATAAGGCTTCCAAGGAAAGAACCCGCAGTTCTGACAAATCCGTAAAAGAGCCAGGCTCCAAGACGCTGACGGTGCTGTTGTAAAGGATTATTATTCGCAGCCGTGGAGTTAGCATAAAGTCTGTTTTTTGGACGACCAGGTCGTGACAGTGGTGAAGTTCAAAATGCAATAAATTAACAAAGTTCAGCTGGTTGAGTCTGTGCGTCACGCGGTCCGTGAAGCAGTTGCGTAACTGCAGCTTCAAGACTTGTGTCGAAATCGGTGCAAATAAATATTCGTCGATAATTTGTTCGTCTACCTGGATGGACGCCGGTCGTAAAAGATCTTTGGCCATATCAAAGGCCATACTTTCCAGCACCGGCACCGCTGCATCTGACTGGCAGACAACACGAAAATAATTTCGCTCTCCACAGGTTGTCTGCGTGGTTAGGTCAGACGCGCAGTAGGCGTTGAACTGCAGCTGACACTGGTCTTCCGTCAACGGCTCAAGGGAGAAATTTGGAAAGTTTTGGCTTTCCGAGGCCGTTAAGCTGCCGGGAAAAATGGTTAGCGGGCATTTGTAGGCCAAGGCAATCTTAGCGATATCGCTCGGGCTCATCCGCTTATCTCGTCCCATACGAACAACCAGACCTGTTTTTGGTACAATCACAGGGATCAGAGGGTTTATGGGATCACCGAAGGCCTCATACTGCACAACGGAATGGTAGTCATATTTGACTCCGAAAGTGTACATGGACGATTCGACAGCGAAATTATTGTATTGGTCAAACTGGATGTTGTCGTAGCGTATGTTGATATAGTGATCACGGTCCGGGCGTTCATGCTCGTGGTAAAAGCCCAAAGTGTGCATGACCTCGTGCTGGATGCTTCCCGTGTCCAAACATGATCTTGTGGAAAAAATTCCGGCGCGGGCCAAATGAATGTACTGCAACCCTCCACGTCTTCCCACGCTTGAGTCGCATCTAAAGAAGGACATTTATGTACGGTTTATCTTTGTTGATAAAAATGAATGGTGCAAGGATTTTAACCCACAAGTCCTGAAAATTTCCGAGAAAGTAGATAAAGTCACTCTCGTCGGTTCTAGGCTTGAAAAAAATACAGCCTCCTGTAATTTTTTCCGTGGTACGAAGAGCTTGAAGAATCGCATGCTGTTCTGGTACATCTGAAAGATAAATTTATTTAATATTATATTCTATTGGTTGGATCATTTTATAACAAAAATTCATGGCGAAATTCTGCAAAAACGTTTCCTTCCATTTCACGCGCGCACTCGTTCGGAATGAAATTTCAAAACGTTGTGCCGGGATTTAACTTACTTTGTCACCACATCGTACAAATATAATTATACGCCGTGTTCGCCTTATTTATTTATAGCACTAATTGCAGCAAGCTGTTCTACAGTTGTACTCATAAAAATTATTCGATAACTCGCCAAATTCGCTGCTGATGTAATACGGAATCGCTTTCCGATCTGGCCACAAACTTGGGCCAGTTCCCGATTCGACATTTTTGTCTGAGAAGATGCCCGGTTGATAGAAGAGATCTACAAGAGACTCTTTTCAGAGTTAGTTTTCAGGATAAATGAATGTGATTTATGGCTGCGGCTACGTACCTGCTGTTACCTTAAGGTTGCCGCTTTCATCGGATGCTGCCCTAAGGATTTTCAAATTTAGTGCCACCACCAGTGCGATACGAAGTCCAAAGCCATACATCCTATCCATGGAAAAAAATTTGAGCTACACAAATCCTCTTTAATTTGCTCTGCGGAACACAGTTTGACATCTCAGATAAATTAGATCAGCTCTGCGACATGGTTATTGGTGAAGTGCCACGGTTTACACTTCTCCTTTCCTAGATTAGTTATTACAACATTTTTGTTTTCTTGGTGCTGAATGTGCGTATTGAGCGCAACTGTACTAGTACACATACAAACAGTATCTTGTCGGTAATAGCTGTTTTTTTGTGAACACGCATCGCACTGCATGATTTCCTACAAGCTGATGCAATGCAAACACCCAAAGGCAATGAATATGAAACTCCTCGTGCACCCGGAAATGACGACAGTTAATTAATTTGCTATGAAATGAGGTACCTGTTATTTTCTACAAGATTTTCCATTACCATAGTCGGACTGGTATTATACTGCAGCGCTAGAAATCTCTAGAGAACTTATACTTAAGGGATCGACCATATCTGTACGTTATATACCTGCGAAGCTGGTCCTATACTGATAAAAAACGATAAAAATTAATGGAAACACCATGACGTGTACTTCCGGTACAAGTTTTCGAAATGGCATTCATGAAGGTACTAGTGTACTAGAATAATCCTTTGTGCAGGTTTAAATTTTAAACCTACCCAAAGGATTACCTATTGTAACAGCACCCGGGTTGACTGCTGTTCTAGTGGGTTGGTAAATCTTCCTTACCACGATCTGTCGGTTGTTACATGTAGTGTGCGAAAGACTGGCAGAGTCGGCAGCGATGCTGACCGGAAGCTGAATACCGTTTACAGGGTGACAATGGAGGGAGATGCACGATCATCCCATGGCGATTACGCAACACAACACAAGGTCATCGCAGGTGTTTATTAACAAGTGCACAAAGCAAGATTCAGCGAGCAAAATAAGATGAGGAGCAAGAATGCATATGCGTGGGCAAGAAGCGCGGGAATAGCAAGAAGCGCGGAAGGCGCGGAGCAAGATTCGGGGCAAGCTGCAGCAAGACTAATTTCAAGATGTTTCTGACCGTGAGATGCGGTCGGTAAAGTAGGAAAATCAGGTGATCTTCATAACACAACAACCAATAATCAGTAGAGAAAGGCAGTTAACACTCCTACTGGCGGTACATCTCTAATTTCTATCGCTACACTATACTCCCGCGCAAAGGAAACTGACTATCTGCAGCACTGCTTTTACCGCCACAAAAATACCGCTTGTTCTTTGTACGGTAAAAATACTAGATAGTTCATGCCTTGGCGATTGAAAAATCAAGCTCCGCTTATAATCAAGCTATATTAATTCAAACTCTAGTAAAAATTTGATAAGAGAAAGCCAATTTTACAGTCAATAAACTGAAGAACGCGGCGGTGTCAATTAGTTAAGCTCATGTGATTATCAAACAATGTTAAAAGTCTGTCACTCAATCTGTCAATGATTGTTTGTTTTATTTTCCGCAAATGAACATCCGTTCTTTAACAACTATCCGTACGTACACTGCAGTGCATGTCTCAGTTCACCGACCAAAGTCATTCAGTAACAAGTTGTCAACAGCAACAACTGATTAACAACAATAACTGAAGAAAAAAAACCATTTCGCAAACTCTCTGCACAATATGTGCTCAATTTTTTATTTTATAGCTTTGTAAATAAGCTAACATGCATCCTGCATTCTGGACGCCATACGTGCCAATTCACCGATTCCATCCTGCCCATCACTTTTCAACGCTACCGGCGTCTCGCTGGTCAATATATGTAATTTCATTTTTTGTGCTGGTTGAATTCTCAGTGGCATCATCCTTTGCTGCTCGCGATGAAGGCGTTACAAAACGAATTCCGCTGGTAAAATTCACCGGAATATGTCTCTGTAATGGCAGCTTTGTAGTGGACATAGCAGCGTCCACAGTAGCTGGTCGCATGACAGAATGTAACGATGCATTACAAATCGGCTCGTTAACCGAATAATCAGTTTGCGTGTAGTAAGTAATCCATTCTGTACTAAGCGGAAACGGATCAGCGGTACAGTTGATCGGATGATACAGATCTTCTCTGTTTAATTCGTCACTGCTGAAAAATGTTCCAGATATAGGTCCTTCGAACGAGTACAGCTCCCCGACTTCCACTTTTATTCTGAATTTTCGATTGGCGCGCCACCACGATCGATACCATGCAAACTCACAGCCGCAATGAAGATTACGAAGGTAATTTCGATATCCTGACTCAAATTTGTAGTTCTTCTGGTCATCACTAAAAGCTTCCAGGGAAAGTATTTGAAGTTGCGGCAGGTCCGTAAAGGCACCATGTTGCAAAGATTTAATGGTACTATTGTAGAGCAGAATCATTCGCAGCTGTTGAGAAATTGTGAAGTCCGCCTTTTCCACAACCAAGTTGTAACAGCTGGAAACTTCCAAATGCAGCAGGTTCGTGAAATTGAGTTTCAGCAACCGAGAGGTCACACGATCTGTGGTGCAATTCCATAACTGGAGTTTCAGGACGTGGCGTTGGATGGGTGTGAATGAATATTTAGCGATTAGTTCCTCCTCTACACTGATGGACGCCAGTCGCAGCGGCGGTTCCGCCATATCCATAGTCATCCGCTCCAAAACGGCAACTGATGCGTTGGACCGGCAGACAATACGGTAGTCCCGACGGTCTGTGCAGTTGTCTTTGGTGGTCAGGTCTGATTGGCAATAACGATTGAACTGCGCACCACATTCATCGGCAGTCATTGGTTCCAGGGAAAAATTTGGAAAATCATCACCGGAAGCCGTTTTTTTAATTGCGGGGGCAACAGTAAAAGGGCACTTGTAGGCAATCATGATTTTTGCGACATCCGTCGGGCTCATGCGCACAGCTTGGCCCATGCGAACAATCAGCCCTTTCTTGGGTACCATGCTCGGACGGGTTATGTTCTCGGACGCTTGAAACGCATAGTAGTGCAGGATAGAATGGTAGTCGTACTTGGTTCCGAAAGTGTACATTGTTTTATTGATAGCGAAGTCTCGTCTGTATTCATCGTAACCAATGTTTGCGCTGTTTACGTCAATGTATTGGTCTCGATCCGGGCGTTTCTGTTCGTGATCGAAACCGAGCGCATGCATCACTTCGTGCTGTATCCTTCCAATGTACATACACGATGCGGATGAGAATAAGCCGGGTACTGCTAGGTGGATGGTCTGGTACGAGCCCTGCTGTCCAAGTGCCGACGCGCAACTGAGAATAAAAAGGGGAATATGAGTAAAGAGTCATTAGGGAGCTAAAAATTGTGCATCAAGTGTTCAGTTTTATTTTTTTAAACATAGTTGTTTAGAACTTACTCGCCAAAATAACTTGGCCGGAAGTAGATGTAGTCAAACTCAGTCGTTCTGGCTTTGAATGAGATACAGTCATTCGTCTTTTTCTCCATAATCCGAAGAGCTTTCAAAATCAAATCTTGATGTGATTTTCCTGCAGCGAGTGATAACGAAATTAAAAGCATGCTAAAGCCTGAGTAAAAACATGAACTGAATTTCAACGCTGTATCTCATATTTACGCCTTTTCTCCTTAATTTTTTCGATACATATGTCGCCTTATCGGTCAGGTTAAGTTTGCAAATTCCTGTTAAATTTGCGAGCTCAGTAATTTGGGTTTTCGTTTACAATTAAAGGCCGCTTCCAGTGACAGTTTTTCTTACGCAAACCTGCATTGTAGAAAACAGACTTGCATTCAAATAAGGCGTAGCACAATGTTAAGTTAAACCTGCATTTATATTAAGGAATACCTTCAAGGGTGCCGAATCACCAGCACGTACAATTAGTTGCAACATCACGTTATATTTGCACATCCATTGCAGTCTACTCACCGAAGTCACTGCTTATGGAGTAAGGAATTGCTGTGCGATCTGGCCACAATTTAGCGCCGGTTCCTGCTTCGGCATTTGCGTCAAAAAAGTTGCCAGGCTGATAGAAAAGATCTGAAAAGCAATCACACTATCTGTAATCCCCATTAATCAGCCCACATTAACCTGTTCATTTTGGCACCTTCAAGGACCGCTTTATTTCTGCTGTGATTGTTACTTACGAGTACGGGGTTACCGAGTACGTGATCTCTGCACAAGCTGTATGGTACGAGTTATGTTAATGGAGCCATTGGAGCGCACATGTACTCAACTGGAAAGTCGGAAAATTGTACGACAGTATGCACGGGAATTCGCAATTTTTTGCTTACTGAGGATAAAGTGCGATAAATTATTTTTGACTGCTAAGGCTAATTGTTTCAGCTCCAGAGAAGTTGGAACCGGTGATTTACCTTCTGTTATCTCAACATCACCACTTTCCTGCGAAATTGCTACAGCCGTACTGACGAATACGACGGTAACTAAGGCGCGGCAAAATGATTTATGAATTTTATCCATGAAACGGATTCGATAGACACTTAGTAGTTAGTACAGCACAGTATCAGGCCGACCTTGCTGGTCCCCCGTCCCGTGTTCCAACAAAAAAACAAAATGATACGTATGTCAGCTGTTACTAAAAAGTTTTTTTTTGCGGTGCATTTGGCCCTTTCATTTGGCCCTTTTTATAACGTTTTCTTTGTGGCGACAACGAGTAACTTGTCAAAACAGCAAGTCTTCATGTCGGCTAACACGCATGAAGTGCCTGATGCAACACTTACCCGTTGTTGCAAATAACCGGAGGCAATCTCTGTGGTTTATGAACGGAATATGACGACAGTTGTCATCATCGGCCACCAATCGAGATATCTTCTGCCTCCTGGAAAAGTCGTCAATCAGATTGATTGCTTTTATATCCTGCTGTGCTTAAAGGAAATTCGGAAGGTAACTAGGATATTCATCAACAATGTTGCCGGTGAGCTGGTGAATGCCGTTCACTATTGTGCAGCGTGCTTTTCAAAATCGGCCGGTACCTGACACAAGCTTTAAAATGCATGGGTGTGTAAGATTATGTGTAAAATTAATATTATAAAACTGGAATAAAGACAGCAAAATTAAACCCTGCTTTGCTTTTACCTGTGCATGCGCCGCTGACCACCGGCCACTTCACATAATATTTTGCAGAATTGATCAGCACTGCAGTTTTACTGTGGAATTCGCACAACTTAGCATTATGTGTACCACCAAATCGTTCAAATTTTATAGAGCCATTATTTACTATACCTGCTTCTCTGAAGATTATTTATTTACTTTTGATTTGATTCGAACGGTCACACTGAAAAGTGGCAATTCTTAAAAATTGACAGAAACAACAAGCAGTGCCTTTGAACTACAAGTCCCGCAACTGACAATGAATGCATTGTCAGAATTTATCTTAAACCGAAAATTATTAATCCGAAAAAGCAAGAGCATATTATTCGAGTATACAGTATTATTATTTGTAAGAGCTTATTATTCGATAAAAACGAAATGCATCCGCTCTAATGTTTTATTGAATTTTCTGCTTGCTAAACATTAAAACACCCACAGTCGTTAGAGATATCCAACATTCTAGCCTATTTATTCGTGCGCTTGGAAATCAGTGGAAATTTTTTGCCAAGTTATAAAGAATGCCTTCAAAACGTTCACAATAATGTTGGTAATCAGCAAAAGCAATAAATAAAACAAGTCAGTTACCAACTAACGGCCTCCGCAAAGCCCACACGCGGCTGACACGCCCATTCTTTTAGGGTGTTGTTGCGTCACCAAATGCGATTCCTTCGCCGGCATCGGTTCCTCCATTCCTAACGAGCCTTCCCGATAGTCCATCGTTTCGTAATGTTGCCTGCCACGCTCTGCATCGGTTTTTCATAATAAATGCGGAAATAGCGGCGATTAGAAGAGCCATGCCCATAAGTACGCCTATAACAATACCCGTTACCGATCCCGGGTTTAATTTACTTTGCGTGACCGCTAGATGAGTCGGTTCAGACCCGTTGGCTGCCGGTGACGGTGCGCTAGTTGTAGCTGGAGTTACCAGCCGGGTTGAAAGTTTAGCTGCAGAAGATGTAGCAGATGTTTGGTTGCACAGTGGTTCGTTGACAGAGTACTCAATTTGCGTGTAATAGTTGATCCACTCTGTGCTCAGCGGAAACGGATCGGCATGACAATTTATCGGATGATATAAGTCCTCTTTAATAAACGGATCGCTGTTAAAGAATGTTCCTTCAGACGGTCCTTCGAAAGAATACAGCTCCCCTGTTTGAACTCTGAGTCGCAACGCTTTACTGTTGCGCCACCATGATCGATACCAAGCGAATTCACAACTACAGTGCAGACGTTGCAGATACTCTCGAAAGGTTGGTTCAAAATTGTAATTTTTTTGGCTGTTGGAGAGTGCTTCCAATGAAAGGATCCGAAGTTCCGGCAAATCCGCAAATGAGCCAGATTGCAGAGCGTTGACGGTGGTGTTATAAAAGGTGATTATCCGCAGCCGTTGATACATTGTAAAGTCCGCCTTTTCGATAATCAGATTGTGGCAGTGGTAAAGTTCAAAATGTATTAAATTTTCAAAATTCAGCGTGATCAGTCTTCGTGTCACGCGGGCTGTGAAGCAGTTGCATAGCTGCAGCTTCAGGACTTGGGTTTGAATCGGCTTGAAGGAGTAAATTGCCAGAAGTCGTTCTTCCACTTCCATAGATGCTAATCGCAGCGGTTCCTTCGCCAAGTTCACGGCCATTCTTTCAAGCACTGATAACGGTGCATTCGATAAGCAACGAATACGAAGATCCTTTCGCCTCGTGCAATTGTTCCACATGGTTAGGTCAGATCCGCAGTATTTGTTAAACTGTTGCTGGCACTGGTCTTCCGTCATTGGATCGAGGGAGAAATTTGGGAAATTCTCGCTTTTGCCGGTTGTACTGCCGGGAGAAATGACTAACGGACATTGGTAGGCCAAGATTATTTTAGCGACATCGCTCGGGGTCATTTGCAGTTCCAATCCCATACGAACAATCAGGCCTCTTTTCGGTACAATCACGGGAACTTGAGGGGATAGGGCGCCAGCAAAGGCTTCGTAATGCAAAATGGAATGGTAATCGTATTTTATTCCATACGTGAACATTAACGAGCTGATGGCGAAGTCATTATCAGCCGTTTCGTCGTCAATGTTGTCGCTGCGGACATCGACATACTGTTCGCGGTCCGGACGTTTCTGCTCGTGACGGAAGCCCAAAGTGTGCATGACCTCATGCTGGATGCTTCCGGTATCCATACATGATGTTGAAGAATAGTCACCGGGGTGGGCCAGATGAATGTACTGCAGGCCGCCGGATCTGCCAACTTGTGAGTCGCATCTAATGGAGAAAATTCGATAGTAATCAAAGGAGGCTCGTTTCTGATGAAGGCATTTTAGGCTTAACTCACTTGCCGTAGGTGTTGGCGGAAAAGAAAATATAATCATTTTCGTCGCTTTTAGGCTTGAACATTACACATCCCCTTGTCTTTCTCTCCATGATGCGAAGAGCCTTAAGAATCGTCAGTTGTTCTGGTAAACCTAAATAAGAAATTTATTACAAATAGGTAGTTTGCGTTGTGCTATGCTGAAGCAACCTGAAACCAAAGAAGCAATGCGGAACTGAAAAAAATGTAGAAGTAAAAGTTAGTTTGTCGGATTGTTTGACCGATGTGATCGGGAATCGTCAATGCGTGTCCTTAGTCCTTACTGAATAATGGGCTTATGATATAAGGAATGGCAGTGCGAGTTGGCCAGAGAGCAGGGCCTGTATCTCCCCTCGCATTTCCGTCAGAAACGTTGCCAGGAGTTTGAAAAATATCTGCCAAAAACGCATTAATTTTGCTGGAAGGTCTGAAGAAAACCTGGATGCATTAAAGCCGTACATCGAGCAAATACTTACTGGACGTCACGGAATAATATTGGTAACTGATTAATTATTAGAACTTACTCGTATGGAAACGATTATTAGAAAGGTCATTTTAGGTCACAAGGTTTTGTCATATGGAAACCCGGGCATTACAGAATTTGATATACAGTACTTCAGCCCAGGGCAAATAAAATTCTAGCATAAAAAATTCGGAAAACCCAACATGGCGCTCGTTGAAATTTGCATATTTGGTGTTGCAGTAGCCAGATGAAAATTTATACTTTGATTGTTCTTGTAGTATGGACCCACAGAACTGTTGATTAGTTAAATGAGAAAACACATGTGCATACCTGTTGTTATAAGCACATCTCCATCTTCGTCAGATACTGCTTTAGCGGTGTTCAAGAGCAGGGGAGCGATTATAAGATAAAACAGGGACCAATACTCTACCATATTTACAGAAATGTTGGCTCCAGGAACGTCGTATTACGATTTCTTATAAGGATATGGCCTTTATAAAACACGAAAGCCGCTTCTCACCCTGTTCCTGATCGCAGTGGAAGTAAAGATAACTACAGATACATTATTTCACTTCTAATTACGTAGAAACTGGCAACCCATAAATAAAATCCACGAAAACACACAGTACAAACCATTAGAAACTTGTATGGATTTTGTAGTGTTACCGCAAATCTAAACTGCAGAGCGTAAGCAAGTGAATTAAGTAGCGCGTGTTCCAAAACATAGTGTATAAAAACTCGTAATGATCGAAGATATAGATGCCGCTAAAGCAGCTGTGCAAGAAATGACGACACTTGTGGTAATTTCTTGATAAAAGATCATATCTTCTGAATAAATAAAGAATCATTGCCCGTTGGTTACAGTGGTGTGTCGTACTGCTTCCCGTTTTGTGGTCTTGATAAACAATCAAACTTTTGATCAAACATTTCCACTTCTGGTACGGAGATTTCAATTCAACATAATAATTCACCTTCACCACATGCAGGTAGGAAGGAAGATGCTGTTCATCCTGAATTCTTTGCATCAGTAGTCCATAAACACATGAATCGTGACGGTTCCATAACAGCAAGAAGGTTTTAAACAAGTCTGCTTTGTACTTCGCATTTTGCTTTAAAGCTGCTGCACGAAGATTTTGATGCCAGATGTCAGTGCTACTGTTTTGATCGTTACGAAGATATGCTAGTTCAATTTATCAGAGATAGATTTCAGACACACGTGCTGCCGCATTTCGTAACATTTACTGCTACTTCAAAACATGGACAAATATGTACGCACTTGCTCAGTTAGCATGTACATTTGTACTTGTAGTTAATCGTCTTCATCGCTAGTTTTCGAAGGTGCAAATGAAGTATAAACAAAGACCTTTGCCCTTTTCGCGTTTATTTCATTTTTTGCCGTGAAAAACACCTGGAAGAAGCTAATAAATATCTCGTCAAATAACAAAACGTCAAAAACCACCTGTATAAATGAAGTTTCTTATTCTAAACCCAGGCCGTTACAAAGAAACACTAAAGTGCTGAAGAAAATTTCAGGCACTTTTCTCCAACGACGACATCACGAATATATGACAGATAAAATGTTTTTCAGAAAGGTTTCCGGTAACTACTCACTGACACTTTGAATAACCAAGCGCACGTTTGGAATCAGCAAAAACTTGGTTGTCGACTTGTCGTCATAATTTCTGTCGGTGACTTGGCGGTGGCTGACTTGATCGAAATGCGGTTATAACGCAGCGCGGCTCGTCTAACGAGGATACATTATGAGTGAAATTACTTAGGAGTAATTATTACGTACAAGCGCATTACCAAATTAACGTACGCAAGCACGGAAACGTTCAAGTGGAAAAAGGCAACTAGATTATGCAATCGCAACAGCTCAACGGAGGTACTAGCATAGATCCACTCCGAGCCGAAAGGAAACCGAACGGCGGTAATTTACTGGTCGATAAAAGCCTTCTTCCTCCCACGGGCCACGTTCGAGATATTCATTTGAATAATATCCGTACAAGGAATGTGCATACTTCGCTAACCTCAACTCTAAATAGCAGCGCTTTCTTGTTACAGGCTCTGCTATAAAACGTTAGTAGTACTATTTAAAACGCTTCTAAATTCTAAAGACAGCATTTGCTAACTTTGCAAGCCCGTAAACGCACCCAGCTGCATGCAATAAATTAACCGTATCATTGAGAAATAAATGGTTTGCACTTTGCAGCCGTCGGGAAATCAAAAAATTAGCTCGCCCCTCGTGAAAATAAAAGTTACTAAAAACATCCAGTTAACAAAAGAAGTACTTGTAAAGTTACGCTAAAGTTACAAAAAAGTTTTCATGACAGCCGATTATAACTTGGACCATTCATATAACTTACGGAATACTTCAAGTTGTTCAAAAGTTACTTACTCGTATCTGTACTACAGCACTGACGCACAGTCACGCACTGTTTCACTTTGTAAATCCATTTTTTGAAATCTTAAGCAGTAATAAACAGCCACCAGTGGACGTAAGTTGCATCACTGCATAACTGCATAGTGGCATTGCTACTTTATACAGCGTAACTGCACAAAAAGGTTTTATGCTATGTAGTTTTAAAATATTTTTGTTAGTAAATTGCACTTGTAATATCTGTACATATTCGGGATATAGATATTCCATCTCAGTTTATGTTTCTATGGTTTATACAGATAATAAACAATGATTAAATAATTCGGCAAAATTAACCAACGTGACTTTTAATTATTACTAACAAATTAGTAAATAAATAAGACACGCAAATAAAATTTTATAACAACAAATGACAAAATAGCAATAAATTTAATGTGGCAGTATAAAAGTGTAACCTCACAAATCAGCCATGTGAAAGATATGCATGTTACCCCACGAGGTGGCAGCCGCGATAAGGGCGCACGGTCGAGCACGTTAGCACAGCTCAGCTTGCTAATAACGCAGTCGAGCCGTTGACATTCACACTCTTGTTAGTCTTGTAGTTTGTTTCGCTTTTTAGTTTTATTTCACTTTGCTTTGATGTTAGAGGTTGAGTGGAAAATGATAAGGTCTGAAAACCAGACGTGATTTGTAGCTTCCTGTATGGAATTTTGAAACATTGAGTCAGAAAGCAGTACCAGGTTAAGATTACTTTTTCACGGGTCCACGAGCAGAATCACCGTTGAGAGCGTCTCTGCTGAATGAGGAGCCTGCAGCTGGGTTGTTGGACAAAACTGCCTTGATTCTGAATCATTCAACAGGTATGATGACTGGTTTTAAAACGATATATAAAACGCAGCCGTACGATTTTGGAGTCGACTTCGTTCTAGTAAGCGTAGAAAAATCGAAAATTTGGAATATGTCCGAAATAGAGCGATTTGGGTTTTTTATCTTTATTTTACGCTGGACGGAGTCGACTCTCTCTAATTTGCTCACATCCTTATGAAAATCCTTTTACACGTTAGAGTTTTAAAAATTGACGATGCTGCTCGTCAGTCTTAAAGGCAGTCAAGCTAATTTTATTGTATTTTGTCACAGGTTCTTCGGTTATTTCTGAGTCGACTCCATGGAACGATCTCTCTTCCCCTTCGCTATGCATTAATTACTGGCATCTTCGTTGCGAGCGCACACGAGCGCACACTGGGCCTTTGGATGGAGCCATCATGGAGGTGTGGAGCACACTGCCAGTTTAAACAAAGGTGAGCTCCACAAACTGGATTCAGCCTCATTTACGCGTTGAGTAAATTGGTGTGGAGTTAATTGTTAAGTAACTGAATTTTTGTACGTGCAGATCAAAATCATTGTTTTATTTTAAATGTTTTCCCGTTACTCAGGAAACTAACGAATTTCATTGCCATTTGATGGACTGGAGTCGACTCCGGAACCGAAGCAGGCTTCTTGTGGTTTGATTTTTGGCTTTTGAATTGTATTCTATCTATCTGAATTTCTGTATTTTAAAACAGCAAGTGCAGCACATCAGACGATAATTTGATGTTTATTTGTGTTTTTTTTTTGCTGTAATTTTATTGTCATTTTTTGTGTGTTGAATTGAAGTAACTATGTGCAAAATTACGAGTATGTGCGGCAAAAGTTGCAATAAAGCTTCTGACAACGATAAAGCAAAAGCTCCGAATACAGTACAAAACTTCTAAAAACGACTGCCAAATTAAGTTGGGAATTGTAAGTTCTACACTAACTTTTACGGCACAAAAAGGTATAGCCGCTGTTCAAAGATTGTTACAAAAAAACTTAAACATTTTCACGAGGGCGCTCGCCTGATAGGCAAGTTGTACAAACAAACCGTCTGAACTCTGAAGTAAATAAAGCATTTGCTTCTTAAAATTGCCCGGCTGCCTGTTAGTAGAAGCATGAACATAAAGATTTTGTTTTTTCGCGCCTCACTGTGAACATTGATTTATTTCTCTGGTTACATTTACGGTGTTACGTGACCTATAACTTAACCGGAGTACATGAACAATGGCGTAACCCGTAGACAAATGGCCAAAAGGCTTATTTAATGGTAAGGCCGTACTGTACAATACAGGTGTACAAGTATTGAGGCTTTTTATGTGGAAATGTACCTATATGCGAGTATTCTAAGCTTTGGATACGTGTCCCTTCCTTTAAAAACTCTATTCGTTAATAAATGTATGCAATAATCATCATTCGGTTTTCCTTTCCTAAAAACTCTTTATATTAATCCATCATTTTGCAACGATGTCCAGCACGCTTTAAATCGATTTTCCTTAATTAACACCGAAGCCGCATAAAGGACAATGCCCACGCCAAAAAGCACGGCTACCATGATGCCCCCGATAGATCCGGGGCTTAAGTTATTTTTGGACAGTTCGAGGGGTCCAACCGTCCACGGTAAAGTCGTCGTGATAACCGCGGCTGGAGTGAAAGTCGGAGCGGTTGTTGTAATGGGGTTCACTATCAAAGTTGATAACCTCGCTGCAGAAGTTGTGGCAGTGGGTGCTTGGCTGCAGTGGGGTTCGTTGATAGAGTAATCAAGTTGCGAGTAGTAGTCAATCCATTCTGTGCTAAGAGGAAACGGATCTGCATTGCAGTCGATGGGATGGAACACATCTTCTTTGTTAAACCCATCGCTATTCAAGAAAGTGCCAATAAAAGGTCCCTCGAAGGAATACAATTCTCCTGTCTGAACTCTGAGGCGTAACGCTGCATTGGATTTCCACCATGCGCGATACCAAGCGAATTCACAGCTGCAGTGCAGACGGCGCAAGTAATCACGATAGGATGGCTCGAAATTATAGTTTTTCTGACTATCCGATAATGCTTCCAAAGAAAGAATGCTCAGTTCTGATAAATCCGTAAAGGTGACGGGCTGCAGAATGTCCACCGTGGTGTTGTAAAAGGTTATTATCCGCAACCGCGGGGATACCGTAAAGTCCGTCCTCTCGATAATCAGGTTGTGGCAGTGGTGGAGTTCAAAGTGTAGTAAATTAACGAAATTCAGCTCGTTTAGTCTTTTTGTCACTCGACTGGAGATGCACTTGCGCAGCTGCAGCTTAAGGATTTGGGTTCGGATTGGCCCGAACGAATAACTGGCAATAAGTTGCTCTCCTACATCCAGGGATGCCGGCCGCAACGGTGGCTTTGCCATGCCAACCGCCATTTGTTCCAGCACCAACACATCCGCATCCGCCTGGCAATGAACACGTAAATCCCTTCGATTCGTGCAATTCCATTGCGTGGTTATGTCCGATTCACAATAATCGTTAAACTGCAACTGGCACTGATCGCTCGTCATCGGCTCCAGAGAGAAATTTGGAAAATTTTCGATTTGGGAAGTTGTTATGGTGTTAAGAATAACAGTTAAGGGACATTTGTACGCCAATGATATCCTCGCAATATCGCTTGGACTCATACCCAGCTGTTGACCCATGCGAACAATAAGGCCTCTTTTAGGAACCAACCCGGGAATCGTATTGGATAAGGCAAAACCGAAGGCATCGTATTGCATAACGGAATGGTAGTCGTACTTAGTTCCAAAAGTGTACGATGACGACGTTATAGCGAAATTTACATCCAACTCGTCCGGTTTAATGTGGGCGCTGCGGACGTTGACATAATGGTCACGATCAGGACGCTGTTGCTCGTGATAAAAGCCCAAAGTATGGATGACTTCATGCTGGATACTTCCCGTGTCCATACATGATGATGAGGTAAAAGGTCCGGGGTGGCCCAGATGGATGTATTGCATCCCGCCTCTTCTACCGATGCTTGAGTCGCATCTGATGAAAGGAATTAGAAAACGATTTAGCAATTAGCGGTTTATTAAAAGATGCAAATGCTGCTGCCCTAAACTCACATGGGCCCTGATGGTTTGCGGCAAAATAGATATAGTCAGGTTCGGCGCTTCTTTCGTTGAATAAAATGCATCCTTCTGTCTTTTTCTCCATGATGCGAAGAGTCTTAAGGATCATTTGCTTTTCTGACAGATCTAAATTAATAATACCGTGAAAAAATTGCGGAAATTCGGGATATTTAAAAACTACAGGTATCAAAATATAACCACAGTTAGAAGAACAAATTATCGTCTCCTCACCAAAATCGCTGCTAATATAATAAGGAATGGCTGTGCGATTTGACCACAGCCGGGGGCCGGTTCCCGCTTGATAATTTACATCTGAAAAGTTGCCCGGCTGCAGAAAAAGATCTGCAAAGTCAGTTATTAGGTTTATTTTGGCAGGATAATAATTAACAGCAAATTTGCGAAGACGACAGCTTACCTGCTGTTATCTGGACGTTACCGCTTTCATCGGATACTGCCATCACGGCGACAGCATTCAGTAGGGCAGTTAGTACGGCAGGGAGGAGTGAACTGAACCTTATTTTCATGGAGAAAATGCGCGGTTACGCCGAGGCCCTTTAACTGGAACTTCGATATAAACCGCGTTAAGCTGGTAAATGCTTAATTAATGCAAAATTTTTAGAAAGCAGAACGAGTACAGTAATTTCAAAAGTGCCGGTAGAATTATTATAGAAAGTTTTATTATTGCAATAGATTTCATTATTCATTTCGCAGATTGAATAAAGCAGCAGTCGATTGCTTTGTGCGTACAAGCGGTAACTTGTCCGTTGTCACCCATAACAGTTGTGAGTGTTGTTAGACATGCATACATTGCGTGATGCGAAACCTACACGCTGCTGCAAATAAGTACTGTACCCGCAGGCAGTGACTGTAATTTTATTGTATCCGGAAAATGACGACATAATATACGAGTACAAGCCGGATTTCAAATGGGCTGCGTATTAAGGTACAAGTGGACGCATTGGCCATTCAGTGCGGTGTTGTGGTTTGAAGTGATATCCATTAAACTACAGCTGCTGTCGGAATGACAGGTTTATTAAGTTCAGTACTACAAAATAACTACAAAATTATGTTAATAGTAGTTATTGTGCTGACGGTAGCCTATAGATAACCCTTTCCGTGATAATGGTAAGGGCTACCAAAAAGACTTGGAGGAAGACCATTGAAAACGCTGGAGCATTAGCGGTGGCAAAAACAAACGGGACGGAACCGAAGGAAAATTTGATCCACTCGATAACAATTCTTTTGTCCGTCACACAGAGTGGTGCCCATCCATACTGGCAACGCCAGTACACGAATGTATAAACGTGAGCTGGCTTAGCCGATTGATTTTTTAGCGCGGAAAAGCGCAAGTATTTTTAAATAAAAAGCAATAATTTCATTTTTTTCTGACTTTTTTAAGAAAAATAATTGTTTTTGGTCGATTTTTAATGGAAACAGTGACCTCTGAAACAAAAAAAGAGTGCTTTTTTATAAGAGTAACGAGTTTTCGCCGAGTTTTCGAGCCTCAAAATCGGCTTTGAGCGGGCCAAAATATTGCTACTTTCTAATCGATTCCTTACAATGCGTAAGCCGTATGCCGAAATCGGCTTCCGGCTAGCTCTCGGCTGGCTGAGACTTCGAGCCGGCGCAGCCGAAGCCGGTTTAGCCGCGGCTCGCACGGCTTCGGCTGAGCCGTTGCTATCCCTACTGAGTCTACTATGACAGACAAATGCAGGAGGCTCACAGTGATCTTTATTGACAAATAAAGGGAGCAAGTACCGCGTGATTGCGGGAGAAAAAGACAACAAAGCCAATACGCATCCTCAATCACCTCTGGTTTCTGATCTCCGGTCTGGTTTTGTTTTGACCAGGATTATGATTCATAACATTCCGAACCGATCTGCTTTTTAACTGGTCGAAGGAAAGATACGGCACGTTTTACAAATGGCCCGCGCTGAAGCGCTGAGTCTGAGTCTGAGTCTGACCCCTAAAAGGCTGAGTCTGACTACTGAAAGGCTGAGTCTGAGTACTAAAAGGCTGAGTCTGACTATTAAAATGCTGAGTGTTCCTAAGACTACTTAAGTAATATCTCGATAACATTTAACTCTTGACTGGAAATATGCGCCATATGGTCCAGCGAATCCCCGTATTACATGCAACTTAAGTAATGTACAAGTGCAACTGCAACATTTTAATTGGACACAAACCCATTCAGAATCAAATACAGGACGTGCACCTGTACGTTTTTGCGAGTATAACTTGCAGCAACACGAATGTTGAAAGAACAAAAGAATTAACCATAATTGTAGCCCTATTAGACATTTCCGGCCAAAATAAAATTAAATTTATTTCTTTTACAACTATGTAATTACTGTACCGTGTGTACCAAATAATAAGCCGGTAATGTGCGCATGTAACCAGATCTATCTACGTACAATAATACGTAAATATGCGTTATCTACGTACAATACGTTAATGTGCGAACTGACGGTAAACCTGTGCAATAAAGCTCAATAAATCGAATAAAACAAATGCATTACAGCAATAGAGTAATAGAGAATAGAGCAGGTCAGCATTAATTGAAAGTAAAAAGCACCTGTCGGGTTCTCGCTAAAATAATAATATGAGGTCTTTGTACGATGATGCTCGTTACATGCAGGTTTAAAATAATTTAGCTAAATACAGCGCTAATTATAGCTAACGTAAATGAAGCATAAAACCCATACAGCGTTAATAGCAGCAGCATTATCAGCCTACGTATAATAATTATGCTACAGTAGCATATTTTCCCGAAGTAGTATTACAATTTCGATAATACACGACATAGGCATACAAACCACCGATTCCCTTCGTAGCTGATTAGCTGCATGCCCCAGTGCTAATCTGTAACCCGAACAGGGGTTGTTTGGGCCTGTCAAACTCCCCTGTTCGGGACCAGAAACAAAGTCCGAGGTGCCATTGTGCGGGCCAGAGAGCTCAGGCCTACCGGCAAACGGGCGGAAGGCCTATTTGTAGACCCACTCTGAGCAAGTTCTGGTTCCGCCTGGGCCTATCTAAACACGATATGTAGCAGCGTTCTGGCCCAGTCCAAACATTAAAATTACTTTGAATTTGCGGTTGCTTTTTCGTTTTATATTTTACATGTTTACTTGAATCGAATGCTGCTTTGCATGATTTAAGTAACCTATTAAGCTTTATTTATGATCACGTAGCGCATCATATGCACTGATCATAGGTCTGCGTTAATCACGTCATAAACATAAAAACATGATGCACAGCGTATATATAACTACATTTATTTCTTAACATTTCGGCGCAAAAATTCGTAATTAACATCCGCATCAGCTCTGTTCGAAAACGCCCTCCGACTCGATGGCATACAGCTTCTCTCGCTACTTCTTCTCATCGGAAATATTCGGCAGCTTCGGTAGGTTTATAAACGGCAGCGGGCAGGAGTTCGTGAAAAATTTTCATCGGATAATGGAGAATCTATGCGCAAAATCCTGAAATTAAATAACAAACTTATTGATCAACTCAATAGTTAATAAAAAATTATTTATTATTTAGAATCAATGATTTACTGCATTCTGAAAATAATTAAAATGGGCCTACAAATGATTTGGGTTTTCTCCACAAACTGGAACCTACATATACACCGTACACGCGAAGAAAATCATAATAATGCACGACAATAATTAAACATTTAAAAAATAAAACAAAAATAGAAATTTAACTATCAGTAAAAAGTTGAAACAAAGTTCCCAATATGCAAATAAAATATACAGCACATTTGTTTGCATATGGCTTTCAAAGTACTTTTAACGCAACGCACGCACCTGCACGGGAATATCCTGTTTATCAGTTACTTATGATTTCCACATTTTCCGGAACTTCTTTCTCTTGTTGGACATATACCATGGGAGGTTTCGACAAGGTGGAAAAAAGTTTTTCGACGATCAGACAGCTGACGCAAGTCCAGAGTTGGCAAAACTCACGAACCGTTGCAACAGTAAACGCTAAACTGCATGAAATAACAGCACAAAGACATGCAGCGCTATGAACCATCTACCAGGAGCAGTCTTTATAGGTCTGATGTACACTAAAATGCCTTTGTGATTACAATAATTAAAAGGAGAAACAGAGGATATCGTAAAACTTAAAAGCAGTGGAAGAAGAGAATTTATAAATTTGCGCTTTGTACAGAAAATGAAAACAGAAAATGAAAACAGAAAATGTTCCAGATAGGCCAGAGTATTTCGTGCCCCAACCTGGCTTAATTTCGTTTCTAGAAATTGCACTGGGAACTTTATCCGAAATAACTAAGCAAAGACCGCAATGAACAGTCTAAATTTTAGAAGTAGCCACAAAATCGTAATGAAATTGTCGTCATGTAAAAATTACCCAGATGCAGTTTATTATGACCAACTGTTTATTATGACTCACAGTACCTCTTAAATCAGCACTTTTTGATAACGGGTCATATTTTGCCGCACACAGGCATAAACTGTACGGATTTGTTCTATTTGTTGAAAGTTTGTCGTATCTAAATCTACCATTTGAAAATTTGCAATAACTTTTATATTTGTCGACATATAAAATTAGAATACCTCATAAGAATAAAAGCCTACTCTAATCTTTAAAGAGCCACTAATTGTTCAGGAACACAACGTACAGTATAGCCCAAATTCCAACCCTATTAACATTGTTTACATGAAATCACAAATCTGTGTATTTCGGGTGACTGAATCACAAAAAACGGCATGCGATACACAAGTCTGCATTTAAGTTCGCTTAAATCACTTTCGCGCTCACAAATAACAGCTGGACAGTTACATCTTTTATCTGATGCAGCACGAAAGCCGTCTTGATAGGACATATTTCTTCCGGAAAACACAAAATTTGATTTCAACTGACAAAGGTTTGTCGGCAGTTGAGCTTCCATATTGCCCACCTTTAATAGACACAATATGTTTTGCCTTCAGTGCTATTTATTCATTTTAATTCCAAAAAAAGCGCAAACACTCACGTTTAAACTTAAAACATCTTTAGTGTTAAAATAAGTATTTACCGTTGCGCGTTCATGAAAACTATTGTGGCGGGTGGCATGAGCGTGCAATGATGACTGATTTATGCCTTAATTAATGCACATACGTAAGATATACGCCTTACGACCACAAGTTTCAACTCTGAACTAATTAGACTGCATGACGCTAAATTGTAGACATATTAAAAACTGATTTTTAAAGAAGCAAAAACGTAGTTCGTTGTAGTTTTGCTGAAAAACGTTATGACTGTTATCTTCTTCGTTACAAACCGAATTTAATACTCTACGAAAAGCGACCGCACTCGAGTTTTTGGTCAGATGCTGGACTGATTAATTATTGATAATAAGAGTAAAATCATGCTTTTAGTAGTCGCAATTTGTGCATTAATTGCAAATTTGTGTTTGCTAAATTAACACAGGGCGGATTACAAAACACCAAAGAAAATTAACCACGTTGAGAAGCAGTCAGTACTTCAATATGCACAAGCAACTTTGACTAGCAAAGTATAAGATATCCAGTAATTATGAATTGTTACAAAATCAGCTACAGATATGCAGGTGACAAATAAAATAGATTTTGTACGAGTAGAACATCGTTTATACCCGTACAGTTTACCGTAATTATCGAATTAGAGCCCCAGGGTTACAAATATTTCAATCGCCTTA